TCATTCCAAAGTGTGATTTACTTGTGGATTCCATTCTACAACAAGCAAAAACAAATGCTAAAAATACTCACAAGTATTTTTCAGTTACTGTCTCACAACTCAAAATAAAAAAAATTACACACTTATTTAGACAGTTGTAAATGCATTAAAAAAAAACGTGAAGGAAAAAACTTCAGTGAATCACACGATCAGTGAATGAGAAAAAAATGACACATTTCACAGCTGCAATATATTATAAACAGTCGCGGTCAAAAACATATTATTCTATATATTATTATAGTACTGTTTGGACCGGCTCATTTGTAATCAATTTAAAGGATTTCATTTCTTCATTCAATAATTTCATAGCACTTTTCCTATTTACTGTTTACTTATGTATTCAGTATTAACTACTTATGCTCAAATACAACTATTATTTTAACCGCAGCTGTGTGTACTTGTACAGTCAACCAAGAGAAAACAACAACAATAACAGCAGCAATGAAAACACACCTACGATAAACATACATACATAGAAACTTAAATATGCATGGATGTAAAATACATATATGGGCAAGCAGGTATTGCACACACACACATACGCGTGTATGCATATATATACATATATATCAATGATATTTACGGCATAACCTTTTAAAGTTATTCAAATACGCATACTGCATAAAAACACACATACACACATACATATGCCAAATTCTATCAAGTTCAGTTATTTTTGCATATGCACACACATATACATATATATGTATTGTCATTGTGTGTTTGTATGAGCTCAACTTAGTTGACAAGCTCCATTAAAAACAACAACCACAAAGAGAACGCAAATAGTGACAATCGGATCAATACAAAATTATTGTCAATCGAACAATAATTGGCTACGGCTGGCTACATACATGTATGTCGCTTGGAGCAGTGGAGGCGAACGGAACATGGGCAGCTGCATATATAATTAAGTAACGAGAACACACAAAGAGAGCGGGAGGGAGAGCGAAGAGCAGATCAACACACATTGTCAAATGGGCAACGAGGATGTCCCCTTCTGAATTCTAATGCACCACAGATTTGGGCAAAGAGAACAGCGAAAAAGAGAATACAGATCATCAAAGACGTCATACTTCATACGTCAGCTATGCATTTAAGTAAAGACAACAGCAAAGAGAGCAGATTAACTGGATTAAGGGTTGTCTCCTGCTCCAAAAGCAACTTTCAAAATTTATCCGATCCGTAAACAGAAACACAAATCGTTTCTTACATAAATTATTGCCACATTTATCTTTTCTTCTTCTTTTTTATGTCTATGCCGCGAACGATGACGTTTTATTTATTTTTGTTAAAAAAGAGTCATAGCATTATTTCGAAATTCATACGTAACCGTTGTGTATAAATTATAAATAATATTTGGCAAGCAATTATTTAAAATAATGTACAAACAAGAATATGACATTTAGCCAACAATATTTACTTGCATCATTTTCCCAATTATTTGCATAAACATTATTATAAAATCAGAAATTGCGCCACTTTCATTCAATTTCACTTCTTTTAATTTTTTACCTTCTGCACTCAATTTGCGTTTACTTTCTGCACAATAAATATTCAGCATGGGAGAAATTTAAAAAAAAACACCTTTAAAATGTTGAAATCAAATAGATCAACTGAAATTTGCTTGCAGCAAAATAATTTCGATAAAAATGCAGAAAACAACAAAAACAAACAAAAAATCGTATACAAAGAGAGAACGAAAGCAGACAGCTGATATAAAAGGAGGCAAAAATCAACAACAACAACACGAAAAAACAGTGTATGTATGAGAGAGAAAGCAACTACAATTACAATGCAATGCAACAATGGAAGGGCAAAGAAACAAACGGCGATCAATGCTAAGCACAATAGTAAACATCCAAACAACGTTGACAAATGAGCAAGTGCGAGATAGAGAGAGAGAGAGAGAGAGAGAAAAAGGCGCCAACCACACCATCGCAAGATCTATGTAAACACAATGGGGGGGAGTGGGGAGAGTTTCTCAACTCTAATTTGGCCATGGGTTAAGTTTATCACACACGAAAAACAAACGGAAACGTGGCGAGCGAAAAACTTCCGCTAAGCAATTTTGTGATATGTGAATGTTTTGTTGTTGTCAAAACTTGTCGCACAAATTACATTTCGTTTCTTATTTAAAGTCACACGCGCGCATCATATTAATTGAATACTTCTCCAAATTAGTTGCAGAAATTACAAATACGAAAAGTTCGCACACGCTTCAATTCGGCGACTTTGCACTTCTGTGTTTAGAAACCGACTAAATGTTCAAATGCTGCCGCCATATGTTTACCTGTGCGTGTGCGAGAGAGCGGCACACACACACATGTGCAACGCAAATTTCCAGAGTGAGCGCTCAATTCACCACTAACAATAATGGCGCGAAAATAGCGATGAATTTTAACTACAAAATCCACCACCAACCGTGGTGCTGTTAAACTCAAAGGGTGCTGCTTTTTAATAATTAATTTTTGTACTTAATTAACCAGTGTCCTATATAAAATATATTTACACGTTTTTGTAATCTATGTGTATATATTAAAATAAAATAAAATATTTTTAAAAAAGTATTAGAATCGCCCCCGGGTGGACTCGAACCACCAACCTTTCGGTTAACAGCCGAACGCGCTAACCAATTGCGCCACGGAGGCACTTGTTGAGGCGGCTAGCAGAATGTTATTAAGAATATCCAACAAACAGAGAACATTTTTATATTTATACATTTATTCTTTGCAAATTGTATGTGTTTTTTACTAAGCAAAATAAATGCTTATTTAAAATTCCATTAAATTATAGCATAATAATATAAAAATAAATATTCACTTTGTTATATGTAATAACAATAATTTATTAAAAAATTGTAAAAAGATATTTGTCAGAAGTGGGATTCGAACCCACGCCCTCAGAGAGGACCAGAACGCTCGTACGAACCTCTGCTTGAGAGAGGCAAGATTTTTAAACCTTGAGTCTGGCGCCTTAGACCGCTCGGCCATCCTGACACTTGCTAGCGGCGTGTCGCAAACTCAACATGAATGCTAACAGCGCAATAACATTTGTAGCAAATAACAATGTTATTCTCACTAGAGAAGTTTGTTGTGCCTGTGTTGACTAAATAACGTTTATGATGACGTAAATCACGCTGAGATTTCGATCCATTAGCTCAGCTGGTTAGTGTGCCGTGCTAATAACGCGGAGGTCGTGGGTTCGTCCCCCCATGAGTTAACTTATACTTTTTATTTAATTACTATTTATTTTTTTTTTTAATTTTTGTAATTGCTATAACAAGTTAAATGTTTTTACTTTTTATTTTTGTTGGGCTGTTATTTATTTTCATTGATTTTTTTATGAACCTGAAAAAAACCAGGTCGTTAATTAATGACCAACGTTATCTGAAAAGTGATTAGACACTTTGGGCTAAAAAGCTTTTCGCAATGACTGGAAAATGTCCTGAGAAATCATGGCGAGCACATTAGCAGGATATTAGGATAGGTCCACACCCCCGCCATGATGTGAATGATGATGTCATGAAAAAGTAAAGAGAAATCAGAGAAAAGTACATTTTATGCCGAGATATTGATGATCTCAGAGCCAGTTGGCAATTGTCTTTTGTCAGTTGTCTGTTAAACAACAGCACTCTCAACACCACACCCTACATCACCCCCTACACTCCGCTGAACTCCACACTAATTGCCATTTAGTCTGTTATCTAAAAGCTGCTCGATTGAGATTCATTTATTTATTGATTTAATGTCGACACAGAAAAATACAATAGGTCGACAATAAACTAAATTAAGAATAAAATTTAATATTTAAATTTAAATTGAAGAACAATAAAAACCATTTGCAAGATAGTTGCGAATAATAATAGTTAAGAATAAATGATTCTTACTTTTTTATTTATATTTAAGCACCAATTGAGATGGTTAAGAATAACTTATTGACTTTTGAATATATGTTAAAAGTAATCTTTTATAGTAATAATAAGTCAGCGACACATAAATTTCAAATGTTTTATGTTTTATTGGAAACATAAGCACATAAAAGATGATTGGATTAGTTTTTAACTCTTTTCGTTTTATGGCTACATCAAAAGGTGCCTGTATTTTTGAATTTATGTTTATCCCCATTACTTGATTACGTAACCATTACCTAAACCGCCAACCATTTTACCGGAAGCTGGAAAATGTACTTTCAGCACCCACCCCCCGCCAAAGCCAAAAGGCGACGTGACATTTGCCACCTGCTTTTATATTAAACTGTGCAAATTTATTTGCCTCTACCTCTGACTTTGATGGGGTAAATGAGAACTAAGTGCTTACTTAGGTACGCCAAGGACTAGAAGAGATATCCTTGTAGACAGGTGGCAAATTGCCGACATGTAAATGGCACTATGAATTTAAAAAATCGACTGATAGCTGTCACGGTAACTATGTGATATAGTAAGCTGATAATAACACTATCGTTCAGTAAGTTGGGTAAACATAACTTCCTAAACTATTTCGACAGATTCTTGCTGTGTCAGCTTTATGGTAAAATTATGACTGCCGATTTTGATCTACAGCTTCGAGAAAGATACATAAAAGTTTCAGCTGAAGAATTCTTTTAATTCTTTTTGCTAATTTGTGAAAGATTGCAATTGATGTAAGCAAATGTAATCAAAATCAATTGTATCTGCATGATCCTGCAATTTACAATTGGCAAAACCAAGCAAACAGAAGTAAAACACAACAAGAGCTTATCAATTGTGGTCAATAAATCAGCAGATAATGCAACAACAGTTAAGCATTGTTCGGTATTAAGTGATATATAGATCAGATCCGGATCTGACAATTTGATACACACGATTACCACTTGACACTCAAGTGGAATAAACTTTTAAGCTCTAGTAAATAGTTTACTGCAGAAATATTCAATATTCTTTGCGACTATAAAAGTCAAAGACTAACAAACATTTGGTCAGTAATAGTTTTCCCATTGATCAGCGTAAAATGTTTCGCCCAACAATATTGGTAATAGTTTTGGCCAACTTGGCTGGGAATGCGTTGGGGGACTTGATGCCTCTGCCATTGGATGGTCGCATTGTGGGTGGTAGTCCCGCCGTAATCGGTTCCTATCCGTGGCAAGTTTCGTTGCAACGTTCCGGCTCCCATTACTGTAGCGGCAGTCTAATATCGTCGAGCCTTGTGGTAACTGCTGCCCACTGTCTGATCAGCACCGCCGGCGTGACCATTGCCAATCTTCGTGTGAGAGCCGGTTCCAGTTACAAGTACTCCGGCGGCATACTGAGCACGGTTAAGGATTTTAGAGTCCACGAGGCTTACAACAAGAGCGACAAAATGTTTGACGTTGCAGTTATCCGCTTAAAGACGCCACTCAAACTAAGTCCGAGTCTGAATGTTATTCCGCTGGCGGAGGTTACGCCAAAGCACAATGCAGATGCCACGTGCACCGGTTGGGGTGCCACCAGCTATCAGGGCTCGTCCTCCTGGCAATTGTTCTACATCAATACACGCATTGTGGGTCGCACAGAGTGCTCCGGTTCCAGCTACGGCTACGGCAGCAAGATCCGGGCCACTATGATCTGCGCGGCGTTTCCGCAGAGGGATGCCTGTCAGGGCGATTCCGGCGGACCACTTGTCTCCGACGGCAAACTCGTCGGCATCGTCTCCTGGGGCAACAAGTGCGCCGAGCCCAACTATCCGGGCGTCTATGCCAATGTGGCGGAATTACGCGATTGGATCGATCGAGCAGTGATAACCATTTAATTCGTACAATATTTCCAATCATTTAATGTATTTTGAGTCAACTCAAAATGTTTCTTAAGTTAAGAAAGATATTATTACTTTAATAAAATACAATTTGACATATTTTCAATTAACGAGCACTTAAACAAAGGATGTCCCTTTAATTTTGATTATAGAGTTACTCGTAATATTATAAATATTTCTTTATCTAATATATATTCAATATGCTGAGCACATCTTCTGAAAGCATTTCAGACTTTCTGATAATTTATTAAATTGAACATTTTTACATTTGATCAATAATATGTCGGGGTATATGATACATCTACTGGTATATTACACTTGTGTCTTTTATTGCGATCACAAGTCGATTAGAATCGATTCTCGTACAGATGCTTATCGAAGCATTTTAACTGATACCATAAAGTGCACATAGTCGAGTTCAGTTGTAATAATCAATACTTTGGCTGTGCAACTGCCTTCGTACCCCGTAGATAATCTTTATGATTTAAAAACAAGAAAGAACGACTAACTTAGATATGCCGCAGATTAGATATCTTTATGCCTAAGAGAGCTATACTATATAGTAGTACCATATCGAAAGTGTTATATCCAAATGTTAGGAGCAGAAAAACTCGTTTAGCAAATGAGTTTGCTGAGGTTAACTTAATAGACAAAAAAGGATTTATTTTCGATGGATCTTTCTTATTAGAGCTATATGATATAGTAGTCTGATCTCAACGATTTTTGAAATAAATATAAAAACAGTAATTAAAGGCATAACTGATAAGTTTGGTTAGCATAGCTTGTTAACAATAAGTTGTTCATACAAAACCTCATCTATCGACCGATTGTTCCTATGAACGCTATATGATATAGTGATCCGTTCCAACCGATTCCGACACATATACTATATGCAGCTTAGAGCCGAATACCTGCCAAGATTTATAAATTGAGATTTATATATTGCAATAAATTAGATAAATTACCCACATATAAATATCAAAATGTGGTTTCTACTTAGTGAATAAACGAAAAAAAACCACAGAACCTGATAAGTTCTCCACTGAACAAATAGAGGTATGCAATATGCTATATGCTATATATATATATAAAGAAAATGGTCACTGACCTTCATATTCCTTGCGTTTGCTGCGTAGGAATGAGGTTGTGATACGCAAACCACGAGTCGCATTCGATAGGATGGACGCTCTCGAACCCTTGCGATTACGCGATTTGCGACGCGACGAACTATTGTCGGCTGCAGCTGCGCCCGGTGGACAGCAGGAGGAGGAGAGGGTGCCCGCCATCGATTCGGATGCAGGGGTAATCGGTGTGTTGGGCGTATTATCGGAGTCGATGAAACCCAGATTACTATTGGCACTGTTGAGGTGTATGCTCGTGTGACTCGCAACGGCCGGCAGTTCCTCCTGGCCAGCAGCCAGCGTGGCGGCGAGCTGCTCATCCAATCCATTTGTTGTCTCCTGCGTCAACTGTTCCAGCGATTCAAAGTCACGATTTATAGCTGGGGGCATCGAGTGGCGGAACCACGACTCCTGACGTTCTTGGGCCGCCCGTTGTTGCTGTTGTTGTCGCCGTCGCGATTCGGGATTGGTATTGGTGCGATTCAGTTGCACGGTGCGGGTGTGGGTATTGTTACGACTATGCTCTGGACCCTGCAACTCCAGACTCTGGCGCTGGTAGTAGCCAGACATCTCTTAAGGCACTTTGTGTGTGTTTGTTGTTTGTATATTCCACGTATTTCATATATAGATATATATCAAGGCACCTTTTTACAGTGTTATTTTGTGTTAGTTTTTCTATTGCTTAATTCTCTCATACAGTTGCGGTCAAAATAATAGTGGTAGTCTTGCAAATTCTCAATATTTTCATAGCAACTCCTCTCATAATCCCTTCGAAAAATAATAATAAACCTGTCAACCTTATTTTTATTTTTATTTTATGCACTTAATAAGCACTTGGAATGTGGCATCGATTCTTGAAGCTGCTGACAGAAGTCCCAGTTTTGATCAAGCAAGAGCTAGAAGATCAAAAAATAAACCCAAACTAACAAAACATGATTAAAGTCTGGCAATGAATTTGAGTTTGAATTGAGTGTTAAAGAAATGGATGAATGGATGTAGTTGTTAGACGAATCCGAAATTGTTTCTAAAAACATTGTTTAATATATCCACGTATCTTATCTGGATTTTATAAATATTATGTATGAAGCTTCACAACTATTCCACTAGTATTATTTTAAACTCATATGTGTTCAATTTAATTTTGCTTTAAGTTTATGCCATCTAAATTAATTTTGTGTTGTTAATATTGACAACTATTAATCGACCTTTCAATGTTTAACTTTCTTTAGTTCTGATTTGCATACTGTATTCCAAGTATTTTTTGTATTTTTTCAAAACTATTATCTTGAGCGCAACTGTATATCAACTCAGTTCTGGTGAGGTCTTTAACCTTACCATTGTTGTTCTTGTTGTGGGTGGGCAAATGGTTCAAATTTAAATAACGGTTGTCTTAATAATAGCCTTGACTTCAATGTCTGCTGAGAACTAAAACAACTGGCAAATATACAAATAGACAAATAGACAGACAGACACACAGACTGTTAGTCCGTCAGAGTGCCTTTTGCCGAAGTCACTGACTAATTTTTGAGTTCCACAAACTAATGCTAAAATATTCAATCTGGCAACATCAAAAATTCATAGCATATATTCTCAAAAAAAGAGGAAAAAGCGAAAAGCAAAGCAAGTACAAAACAGTTATTCGCGTCACGCATATGCAGCCGACGCTGAGATATATTATAGACTCTGTACATATATATGTTATATATATACTATATCTGTTTAGGTAATCAAGCGTCGACAGTTATTCGATTTATTACTTTTTAAATGCATCGGTTCCTATTTTTGAGAGTTCACACATAAAAAATGCGCACACAATTTAAAGTCGAGCAGGAAAAAAAAGAAAAACAAAAAAACGAACAGAGGAAACAAAATAAAAGCCTTCAGATTATCGAACTGAATTGTTCTGTTAGCGGTTTTTATTGGGCCTGGTTAATTGTCGATGCCGTTACAGTTAAGTATACTATATTAACTAGAAGCAACTAAAACTAAAGTCCAACTTAAATAATAAATAAATAAAGGGATGCTTTTGTGATTTTGGTGTTTGTTTTTTTGTTAAAAGGACAACTTTAATTGTTTAACGCTCCACGATGCGAGTCCTTCTTCCGCTCTACCGCTTCCCACGTCCGCAACGTACAAAAGCCGAAAGCCAACTGGCAAAAGAACACACAGGACAAATAGCAGACAGGCAAACAGGCAGACAAAACTTCGTCATCGCTCGTCTTCTTCGTTTACATCTTCGTCCTTCGTCGGCGGCTCGCGCGAAGTCGCAGTGAAAGTTGTCAAGTTGTCACACACACATACACACACGCATAGAGAGCGCATTATCTGCCTTATGTTAAACGGTAAAAACTAGCAACATTTGTTATGAGAGCACATTTTATATGCCACCTTAAAACAAACGCTGTCAGTTCGGCCCATTAGCTCAGCTGGTTAGAGCGTCGTGCTAATAACGCGAAGGTCGCGGGTTCGATCCCCCCATGGGCCACATCATCTTTTTTGCTTGTGCTACATTTTTTTTTAATTCTACATTTATTTGCTAAAACAATCTTATCATTTACGCTTGAAATTGTAACAAGTAAAAGCGATAGCAATCTATGAATCATTTCAAGCAGGAAATAATGAAATGAATTCATTCCCGACGACAATCTGTTTAATGCTAACTGTGTTTCACACTCACCTCCATTTAATAGAACCGCAGATTCAAGGCGCGAACGGCGCTGTTGTCGCTGTTGCTGTTGTTCTCGTGGTGAAGTTGTCGATGTGGTGGAGTCCGCATCCTCTTCTCTTTGCAGCTGGTAACGTGACACCATAAGGGTTAAATGGGGTGGGCGCGCGACGAACGGGTTAAGGTGGTGGGTTCAGATGTCAGTTTGAGCTTAGCAGTGCAACTGGTGGGAAAACACGAAAAAAACACTTAGCACAAAAAATGCACACTACAAATCACAATTACGCACAATAAAATATAATAAACTGCAGTAAGTTGCACTCCGATTACTAAAGCCCAATTTAGCTCTTTTGCTATCTTGTACACATATTGCTTTGTATTATTAATGCTACAGTTGATAAGAGCAAATGAAAAGCATAACAAAAACACACAGAGAACATTTACAGACTGTTAAATTATTAAACACTCAACAACTGTTATTGACAGTGACCGCAAATTAGACGCAGCAAAGCTGCCGTTACATTCTACAGCGTCATACAATAGACTTAATTAAAGAACTTATCTGCGAAATGTTGTCAATACACTCTTACAAATTGTAGTTCAATTTAGTTGTTGTTTAACTTAAATTTGAATTTATATGTTAACAGAACAGCTGTTTGTTTCTATTAATTCGCACTTTAACAGAGAAGTCCCACAAGTGTTCTAATGTTAAACCAGTCAGGGCTGCATTACACAACCAGCTGGCAGCGCCAGCAATTTTTCTTTACATTTTGAAACGATACCAAAATGAATAAACATGTTTTTTTTTTAAACAAACTAAGTGTATTTTATTTTCTAATAATGTTACAAAAACACTTACATCTATTTTCATTTCGAAATCAAATTTGTACACATTATACAAAAAGATAAATCATAATATAATTTCAATATCCGTTCCGATTGCAAACTGAAAGCAAAAATTTATGGCAAAAAAATCGAGGAAATTAAATAAAAAACGATTCATTTTATACATATAGATATTAATTCAAGCAACATAGAATGTGTTAATGATTTTGTTTTATTATTATTTTATATGGCAAAAATGGCACTCGGCGTCAGTTTCCAAAATATGGGTTATTTTCTATGGAGCGATTTATATTATAAATATATAGAATCTTGTCAGGAAATTGTTAATGCACTTATGAACTATGTATTTTCAAAGGGTCATTCAATATGAACGATGGTAATTAGTACTAGTTTAGTTTAGTTGTAGTTGGGTTGGTCATTTAAAACTTGCATTTGTTACACATTTATTTTTAGTTACATAGGATATTATTTGATTATATTTTATTTTATTTTATACACAGTCTCTTTCAGAAATGCAAGTGGTGCTTTCGTGCCTTATTTACATCAAGACATTTACAAAATTAAAAATATTAGAATTCAGAAATCATAAATCAAAATATTCAATGATTAGTAGTAGTGGTAAAAAACAATAAGTAGATTGTGACAATTGTAGAAATATACGACTCGATTTGTGGGCCCAAAATCCAAAGTGATGATAATGATGATGTTGATGAGGATGTTATAAGACGTTCTCCATATTCGAGCGAACATTTCGTAGTACATTGTGCGTTTTGAGTATTTGATTCTTTATATCTTTTTCAACTTGTGCTTTTGCTTTGTTAACCACACGCAACTTATCGTAGGTGTCTTCGAATGCGCGCTTTGTGCGTATTAATTTACGCCGTAAATCGGCATTTTCTTGCTCTACCTTGGCACAGTCGTGCATCGGTGTCTGTCCAGTAACAGCCGTACTCGTAGAAGCAACCATAGCCGTAGCAACATCCTCCGTATCTGGTGAAATATCTGCAAGGCATAAATATTTAGTATATTTAGTACATATCCCAAATATATTAATTCCTGATAATTGTAGTATATGATGACGTAGCTAAGTTAAATAAAACAAATTAAAGCCCGGATTCAATTCTGAAAAAAATTATCGATAAAAATAATGATGTAAACAGCTATTTTTAAACGAAGTTTTACATTAACGATAACTTTTTATCGAGCTGTAAGCTGGGCATTAACCGCTGCTGATCAGCGATGACGTCTGATATCCACATGGTTTGTTATGTACACTTTATGTTATTTTAGAGCTGTTATTACAGTGCTGTTAGCTAGATTGCACTCGTGTCCTGTTAGCAACATTACCCTAATGGCCTGTTACCACTATTACACTCGTGGAGTGCAACAAATAGCTCACCTTGCTCGCCTGCCTCTTCTCCAATCAGTTCCACAGTTTTGAGCAGTGGGCGCTGTGCCGTTGCCAGCTCTACGCTGAGCACGCGACCCACATCGCTCTCAATGCCTAGATCCGGCGATGGATTATTTAGGCGTTGACCCGTTGCCGCTGAGTTGCTGCTGCTGTGGCTGCTGCTGGTGATTCTCACAGTAGCTGGCACGACGACCTCCTCCGAAGTGTAGCCAGATTGGGAGACATCGCTGCTGTTGTTGATGGGTTTGATGAGTCGCTGCTGCTGCTGCTCCTGGAGCTGTGTCAGCGTTTGCTTCAGCTCCGTCAGTCGACTCTCCAGCTGTAGCTTGTCATTGTAGGCCTTGGTGCGTTCCATGATGGCCTTAGATGCTTGCAAAGTGCTTTCATCCAGCTGCTTTTTCAGTGCACGCGTCGCCAACTCATTCTCGACAAGGGTCTGCTTCAGATCCTTTTCGCTGTCCTCGTAGAACTCAATGGAACGCTGCAAGTCGAGCAGTTGCAATTTGAGCTCCTCATGCTCGGAGCTGGCAACCCAATCGCGTTCCAAGATCTCCTGCTGCTTCGCCAAACGTTCGGCTGCCTCCATTTTAAACTGTGAGAGTTCAACGCGTGCCGCCTCCAAACTGGTTGCATGCTGCTCCTCCATGTGGAGCAGTTTACGCTGTGCTTCCTGCAATTCCAACTCGGTGATTTGAGAATCCGCCTGGAGCGTATTGTATGTCAATTGCAACTGTTGCAGCTGCTGAGTCTGCAATTCGTTCAGGTTTTGTAGTTCAATCAATTCCTGATCCTCTTGCAGTCCAATTGCACGCAGATCCGACTGCAGTGCCTGGTTTTGCGATTGTAGCTGTTCCAGCTGTTGATTAAGCTCCAGGACACGCAGCTGCTCCTGCTTGAACCGACTATCCGCATCGACCAGCTGACATTGGGCTTCGAGGAGACGTGCCTCCATTTGATGCAGGCGAGAGCGCTCCTTGGATTGGCTACTACTTGGCAAAGTTGGCTGCTGCTGCTGCTGCAGCTGCTCCTCGCTATCGGATTCGCTAAGTTGCTGCTGCTGCAGCTGCTTCTGCTTCTGCTGTTTCTGCTGCTCCACCAAACTGTTCGAGGTGTCCTCGAGTCCAATGCGTGCCAAGGACACTTTACGATCAGGCTCCGACCAAGCCTCCGATTCACTTTGATTATCCAGCGCCAAAGGCAACGAACGACGCTCCTTGAACGACTTCGATTTGTCCTTCTCCTTCTCCCTCTCCTTGCCCAACGCTTGCATATCCTCAAGGGAATTGAACGTTTGATGCTCATCGGTATAGAGCAGAATTTCCGAGAGTTTGCTCAACTGTGCCAGACTCTGATCCGCCATAGAGACACCCGTCACAGACAACGTCATATTGAGGCTCTTGGACAAATCCAGGCTGCGATCCACGGCACGACGCATGGCATGACGACGATCTGCGGCCAGGACACCGAGTACATCCTTGTGCTTCAGCAGCGAATTGAGGAAGCCAGCCAATTCCTCCAGGCGATTGGTGAGCACAGCACAAACATCAGCGCATTCCAGTCGCCACTTGTTGGCCAACTCCACATCCGTCTGCATGGATTGCAACTGCTGGCGGAGTTGTGGCACCAGTTGACTGCTCTGCTCCAGCTGCTGCAGTCGCTGAAGCAACACATCTACTTTGCGTTGCAGCAATTTGTTGCGCTTCAGCGTCTTGCGGAACTCCGCCTCGGTATAAGTGATGGCATCATCTTGAGCAGTTGATTCCAGCGATTGCTGCTGACTGCTGCTGAGCAGTTTGGTTAAGCGTTCCACTTCGCGGTTCTTTTCCCATAGCTCCTTGTTGACGAGATTCTGCAAGTTGGCCGTCTTCTTTTTGATATCCGCCCGCAGCTGTTTGATTAGCTCATCCTGATCCTTCAGCTGTTGTTCGTAGCGCTGCTTCAGGCCACTGGAAATGTCCAAGCCAGCAGTGGATTCATTATCGCTCTGCGAATGCAGCTGCTGAGCGGTAGGCGAAATTGTCGTTGTTGATGTGGCCACATCATTCTAGAGAACAGTAAAGATATAGAATTTAATGATAAATGAAGCACAAATTATTAAGAAACTTATTATATAAAATTTATTGAATTAAGTTGGCCGATTAACTCAGACGAATCAATAGCATCTATGGTTCTACCATCCAAGAGAGAATACAGAAGATTTATTAATAAAAATCATAGAAATTATAGAAATAGTTTTTGCAAGGATTCAATTTTATTCAGGTGAACTTTGTAATTGGGAGACCATGACCAAGCCATTTTCAAATATAGAACGCACAAGTGAAATATAAAAAATTCTGTTATATATAGTATATAGTTATTTACCGATTGCTGCTGCTGCTGCGTCTGCTGCTGCTTTTTGTATCTGTTGATTTCCTCATCCTGGCTGCTCACTTTCAGCATCAGTTTCTGTATGGAGCGACAGGCCTTTTGGTAGACTCGCTCCAGCTCCGCCAGCTGCTCCTTAGACACCTGCAGCTCACATTCCTTGTCGGCCAGCTGAGTGCGCAGCTGAAAGTATATACCATGGAGAGAGAAATGGTTGTAGAAAAAGCTTAACTAAGATTCAAATCTTTCTTTGAACAATTCTCGACATGACTATATTATTTTCAGTGGTAATTTTTCTTCGAATATTTACTATTTTATGTTGACAAAAAACAATCGTAGATTTAAGGAACCATTTTTTCTTTTGTTTCGTTTTTTACATTTTATTTGAAAGTACATGTAAATATGAAATAACGAAAAAATTTTGAGAGCAGAAACCTGCACCATTTGCACTACGCTGCATACGGAGACAGATGAACATAGAAAAAGAGCACAGTTGGGTCTGTCGTCTCTCAGTCTCTGAAACACAAAACGTGCATTGCATTAGCCTTTTAATCTGAATTCTTTTCCCCCAGTTAGTTGGCTGTGATGGAGCCGGCGCACCAGCGACACAATAATCCACTCAGTCCATGGAATGATAATTGAGAATAGTGACAAAATGCCGTACTTGGCGCACTAACCGATAAGACGGGCATTGTCAATGCTCTTAAATGCTGCGGGTTCATCACTTAAGCAAAACAATATGCCCAAAAAATGATGCTGCGTTCACCTCGGGCATGGAGAAGTATAACATTTTGCGATCCTGGCGCGGATAATCCTGAGTGCCTAACACATCACTGATCAATGAGAATGTGGAACGTGGCATGGGTTGCATAGCTGCAGAAATGCGTTCGCGATATTGCAACTTGTTGATCAGTTCCTGAAAGAATTGTTTCTCACGTCGCATTTTGTCCACATCACAGCTCTGTTTGCGTATAATGCCCTCGTGTTCGATCAGCAGTCGCCAATAAGCACAATCCTTTTTATAATTCATATCCTCGAGTAGCTTTATCGATTTGCGCTGTTCATCAAACACTTTTGCGGCATCCTCAATGCATTTGTTGCGACCCAACATTTCACGTTTAATGCTGTTCAATTCACTGAGAAGACTGCGATTCTCAGCCAAACAGGCGCACAATTCGAGCCTCGTTTGCTAAATGCTTAGGTTCAGTTGGCTAACACACACACACACAACACTCACGCAAAACAACTATCTCACTACAACTACAACTTACATTTGCCAACTCATCGGTTTGTGTTTGCCGCTCGAGTTGTTCAACCAGTTCGGCATTTTTAATTGCCAGCTCCGCAATCTTTGCCTCGCACGCCACCAACGATTCCTGGCGATCCTCCAAATCGGCTGTAATAACGCCACGCTGACGCTTCAGCTCCGCTTCCTTCGAGTCAGCCTCCAACAAAGCGTTCTTCAGCCGTTGCACCTGTAAATGTGATTATTGGTTGTGTTAAGTTTCTATTTTTATATAATTATATAGTTTGTATAGTATACATCATTTAAATCACATTACCTATTTTATAAAAAAGATTGAACAATAAGTTTATATTTTAAACGGTTGCGTCTTATTTATTTGAACGGCGCTTCAAAAGTGGCGAAATCTTTTATCGATGCTTTTATCGCTCGATCGATTAATTAATATCGATTAACACAGTTGGCTAACATAATGCGCTATATATGGGCACAACATGCAAATACAACATTGAGTGACATTAACACTATGACAGTTATATTTAAATGAGCTATGATTATGAGTAAAGACTAATAATGCTATAAGCCGTGTTAAAATATATTTCAGTGAAAGCCAAAGAAGCTAATTAAATAATTTGCCTGCCTCTACGACCTTTATAAGTGCACCTGATTCCTGGCGATTACAATAATTTCTCTCCTACAATTTACTTATTGGGCTTTCTTGTAGTTTTATGGTGGTTTGCTGATAACCGCCGTCAAAATATATCAAAGAGTCGAACAGCTGTTCACAAATTCCACACAGCTTAAGTTAGCAGAATGGATTTCAGTTTTAACGTCTCAAAACCAAACATTAAATAGTGAAAAATTTCGAGAGATGTTTTACACACTTTTAAGACCAGTATTGCTAGAGATTTCCATTTTTAAAGTCTATGTATAAATATATATATACAACTTTTAAAGATTACTCACGTCTGCTTCCAGGCTCTTGAATTTTTCAGCGTTCATAGCATCCATGGAGGCTCTCGGTTCCCGCTGCTTGGCGGCCTCCTGTGAGAAGATATCAAACATCATATATATCATGTATTTAACAGATATTTGTATTTTTGTAGGTATACCTCCAGCTGGTGTATATATTGCTGCATTTGCTCAATCATCGCATGGCTCTCCAGCTCCGAGTTGCGTTGCATAGTCTCGTGCTGTGATATCGCACGGGCTGCATCCTTCAAGAGATTTGTTTTCTCCTCGATTTCCTTGCGCATCACTTCAATTTCAATTTTGGAATCAATCAACTGTTTGGTTGGGGATTCACCCGTACTGTTAACAGCACCTCCACGTGTACCACCACCGTGACCGCCCTCGTCCATGAAATAGATGCGCAGCTTCAAATTGAAGTTCTCCTTCCGCAGCGTCGACATCTGCTCCTCCAGCTCCCGCACGGAGCGTCCCTGCATCGGTGAATGAATCCCACCCGGCGCACGTGCCGCATCAAAACGCCGCATCAAAACTGGAATCTGTATAGGAATAGAGCGACAAATATAAAATTGTAAGTTACATTTATATATATATATATATATATATATATATATATATATATATATATATATATATAATATATATAATATATGTAAAAGCAAACATAAACTTGCCACAATCAACAAACTCACGCAGGCCATTTGTTGCGGACATTCTTCGCGAGAATGCTTCAAAATCAAAAAATCAATATGTAAATGAAATAGAAATATGGAATATGGAGAAGCCGAGTCCACCAATTTGCATATAGAGAATGTGTGTTTTCCGTAATGTAGATCTAATCAAATATATAATGTCGTATGTGTTGATGACATAATACACACCGACAAGCAGCTCAAACAGTTGACAAATCAATTTTATATTCTAATTTGAATTTGCCAATAGTTTGAAAATATTCTTCTTTAAAAGATTAATAGATTAAAAGATTATAGGTACATTTTTAATTTTTCAGAGATAATTCTAATTTGTGAATAGAATAGAATGATTGTAATAAAATCTAGCAAAAATTCAAAGATTTCTTTACACAATTTTATTAATAATTTTTTTAATTTTGCAGCTAAAGTTTCTCATTTTCGGCGGTAAAACCAATAAATTCTAGCTAAAAATCAAAGATTTCCTTATATATATTTATGGCATGGTTATTTTATTTGTTACTCACATGAATTTTCCATGGTTCCATCGTGAAGACCGCCCGGACTGGTGCTGCAAATAGAAACAAGCCATAAAACCACATTAGAAACACATAAAATAAATACAAATACAAATTCCAAATTCCAAATTCCAAGAAACACACAGAAATAGTAATTATTATTAGGTGATTTAATATCTTTGTTGAACTGTAAAATACAATCAATGTTTATGCTTGGGGCAGTGATGTTAGACATTATTATTATAATAAAGTTCAGTTCATTTCCGTTACGATAGTCGTCGCCTCCAACTCAAAATTGGGGCCAATTGTGGTCTCCTCCGCCTCTGCCTCCGCCTCTAGAGAATTAAATCCAAAGCACTCCTCGGCATTGTCAAGTTTTGTTCCATTGCAGAACTCCTCGTAGACAGACCAAGCACCCCAACCCTGTTGTTTTCTGATAAGACGAGCACAGAGCACAGCACTCGTAATATCATTAGTTAGTAAAGCGGAACAATTGACATTGCAACCGTTGAAGGCATAATAAGGCGTCTCCTCGGGTGGGTCGCACCAAAACCGATCACTGATCTGAAAGATGCCATAATCCCGAGAGCCATCCACATTGCCATTGCCAATGACATGGGTATTGAACCGACTCTCAAAGTCCGCGATGCACAACCAATGTCCGAGTTCCGCTTTGGGCACATCCAAGATATACAGCTGACCAGCCAGCTCGCAACGATCCAAACGGATCGGGCTTACTATAACCAGCAGGCCCAGACACAACCATATGCCCAGGCGGAGATTATCCATTTCAGCTGCAGCTCTTGACAAGCTTCAACAACAACAACGCTTTAACTGACAAAACACAGTCAAAACGTAGATCCAGCTAATCAACAGTTGCCCATCAGAGATGGACAGCAAAACAAATACGATAAATTCTTATAATAAACACCAGATATATATACGAGTTAAGTTTGAAAGCTTTTCGCATTTATTACTCTTTAATCACGCATTTTTATAACTAGCTTAATTCGAGCTGCTTTCTTTGTTTATTTTTTTTTACATTTTAATATATTTTCTTGTTTCAGTCACGCTGACATCTCTAGGCTGGGGTCACTTTAAACAGGTTTCAATTTTTTCTTTTGTTTGTTCGTAGTTGATTCAGGCAAATAGTATAATTAAGCGGTAGTTTATGACAAAGGCGCCTGTGTGCTTATAAACAAGTATATATGATCTTACAAGTCTAACGCCTAATCAAATAATAATAAGCATAATAATACCAAGCATGGGGGATCTCATCATATTCAGAATAACCTTTTTTAATCTTAAAAACGTGTAAATAAATAATAATCCAACATATTATATTTAATAACTTTTAATTTAAACAACAAGGAAGTAATTATATAAAGCCGAATAAAATATAATCTTGTAGTTTGGAGAAAACCGGCTCACTTTAAAGTAAAAGAAAATGTTGAGTACAAGATGAAGAGAGAGAGAGAGAGAGAGAGAAAGTGGAATAGGTGATGCACTATGAGTAGCATATGAGAGAGATAGAGGGTATGAGTAGGAGTTGTAGTATAAGTATACGTAAAAGTAACAGAGACAAAGAGAGAGAGAGAGAGAGAGAGAGAGAGAGAGAGAGAGAGAGAGAGAGAGAGAGAGAGAGAGAGAGAGAGAGAGAGAGAGAGAGAGAGTGAGAGTGAGAGTGAGAGTGAGAGTGAGAGTGAGAGTGAGAGTGAGAGAGGGAGAGAGAGAGAGAGAGAGAGAGAGGGAGAGAGAGAGAGAGAGGGAGAGTGACAGAGAGGGAGAGAGACAGAGAGAGAGGGACGGAGAGAGAGAGATTGACAGAGAGAGAGATAGAGGGAGTTTGTCAGAGAGCGAGAGAGGGAGAGTGACAGGGAGAGAGGGAGAGTGACGGAGAGAGAGAGGGAGAGTGACAGAGAGAGAGAGAGAGAGGGAGATTGACAGAGAGAGAGAGGGAGATTGACAGAGAGAGAGAGGGAGAGTGACAGAGAGAGAGAGAGAGGGAGATTGACAGAGAGAGAGAGGGAGATTGACAGAGAGCGAGAGAAGGAGATTGAAAGAGAGCGAGAGAAGGAGATTGAAAGAGAGCGAGAGAAGGAGATTGAAAGAGAGCGAGAGAAGGAGATTGAAAGAGAGCGAGAGAAGGAGATTGAAAGAGAGAGAGAGAGGGAGATTGACAGAGAGAGAGAGGGAGATTGACAGAGAGAGGGAGAGTGACAGAGAGAGGGAGAATGACAGAGTGCGTGACAGAGAGAGAGAGAGAGAAAGAGTAAGAATTGGCAATGGAGAGTGAGAGAGACGGAGAAAGTACAAATTAGAAAAGAAAGTATGAGAGTAATATAGAGAGTATGAGTAAGACCGATAATATGAGTAGGAGATGGATAGGGAGTACGTGTATGGATATAGACAGAAAGTGAGATATTAAAGAGACAGAGATAGTAAATTTTCAGCAGACTCTCTTAATATCATTAAACAAAATAAAAATCTGAAGACCTTACTTGAATTCTTGAGAATCGCATAGAAAGGCTCACATGCAAAAAATGAATTTTCACATTATTAAATATATTCATATTTACATTATTATACAATAAATGTTCGCAGATGCCTTCTGTGCATTTTAATGGTTACTTTTGCATACTGGTGGACATCTGCTGGGCACATTCATTCATTCATTCATTGCCTTATTCAAACATATTAAAGTCTGTGAGTAGCTTGCCAAAATGGGGTCTCGTTTACTAAGTAAAGCAAACTCATCACCAAATTAATTTAAATAAAGGCAATGTGTTTGTCTATGTATTGGTATTTGTATACGCCTACACAAATACCTAAGTGCTTATATAGAAAGAGTCGAAATTTTTGGGTCTCGAGTTAAGTGAAGCGTTACAATTCTTTTGTCGTATAGATATAGAGGCACACCCTGCTTCTTTCTTTCATTCAACACAACGTGACTTCTGATGTCATTACAGTTTAATATAAATTTCATTAATTTGATATATAAAGCAAGAGTGCTTTCCTTGACTTGAAATGCTTACAAGGTCTCTCTAGTAAAACTGGAGCAGTAATCTAATCATTAAGTAAATACCTAACTTCGACACAAAGTGTTGATTCAAATAGCCATATTTGCAAGCAGAAACACGATTTTCACAATTCGATTGCGAAATGTAGAGCAAAGTTTCAAAGAGGTAACGAATAACAAATTTAACAACAAAATTTTGATTTATTTAGTGTGAATTTCAGTGCATTTGAAGCATGTCGATTTATAAAGCAAGCAAGAATGCCGTAGTCGATTGAACTCGACTACGATATACCCTACAACCAGCTATTATATATATTCTGGTCTTATAGCCAAATTTCAGTTTAAAAGTGTCGCATACCCAAATGTAGGTGTGCAGAAGTGCCCTCATTTCTTGGCCGATCTTGATTTAATTTAATTATAACATGTAACAATTGCAAGATGCCTCTCAAATTGATGCTTTTATTGCTATTGGAAATCGATATGTACGACATATTCGCGAAGCGGAGACAGTTGTGAAATACACTTGATATGCTCGAGAAGATATATGAACAATTTGAGACTGTTAGGTTACTGAAATCGGCTTGTTTATGCAGGCTGACATACATACATGGCTATATCGTGTCGACAATATTTCTATTGCTGCTACGGAGTAGTAAATAACAAACACTCTAAATATCTTTTTTGTTTTTGTTTTGTGTTTTTTTTCCTACTATATCAGAATTTTTTTGGATTTTTGAAATTTATATATTTTTATTCTTTGCTCTTGATCGCTCAAGGTACTTACCAAATTGTGGATGGGGAACCCGTACAAACGGAGAATCGTTTGAATTGCGCTCTTGGCGGCGTTTCATTTGTGTTCATAAGCGAATTGGTGCGAAATAAGTGCGCCATTATATATATATATTTTACTTAGTTTATGATATTTTTTGACACAATAATGTCGTGTGTTCTTCACAAGTACAGTGCATTTAATAAACTGCTGAATTAAATATGAATTTCTTTAATTTTTAAATCGATTCGAATGCGTCATCTTCTTGTTGTTTGTTCTTTGATTAAGTTCTTGTCTTTTTTGTTGTTGTTGGTTTTGGCTGTTGCGGCATAGCAGTCTATAAATGCAACTTCAGTGCAGGTATAATTACTTTGGGGTTACACCACACACACACACACACAAACATACTATATATATATCTAGTACATATACAGCTGCGATAAAAATAATAGCACCACTTTAACAAGAAATGTTTCCTTATAAATATGTAAGTTTAAGGAACTTATAAGTGGAAGAATACTTTAAAAAAAAGTTAGAAAAAATTAAATTAATGAAGAAAATGAACGAAAAAAACCAAAATCAAACTGCATTTATGAATATGCATTTATAATTATGAACATTAGAAATAAATAAACGATTTCTATAAACTAAAGTGCGTAAGTGGTGCTATTATTTTCAGCGCTATTTGGCGATTTTCCCTTCAGATGAAAAAGAAAATAAATATATATTGAAAGTAATTCTAATTTAATTTATATTGGGTACACTTAGCAATATATTAAAAATCAACTTTTGAAAGAATTACAAAAACTAATCGTTTGTCATATTGTAGTTGTGCTATTAATTTGACCGCAACTGTATATAGTACATATAATGAGTCATTGGCGCGTCGATTTTGCTGGCAGCCAAGGCGGATGTTTTTTGGGCGGCAAATGTCCCCGAAATCATTGCACATCACTCAGCAGAAGGAGCTCTGCACACACGCACACACGCACACACACTTACATACATATCTAAATCTATGTCTATATATGTATGTATCTATGTTTTGGCTGCAGTTTAGTTTTTCTGCTAAATCTTCTGCTGGGCTTTTTTTCTTCACCGGCCACAGTTCGCCTTCCCCCCATGTCTGCCCTCCCCTTACATAAATGGGACTTTTTTTTATGCACGTTCGCATCTCGAAATTATTTTTGGAATTGAGCAAAAACCCAAATACGATAAAGTACGACAAAATGCAACTGTGAAATGAAAACAGTTTTTGTTTTTATTGTTTGCATTTGTTTTGACTTCTTTGCATAGCTATGGTTACAGCGCGATTTCCCCTGGCAATTAAATAGTTGCCCCACAAGCAAAACAATAATTGAAAATGTGTTCAACATTTGCAGAATTAAAGTTAACATTTTTTGCAGACAACAACAGGTGTTGCCAGCCCCTGTGACCCAAATAAGTATGCACATAAATGTCTGCTAAACAGTGTCAAATGGTGTGCAAAAAGGAAATTAAAGAAAAATTCAATAATAATAATAGAATTATAGCTGGCATTAATATTAAAAGAAACATCTGCGACAGTGTTAATTAGTGCGCAAAAAGGAATTTATGCCCAATTACAATAATTAGAATTAGTGGAAATTTTAAAGGAAACATCTGCCACAGTGTTAGCGAAAAGTGTGAAAAGTAAATTAAAAATTCCAATGGTAAAATAATTAGTACTATTTTTAATGAAAAGCGTAAAATAGTGTTCAAAAAGCAAATTAAAAACTGCCCATAATAATACCTGGCAGACAACCTAGCGGGGATAAAATTATATATAATTATTATTAGTATTAGTTTTAAAGAAAGCATTTGCGATCTAATCGATTACATTTATATGAGGCTTGCAGCTGCTGCACATGCCACATGCCACATGTGCCACTTCTGCCACTACCTGCACTACCTAAATTATTGCAACCGTCAGTTGTAAATTGTATGTGTCTAAAACAATATAAGGTCATTAGAAATAATTAACAAGTATTTCTAAAACAAATACAAAAAACAGCCCCAATAATCGAATGTAAACAAGATACTTGATTCCAAAGCTTGACCATAAATGAATGCAATTTTTGCGATCCAAACTGAACTCATTGGCAGCTTACAATGCACTGAAAAAAAACCTGGTTTATACAAACAGAGCAAGGGACAACATACGGGATAAAAGCAGCGGCAAAAAAAAAAAACAAACTGTACTCTAGTCGGAAATATGGTGGTGCAAAAGGGAACAAAGGGCACATTTAAGGGTATTTTAAATAACAAAGGCAAACAGCTTTTTTTTTATTTATCCCTTATATATATACATATATATTTACGCGATTAAAGTGGTTTATCTTTGCAATGCGCATTATCATTATATATATGCATAAAGATATTGTGCTATATATTTTTCCACAAACTAAATTTAGACGCAGCCGCAGCAAAAACAACAGTGAAATTAACAACAAGACGAGACGTACACACACACACACACACACATACATACATATGCACTATGTATATGTACATATATATGGCTGTGTAATTTATATAAGAATATTGGCAGTCTTCAACACTGATAGATGATTTTATCTACACACACACATAATCACAAATTGAATTCTCACTTTAGCTGATGCATATTTGCTGCACACACAAACACATAAGTAATTGTATATGTATACGTATATATGTATTTAGACTGATAGGCGTTAAGCGAATCACAATCACAACAAACGAACAAAAATACACAATGCCAAATACTATAATAATTGATTGTAGTTCTTCGGCGAAATAAACGAGAATAGTCTAATTGAACCGAAAGTCAGAATAGTACTGAAAATGCGCAGCGCGAGATAATCAAAGAGAGAGAAAAGCCCAGCAGCAGCACGCCGGCAGAGGCAGCATCATTCATCCCATCCATAAGGAAATGCGCTCAGCAGAGAGAGTATGCGTTCGCATACAAATGCACGGCAGATGTTACGCTCATGTTCTTATCGCTACTCTTTTCGTCACCCCACCACATGGCTCGCTGCTGTTCGGTTCTGCTCTCACACATTAAATGGGGTGGGTTATGTACACAAACAAATACACACATACATCATATGTGTAACTTTAGCAGAGCATGCCTAACTTTAACAGAGGATGTCTAAGTTTAACAGAGGGTGGGCAACCTGCACCGCTGCTGCTGTTGTTGATCTTTTTTGATGCAGTTCTGTCAACTTTTATGATGTGATTTGGTTGGATGAGATATGGCATAGGTATATATATAAATATAATATACATAAATAACTGTGAAGCAATGCTTCTTTTAGTTGTTGGATCGAAGCCAAAGTGTGCGCATTGCACTTGCACACAAAATGCATTGCCAAAAGCAAAACTTCAAAGGCAATACACACAATTTAACATGCATAATAAGAACACAAATTGTTAGGGGTACTCACACGTCGATGTCTATGCGTTTGGATAGTGCCTCGGCCAAGTTTTTCAATACTCTGGGATCGACTTCAACTTGGCCATTCTCTGCAAGAAAGCTCGTCACACTTTCAATCAGTGAGATCTCCTTTAAGGACGAAGTGCACATGCCATCGCTATTGTCGCAATAGTCACGCGGCGTCTGTTTGGATTGATCCGGGTCCATTTCAGACAACAAATAGTCTACACAGCTGTTTTACACTTAACAAATTCGTCCGAATTATTAGACAATTAGAAAAATTTAGCGCGCTCTCGTCAGATGTTTTTGGCGTCTATTTTTGGATTGGTTATATCGATAAATCGCAATCGTTGCGACATTGATGGCAGCTTTGTGTTGCCAGAAATCAAAAATTAACAAGGTGGCAATCTCTAACTGCACGTAGTGAAGAAGAAGCAACATACATAGACTGCAAATTTAAATAGATTTACATTTCATTGATAAGCCATAAGTATTTGGACAGCAATTAATTAGAGCAATGATATAGAAAAGAAACGACAGAAAAAAGCAGGTGTGCCGCATCGCGATAATCTAAATACATACACATTCCAGCTCAGTTGAGCTCAAGCAACAGAGACGGGCACACAGCCACAAAAAAATGTTCGCAACGCTAAAAAACAAAATCAAGGAGGAAACTGGCGAAGATGTGTCAACGTCAGCACCGCAGGCCCATCAACGGCACAACAACAACAATAACAATATCAATAATTATCGCATACGCAGTCGTCGTGTAAGCATCAATTCCAATCTAGCTGAAGAGGTGGGCGCGGGCGGAGGCATTTACAATGAGGTAAAACTCCCAATGTAAACATCAAGTTTTAACAATACTCATTAAACAGCTGTTTATTTTGTTTTGCTGTTGTTATTTGTAGAGCGACCAAGTGTGCCAGATGCGAAGTCAGTGCAATGAGCTCGCCGCCAGAGTGACCAGCCTTAACCAAAGTCTGCATCAATTGCAAGAGGAAAAACTCCGTGTGGATAAGACAAATGAGATTCTCTTGGAAAGCGTACGCGTTGCACAGACCCAAAAGGATATCTATTGCGAGGAGCAGGAGAAGATACAAAATTTGCAACGAATCGAAATTGATAAACTGAAAAATTTGATAGGTTTCCGCGAACAGGAAGCCGTCGATCATATGAATTCCATACGCCAACTGCAGCAACAGATTGAGAACTTTAGCCAGGAATTGGAACGTTTGCGTCAAATCGAACCGATTGCTGAGGATTTGCGCGATGAACTCGAACAGCTGCGGCATGCTACACAGCACGAGAAGAGCCAGTTGACGACAACACTAGCCGCTGTTCAGGAGGACAATCGTAATCTGCAAATGCGTATGCGAATTGTGGAAGAGGCACGTCTGGAAACGTTGCCCACATTGAGGCCGGAGCAGCAGGTCCAAGCTCTGGTGCATGAGCACAAGTTGCTCGAACAGCATTTGGAGGAGGCGCATCTGCAACTCGCCGACATCAAGAGCTCGTGGAGTGGCCAAAATTATGCACTAGAAAAGCAAGTTAATCGTTTGTCCCAACAAGTTGCCGAGGAAACAACCGAGAAGCGAAAGGCTCTGAAGGCACGCGATGATGCCATCGAGTGTCGCAAACAGGTCGCTTTTGACTTGGAGAAGGCCAACTGTGAGATCAAGCAAAGAGATGATAAGGTATATATATAAATATTGTAGTTACAAATTTTAAGTCACAAAAACGTTATAAAGTAAGGTCCAGTATTATCGATATACTTATCACTCGATCAGCAGTGCTGCTCAGCATCAATTAATAGTGTTGCTTAACATAATTAGTTATATGGTCACACATGCCATATTGAGTGTTTGGTATTATGACGGTTATATTTAAATAAGTTAATTATTAATATCGAAGAATTAAACTGTATTTTACTTGAGCTGTGCTTAATTAATAATATATATATTCGTTTTTTTCGAATGCAGATTAAACTATTGGCCGACGAAATCGATGAACTTAACTTGGCGCTGAAAGAGTGCCGTGAGGAGAACGAACAGCAAATTCTCTTTGAGCGCAACAAATCTGTGAGTATCTCTTCTGATGTTGGCGGTTTAAATGGTGACATTTAAAATACACATATACCAACCCACACACACCTACGCACGCACACATATGAATGATTAACAAAAATAGCTAACCAATTGTTTAACTAACAAAAATATGTGCATTTAATTAACTACTTCATGGAATGCTATTTTTACTATATAGTTTATTACATTTACTATTTGTTTATTTTTATATTCCTTTCGTTTAACAATTTGTATTATAATCCATAGTTGTATTCTATTCGGTTTCTATTAAATTGCTTTTACTTAAAAAGAAAAAAAAACTTTTTGCAACTTACTTAAAAGAACTTAAAAGAAAATAAACTTAAAACTTAGGCTACGCTGACCGCCGAAACGAAAGATCTCAAATTAAGACTGGCGACGGCCGACGAAAGATTCAGTGAATATGTGAAAAATGCCGAGCAAATTGCACAAAAATTGCGTACGCAAATCACCGAGAAACAGGAACAATTAGGAGACACTCAATTGAAGCTGGAAGTGGAGCGGGAGGAGAAGCTAACGGCGCTTTTGCGCAATGCGGAAATCTCGCAAAGCGAGGAGCTGCTCAAGCAGCAGCTGCGCCTCGAGCAAACCGAATCGAATGAGCTCCACGACAAAAACAAGCAGCTGGAACAGGATATGCTGGAGGTACGCCAATCTGTGCAACTGCTCAACGATGCCGCCAAGCAGAATGCCAAAGATCAGGTAACATTAGAGTCGACGCAACGCGAAATTGTCGAAAAGAATAAGGTGAGAGCAACACGTTAATCAAATGTAAATATATTATTTATTTATTTACTTAATATATTCGACAGACAATAAAGACGCTTAATCAACGCTTGGGTGATCTGAAAAAGACGCTGCAAAAGGAATTTCGAAGTTCGCAAACAGCAACAATTGATGTTGTGGATACGGATCAAGTATTACCCGCCTTTAGAATTTCAAATGCTCCGCTCGAAAACTTTCAATCGGACAACAAACCCAATTGCATTATAATGGACGAAGTGAATTTTAAATATTTAAAACATGTCATTGTTAAGTTCCTCACAAGCAGAGAGGTCTGATTGGTATAAGCAATTTAAAATCGAAATCTATTCTAATTAATATTTTTTTGCTAGGTCGAAGCTAGACATCTTGTGAGAGCCGTTTCCACTTTACTGCAACTAAGCCAGGAGGAGGAGAAATTGCTCCACGATACTTTAAACTGGAAAATGAGTTGGTTTGGCGTAAAACCGAGTTAAATTCGAGTTAATACAAGTTCATTTAGTACATAAATCCATATGTACATATTACATTCCATTTCTAAATGTACAATTTAGTTTGTCATTTGTACTATGTACATACATACATTGTGTTTTTGTTTTGTTTTTTAAATTGTTAGGCGATTAGACGTATTTTGATACTGTGTTAATTATTGTGTTAATTTAATTAACTTTCTGTTTATTAGTTTTATAATATATACAATATTTTGTTAAATATACATATATACACATTAGTACGGTTTGTGATGCACTGTCAATAAAGCTTATTCTTGATGCAATTTACACAAACCATTTACAAAAATAAAACATTTTAACGAAATCCGAATTTTAGTGTAAAATGTTAGACTGTCGATAGGTTAATCGATAGCTTTTTGGGATATTTCAGGCATTTTTGTGTGGCAACGCTCCAGTCACACTGTGTGCATTAAGAATGCCGCTTGGAAACGCTGGACGAATTGCTGCTTGTTGGTTAGTACAATAAGTGCTGCTTAACTTAACATAAATAAAATAAAATTGTGTGTGTGTGTTCAAAATAGGGCTGTTCTAACCGTTAGCGGTGTTTACGCATTTGTCTTGTCAAAGAGGTCAGTGGAGGGACGCAGATCCGAAACGTTACGTGTGCGAGACCGCATGAAAAAAGCAAATAAAGGCGAATACGATCACACTATTTCCGACAGGCGTTTCGATTAGCAAAGGCAAACAAAAAACAACAACCTTTATCAACACAACATATAAAAATATAAATACAAAACAAGCATGGCGATGCCACAAATAAGTTTGGCCGATCAGGCAAAATTGCAGCTGATGCAAGAAATGGAAATTGAAATGATGTCCGATTTATATAATCGCATGACAAACGCCTGTCACAAAAAGTGTATTCCACCACGCTATGGTGAATCCGAATTGGGTGAGTTTCAATAAAACAAATTTTATTTCATTTAATTTTCATTTGTCATCGCAGGCAAGGGCGAAATGGTTTGCATCGATAGATGTGTGGCCAAATATTTGGATATACACGAGAAGATTGGCAAGAAGCTGACGGCGATGTCGATGCAAGATGAGGAGCTCATCAAGAAAATGTCCGGTTAAATTTGGAAATTGAACGACTTTGGTCACATTGACTCACAATTCCTTGTACAATTTGCTTAAGCTACAAGCCCCAGGCGCATTTCAATTGTTACGTTATTTTACACACAAGAATAAACAATACGCTACAGTTTCGTTATTGTTTGCATTGAGTTGTGGAATTTCAGTCGGCAATTACTATTTACATTACATTATTATAAACACAAGAATAAAGATTACGCCACGATATTTGGTATCTCAGGCAGGATAACGCCCGAAACCTCAATGTTATTCTACAACGTGCCCAGGCACATTACCATTAAATCCTCAATGATATTCTCCAATGTGCCCAGGCACATTACACTCAAATCCCTAATGATATTCTCCAATGTGCCCAGGCATTACACTCAAATCCTCAATGGTATTTTCCAATTTGCAGTTGAGCCGCAACGCTATCTAACACATCCGAAAAATTACTCTACAGATTTAATAATGTTTATATGTCTCAGAAAGTTGTAATGAAACGCGACATTTCCGGCAGCATAACGCTTAAATCCTCAATGGTATTCTCCAATGTGCTCTCATCTGAACTATCCAGCTGGCTGGTGCGCGCACTATTTGCCCAATCCGATGAGGATTCCGGCTCCAGATTCGCATTTGCTTCCGGTTCCAGTTCCGCATGCTCCTGTTGTAGCCTTTGCATCATTGGCCGCGAATCACTGGGCTCCTCCAGCAGCCGCTCCACATAAATGTGGGATTGAGTCTATAAATGGGAATTGGAATTGCTGTTGCCCAAATGCAGATTTGGACTCACCTGTGCCAGTTGCTGCAGCTCCGGCTGAATGCTTATGGGATTCTGGGTTAAGTTCAACATGCGCAGAAAGTGTAGCATCTCCAGTTCCGCTTCAGACGGCATTTGATCAATTCGATTAACGTTGAGAAATACAAATTTCAGATTTGGCATTGACATGAGCATTGCAGGCAAACGACGCAGCTGATTACCCTTCAGATTGAGATGGATTAAATGCTGTAGGCATCCAAATGTTTGAGGCACTTCCCCAAGCCGATTATTCTCCGCCGTTAGCCAACGCAACTCGGCCAGTTGGCCGATTGAATCTGGCAAGGATTGCAAACGATTTCCACGCACACCCAACGTTTGCAACCGTTCACAGTTCCCAATTTCCGGGGGCAATCGCCGGAGACCTGTATTATTGCACCAAAACGTCTCCAGGGCGGTCAAATGTCCAAGTTCCGCGGGCAGACAATGAATCTCATTGCAACTCACGTTGAGGAACTTCAAACGGACCAATTCACAGATGCAGGCGGGGAATTCATCGAGATGATTGTAATCCAGTGCCAAGACTTGCAAACGAGTCAAATTACCCAAACTGCCGGGCACCTGGCGTATTAATTACTTAATTTAATTAAGCCATTTTAATTACTTATATATTACTCTTTCTCTCTCGCCTACCTTTGTTAATTTATTTTGGTTCAAAAAGAGTTTCATCAACGACTCGCAATGCTCGATGATGGCTGGCAGCTCGATCATTTGGTAATGGGACAAGTTCAGGGAGAATGCCTTCTTGCAGATCACATCCTCACAGTTCGCCAATATGTAATTGGTGCGAAAGAAATGACAAACTGTCTCCATCGTATGACGGGTTCAAAACATAAAATAAAAATAAAAATCTAATTTTTACAAGTTTCAATTTAAATTTCCAAATATTGAACACATTTTCTGAGACACAACCGCAAAATGACATTACAAATTATTTCATACAGTGTATATAGAAGCTATACTGTATAAATCATCTGGTATTCGTATAGCTGAGCAACCAAAAAAGAAGAACAACAATAACAGCAATAGTGCTGGGTTTCTAAATTTAAAATTAGCACTGCTTGCCAAAAATTAAGAAGATATATTTAAGGTCATCGAAAATTACATACTCTTATGGGGCTAATACTGTATGCTCCCAAATAGGGTATATATCATTGTGTACTGATTTGATTGAGATATGACCAGCAACAAAGCATTAAATTGTTTGCATATTTGAATTTTGCGCCCCACGCGGCATAATGGAAAATAGCGTAATGTTAGTTGGTTAAATTGTAATTACACTTGCACACTATGTTAAGTGCTCTTACAACTGCAGACGCCAGCGTTAACAGCTCTCTCTCGCTCTCTCTCTCTCTCGCTCTCTCTCTCTCTCGCTCTCTCTCTCTCTCGCTCTCTCTCTCTCTCGCTCTCTCTCTCTCTCTCGCTCTCTCTCTCTCTCTCTCTCTCTGTAAATAGCCTTCGCTCGTTGTATAACTATACAATGTAGCGACATGAGCTATTTTGAGTTAGCGCATTTAACAGCTGTTAAATTTTGAAGATGCAATGATATGCTTTTGTTGCGCAAAGGCTAATGTATGAGGCCTGAGGCCCTATTATTTATTCTGAGAAGCGCTACTAAATACAAATTTTTTAATTAATTTATTTGCTTTTTACAAACAACATTATCAATATTTTTAGTTTCCAAAAGAATGCGTCTTTATCGCTATCCCCTCTCTAGCCGGAATACTGTGGAAAATTAGGAGATTGGAGATTAAAGTTTGTTTGCTTTTTTCCGATTTGAGTTTGTCACTTACGCGTTGTGGACCGCGTCCATTGGGACTGCCAGAGGTGATGACGCTGCCATCCTTGCCGACGGTAACGGTGCGACCATCGGGACGTTTCCACACCGAAACTTCGCCGTCCCACACACCGGCCTGATCATCGCGAGCCACAAAATTCTCGCCTTGGACTCTGGCGCGTCTGTGGCGGGAGTGGACAACGGTACGCCCATCCCGACCTTGGGCAAGGAAACCACCGGGACTGTAGTCGACGGAGCGTCCATCGGAGCGAGACACGTGTACGGAATGTGGACTGCGACGACCACGCTGGACGACGAAACTACCATCGCTACCGTAGTCTACGGTGCGATCGGGGCGAGAGACGTGAAAGTCACGACGATTGCGGACGACATGGTAGTCACCACCGCCGGCAATAACAACTCGATCCGGCCGACTGACGACAACGCCACGTGGTGGCCTATTGTATGGGCCAGCATGTGCTGGAGCAGTCGGCTCGCCACGGTGTGCAACAAGGTTAGGGCCACTTATCGTGTGTCCACCTAAAATAGACAGATTTATATTATAGCAATAACAGGATATCTCATTTGAATATAACCGTCATTACTCAGTGTGTGAGTTAGCGCCATTTTTTAAGTAACGTTCAAATAAAAGAGGCACACTTGATAAAAATAGAAACTTATTGTGTACAGCAGATGACAGAAGTTGAGCGTCTTATTTCTAATATAGGCATTTTTTCCAAGAATAGGTACTACACAAAAGCGAAATAAAAAAATAGGAACACTATTGCTAGTGCATCGCTTACTTGGTCTGCCTGCACCCCTCTGATTCACATAGGTGTTGCCCTGCTCATCCCTATAGACATGCTGTCCCTGTCCCGGTGCATTCTGGAATGTGCCGCCCACACCGGGTACTTGGTAGGGGCCCTCATTCTGACCACGTATGTAAACCTGCTGTCCAGGTGGGCCAAATACGTGCGGACCATCGCGTCCATCATATGTCTTCTGATCATTTACTGCTGCTGCTGCTCATAATCAATACAATCAGAGGTCAATTGGCGAAGTTTAAAAATAGGATATATGTATATATAGCTCGTTTAAATATAACCGTCATTAGTCAATGTGGGAGCATATAAATCTAATTATGTTAGGCAACACTGTTGCTTTTAATCGATGTCGAGCAACTCGGCTGATCGAGCAATAAAAACATCGTGAAGAGTTGTCGCCACTTTATAAGCAACGTTCAAATTAAACAAGGCCACTTGAAAAAAAAAAAATAGAAACTTATTGTGTACAGCAGAGGACAGAAGTTGAGCGTCTAATTTTTAAAATAGGTATTTTTTTCCAAGAATAGGTACTACACAAAATTTGCATATAAAGCGAAATAAAAAAATAGGAACACTATTGCAAGTGCATCGCTTACTTGGTCTGCCTGCACGTCTCTGATTCACATAGGTGTTGTCCCCCTCATCCCTATAGACATGCTGTCCCTGGCTCGGTGAATTCTGGAATGTGCCGCCCACACCGGGTACTTGGTAGGGGCCCTCATTCTGACCACGTATGTAAACCTGCTGTCCAGGTGGGCCAAATACGTGCGGACCATCGCGTCCATCATATGTCTTCTGAGCATTTACCGCTGATGCTGCTCATAATCAATACAATCAGAGGTCAATTGGCGAAGTTTAAAAATAGAATATATGTATATATAAGAATATTTACCAGCACAAAGCAGGAGCACCACTGCGCTCAGTCCAAGTATTGGCTGCGATCTCATCTTGTTGTCCGACTCGAATGTGAATCTTAAACTGTCAGAAGTACTGACTCCGCCACAGTATTTATAGTGCTTGTGGCTGGCAATCGTACCCATAGCCGGTGATAAGCAGCTCAGATCGGGCTTGGGGAAATTTTACAACCTCATCCTTTTAGCATATACACATATGTATGTATATATTACTCAAAGTGCCACTTGACTGCCAATTTGTTGATATTTTGTGACATTTGTTATTTTAGCTTATTGATAACTATAATTATGATGAAAGGTAACAAAAAAATAAAGATACTCACCAACTTTTCCTATTTTATTGTGATGCTTTGCATACACTCACAAAAAATATTGCCCTGAATTTTAGAATTTCGCAGTATTCAGAAAGTAAATTTCTAAAATTAAAGGTTGTTTTTCTTTTCACCGTTTTGAAAATTTTAAAAACTATTTAACTTCCAGGTTGTTTGTTTTCCCTGTGTATACCATAGTAAATTTAAATAATTTAGAGCGCTAAATTATAATATAGCAGTCGAAATTGCCAATTTCACTATTATTTTCTAATTTCAAGAAACGATATTTTCTAAGAGCCAGGGTTGACATATCAACTCTTTAGAAATTTACTTCCTAATAATAGAAAAAATATATAAAAACATAAAATAACCCTATATTTTAGGGATTGTCGATTTAGGGCAAGTTTTTCTAATTTCAAGAGAAATGTCTTATTTACATTTAGAAATTATTTCTATAAACAGAAAAACTGTCTAAAATTTGTCAGAGTGTAGCTACATGAGTACTTATATGTATATATATATATATTCTTTGTTTTCAATAAATTTTAATTGAATGTTTTGTTTTTTTATTTTTTTCGCAATCAGCGGGGCAATACCCAAGCGAGTGAACAAGTTTAATTAATCTAGGCAGTTCAAGTCATACCAATGCAGACACATATATGTATGTATATGTACATATATATATATATGTATATGTACATTTGTTCAAAACAAAAAATAAAAATGAAAATCTAATTTTTACAAGTTTCAATTTCAATTTCCAAACATTGAACACATTTTCTGAGACACAACCGCAAAATGACATTACAAATTATTTCATACAGTGTATATAGAAGCTATACTGTATAAATCATCTGGTATTCGTATAGCTGAGCAACCAAAAAAGAAGAACAACAATAACAGCAATAGTGCTGGGTATCTAAATTTAAAATTAGCACTGCTTGCCAAAAATTAAGAAGATATATTTAAGGTCATCGAAAATTACATACTCTTATGGGGCTAATACTGTATGCTCCCAAATAGGGTATATATCATTCTGTACTGATTTGATTGAGATATGACCAGCAACAAAGCATTAAATTGTTTGAATATTTGAATTTTGCGCCCCACGCGGCATAATGGAAAATAGCGTAATGTTAGTTGGTGAAATTGTAATTACACTTGCACACTATGTTAAGTGCTCTTACAACTGCCGACGCCAGCGTTAACAGCTCTCTCTCGCTCTCTCTCTCTCTCTCTCTCTGTAAATAGCCTTCGCTCGTTGTATAACTATACAATGTAGCCACATGAGCTATGTTGAGTTAGCGCATTTAACAGCTGTTAAATTTTGAAGAAGCAATGATATGCTTTTGTTGCGCAAAGGCTAAGTATGAGGCCTGAGGCCCTATTATTTATTCTGAGAAGCGCTACTAAATACAAATTTTTTAATTAATTTATTTGCTTTTTACAAACAACATTATCAATATTTTTAGTTTCCAAAAGAATGCGTCTTTATCGCTATCCCCAGACCTCTCTAGCCGGAATACTGTGGAAAATTAGGAGATTGGAGATTAAAGTTTGTTTGCTTTTTTCCGATTTGAGTTTGTCACTTACGCGTTGTGGACCGCGTCCGTTGGGACTGCCAGAGGTGATGACGCTGCCATCCTTGCCGACGGTAACGGTGCGACCATCGGGACGTTTCCACACCGAAACATCGCCGTCCCACACACCGGCCTGATCATCGCGAGCCACAAAATTGTCACCTTGGACTCTGGCGCGTCTGTGGCGGGAGTGGGCAACGGTACGACCATCCGGACCTTGGGCAAGGAAACCATCGGGACTGTAGTCGACGGAGCGTCCATCGGAGCGAGACACGTGTACGGAATGTGGACTGCGACGACCACGCTGGACGACGAAACTACCATCGCTACCGTAGTCTACGGTGCGATCGGGGCGAGAGACGTGAAAGTCACGACGATTGCGGACGACATGGTAGTCACCACCGCCGGCAATAACAACTCGATCCGGCCGACTGACGACAACGCTACGTGGTGGCCTATTGTATGGACCAGCAAGTGCTGGAGCAGTCGACTCGCCACGGCGTGCAACAAGGTTAGGGCCACTTATGGTGTGTCCACCTAAAATAGACAAATTCATATTATAGCAATAACAGGATATCTCATTTGAATATAACCGTCATTACTCAGTGTGTGAGTTAGCGCCACTTTTTAAGTAACGTTCAAATAAAAGAGGCACACTTGATAAAAATAGAAACTTATTGTGTATAGCAGATGACAGAAGTTGAGCGTCTTATTTCTAATATAGGCATTTTTTTCCAAGAATAGGTACTATACAAAAGCGAAATAAAAAAATAGGAACACTATTGCTAGTGCATCGCTTACTTGGTCTGCCTGCACCCCTCTGATTCACATAGGTGTTGCCCTGCTCATCCCTATAGACATGCTGTCCCTGTCCCGGTGCATTCTGGAATGTGCCGCCCACACCGGGTACTTGGTAGGGGCCCTCATTCTGACCACGTATGTAAACCTGCTGTCCAGGTGGGCCAAATACGTGCGGACCATCGCGTCCATCATATGTCTTCTGATCATTTACTGCTGCTGCTGCTCATAATCAATACAATCAGAGGTCAATTGGCGAAGTTTAAAAATAGGATATATGTATATATATCTCGTTTAAATATAACCGTCATTAGTCAATTTGGGAGCATATAAATCTAATTATGTTAGGAAGCACTGTTGCTTTTAATCGATGTCGAGCAACTCGGCTGATCGAGCAATAAAAACATCGTTAAGAGTTGTCGCCACTTTATAAGCAACGTTCAAATTAAACAAGGCTACTTGAAAAAAAAAATTGAAACTTATTGTGTACAGCAGAGGACAGAAGTTGAGCGTCTAATTTCTAAAATAAGCATTTTTTTCCAAGAATAGGTACTACACAAACTTTGCACATAAAGTTAAATAAAAAAATAGGAACACTATTGCTAGTGCATCGCTTACCTGGTCTGCCTGCACCCTTCTGATTCACATAGGTGTTGTCCCCCTCATCCCTATAGACATGCTGTCCCTGTCTCGGTGAATTCTGGAATGTGCCGGCCACACCGGGTACTTGGTAGGGGCCCTCATTCTGACCACGTATATAAACCTGCTGTCCAGGTGGGCCAAATACGTGCGGACCATCGCGTCCATCATATGTCTTCTGAGCATTTACTGCTGATGCTGCTCATAATCAATACAATCAGAGGTCAATTGGCGAAGTTTAAAAATAGAATATATGTATATATAAGAATATTTACCAGCACAAAGCAGGAGCACCACTGCGCTCAGTCCAAGTATTGGCTGCGATCTCATCTTGTTGTCCGACTCGAATGTGAATCTTAAACTGTCAGAAGTACTGACTCCGCCACAGTATTTATAGTGCTTGGAGCTGGGAATCGTACAAATCCTTTCAGCCGATGATAAGCAGCTCAGATCGGGCTTGGGGAAATTTTACAACCTCAACCTTATAGCATATATACATATGTATGTATATATTACTCAAAGTGCCACTTGACTGCCAATTTGTTGATATTTTGTGACATTTGTTATTTTAGCTTATTGATAACTATAATTATGATGAAAGGTAACAAAAAAATAAAGATACTCACCAACTTTTCCTATTTTATTGTGATGCTTTGCATACACTCACAAAAAATATTGCCCTGAATTTTAGAATTTCGCAGTATTCAGAAAGTAAATTTCTAAAATTAAAGGTTGTTTTTCTTTTCACCGTTTTGAAAATTTTAAAAACTATTTAACTTCCAGGTTGTTTGTTTTCCCTGTGTATACCATAGTAAATTTAAATAATTTAGAGCGCTAAATTATAATATAGCAGTCGAAATTGCCAATTTCACTATTATTTTCTAATTTCAAGAAACGATATTTTCTAAGAGCCAGGGTTGACATATCAACTCTTTAGAAATTTACTTCCTAATAATAGAAAAAATATATAAAAATATAAAATAACCCTATATTTTAGGGATTGTCGATTTAGGGCAAGTTTTTCTAATTGAAGAGAAATGTCTTATTTACATTTTGAAATTATTTCTATAAACAGAAAAACTGTCTAAAATTTGTCAGAGTGTAGCTACATGAGTACTTATATGTACTTATATGTATATGTACTTATATGTATATATATTTATACACACATATATATATATATATATATATGTATATATATATTCTTTGTTTTCAATAAATGTTAATTGTATGTTTTGTTTTTTTTTCTTTTTTTCGTTCTGAATGATTACACAGTGCAATCAACGGGGCAATACCCAAGCGAGCGAACAAGTTTAATCTAGGCAGATCAAGTCAAACCAATGCACACACATATATGTATGTATATGTACATATATATTGTGTTAATTAAACACAAAAGTCATGCTCGTAAAATAAGCATTTAGTGGGCAGCAAGCTTAACTTCATGGGAAATGGAAACAAGTTTGACAAGCAAGCATTATTGATAATATCATAGTTATAGCTGACATTACAAGACGACAGACAAGCTAATGAAAATATATTAGTTTGATTTTATTGTGTACAAGTAAATGGAATTCCTCACTTTTGTTTTTCTTCTTGTTTTTTGCATTTATAAAAATTAACATTTTACACTAGTTAGTCTTCAGGCACCTTCCACTGCAACTGTTTGCCACGATCGTATAGATTTTTCAGAGCGTGCGTAAATTTCTTCTCCGCCTGGAGTTGCAGGTAATGCTTATAGAGCTGGAGTGTTGTACGAGCATCCTCGATGGAGTCGTGCGTCTCCGATTGTATCATTGTACCTATGCACAACGTGAGAGATATCATTATTATTAGTAGATAGTTAACAGATAGATCAAATAAATACTTACCCAAAAAGTGCCAGGCCAAGAAGCGCAGCGAAACCATTCGATGATGTGGCAAATGGAACAGATGAACCGTATCGATTATTTGCTCAGATGGTACATAGATATTAATTACCCTGAAACAAAACATAAATCAGAGCATATAGCATAAATTTATTATAATAATATATATCCGAAATCGAAGCACACCTGAAATCATTTTTTAGGCCATGACCCACAAAGATAACGCCCACATCGACTAGAAACTTTAGTTTCTGATACGAATATTTGAGGGCCGTCAAACGCTTATTGCTAAAATTGGCATCCAAATCTCCAGGTTTAATGCCCGAAAATTGTGTCAAATAATCGACGACCTTCTCCTGCGTTGAGATATAATCATCGATGAAGGGCACACCCTCATCTGGGCCCTGGCCACGTATACAGGATATGCGCGCCACACTCATATGGCAGGGTTTAATTGTTGCCGTTTTGCCATCTGGACGTATTTCATTCTCCTCGGGATTCAAGGTGACAAATTCCGCATCCATTGCTATCAAATCACCCGCTTGCGGCATCTCATTCGCTTGTAACGGTTTCAATGTGGCATCTGTGCCGAGATTGTTGGGCAACGGATTCAAAATGTCCTGGCAAATTTAAGAGATAGATGAGATTTAAGAGATTTCCTTCAGATTCCAGACTTACCTGTAGGAAAGGATTGTTTGGCGTACTAATTGATGTTTCATTAATTTTGGCTGGCTCCTCAACTGTGTCCACAGTGCCCGACTCCAATTCGTGCTCCTCAAGACTGCGATAGAAGAGCACACAGGGCACCTTCCAGTCGAGGGTGAACCAAACGGATTCCTGTGGTGCCACCGGTGAAATGCTGAAATCATTAAAGATATACCATTGCTGTTGCGTCTCCTCCAATGCATCCGATGTGGTCGCCTTCATGGTATGATATTTATGTCGCACATTCACCAACGATACCAAATTCTTTTGGGTGCCATCGTCGATTTGACAGACGACCGCATTCAGGGCATATATGCGCTGAACTTGATTTTTGGTTTCCGTTGGCTGCTGTTCCGTCAGCTGCTCCTCATCCTCCTCCTCTTGTTCCGATTTGGCGGTGTGTGTCAGGGATTGAACGTTCAGTTCACCCGTATCACTGATGCCCATTTTGAAGGTGAGGGGAAACCATGATTTCTGCCGTGCACTCGGTGAACTGTTGCTCGGCTGGTTCGCATGCGATGGGGATTTGCTATGAAAATAGGGAACATATATATTTCTAGGAATATATCAATTCATTGTTAACTTGTCTAACTAACCGATCTGGATGCATAAAGTGGCAATCACTGCGGGAGCAATTGATGCCATAGCGACACGGTTTGCTGGTGCTTAGAGATGCGGCCTCGGCAGCTGGTCTCTCGGCGGAGCGATTCAGTTGTCGCTTCAGGAAACTGATATCCTTTTCATTATTCAGGCCACAGTTGATGGCCAGTATTTGTGGCAGTGAAGTTACCTAAAACGTGTATTCAAATTAGTTACAGCAATTATTCTATTAATTTAATACTATATTATTACCTTAACACTTTGATTGGTGGGTGAAAATTTCTTACAGCTCTCGCAGAAGGCTTGAATATTTTTCTCCGAGCTCAGAGATCGCTTGAGAATATTACCAAAATCAAAATGCTGCTCGCTGTCCTTGATGTGTGTGGGATACGATAAATTACAGGCCAGCAAAATATTCTCTTTAGATTTCTACAAGAATATCAAAGTTATTTTGACTATCAATTGGACATTTCAGAATTTTACCTCTGCCTGGCACTTGATGCAACGATTTATGCATATCTGTTTGGTACCAAATATTGAACTTATATCAGTTTCCGCATTGATCTTGCAACGTTCCCGTTCCTCATCCTTAGCGCTCTCGTCTGTAAAGTGGATTTTTTTCTTTTAGTTTATCCATCATTCTTGTTTTTATCATCACATCATACTGACCAGAGATTGATTCAAACAATTCCGTGTGCGTGGAACTTTCCGTTGTGGACATACTTTCAGCTAAAATATTACATTTTATTACAATTATATTTGAACTGAACTTAAAATGAATATTTACCAACTGCTGATGAGTGCTGAGCACCATTTAAGCCCGCATTTTTGCCCGAATCGAGTATTTCATAGTGCATTTGATGCAAGATGAAACGATTCCAGTTCTGTAATATGACAATTTTCAAATGAATATGTAGAAAGTGTTTGAGAATTGCAATACTTGCCTGAATTAAGGTGATCAGATTAACATTTGATGATCGATCGGTTAAAATCAGGCCCAAAGCTGATGCTTCAGGCACGGTGCGAAAGGAGCGCAGGAAATTGCTGGCTTGGCAGGGCGTCGAAGCTAAAATGAGTTGTTTGCGTACATCAATAGCATCTAATAGCCATTACTTAGCAACAAAACCAACCAGTGCTTTTGTCCAGCATGTGAAAGAGGAAGCCCAGTTCGCAGGATAGGCAAAACTCCTTCGAGCATGTGTGACCAATCAGCTTCGTGCGCAGCGGATCCGTGAAGTACAAAATCTAAAAATAAACTCAAATTTAGTTCGAGTTGCAGACTATTTATTTATTTAATTATGTTTGTTTAAAAGCACAGTAATACTATTAATTAAATATTAATAGTGGAAATAGTATATAAGCTCAAGATTAGATTACAGTTGCAGACTACTTATTTATTGATTTGTTTATTTATCTATTTGTATATTTATCTATTTGTTTATTTATTTATTCAGTATTATTGTTGAGAAGTACAGTATCTAAAGATAAGCTCCAAGTTAATTAGAATTATACATTATTTATTTATTTAGTGGTATTATTTAGAAGTACAGTATCTAAAAGTAAGCTCAAGATTAGATAACAGTTTCAGAATGTTTATTTAATGACGACAAATATCAGTCGCCACAGAAATAATAAATTAAATTAAAAATAAACTTTAATATTTACATTTAAAATAAGAAAAAAAACCAAGTAATATTTTCAAGAATTCTTAATAATAGAAAGAGAGTTTCTTAGAAATAGAAACTCTAAATTGATTACATGATCAATCGTAATCGAGTTCAGAGTCCTTAAAGGATTTCAATTGAAATTCTTTTTACACCAAGACAAATAAGATTATATATAGATATACATTCATATTCAGGATATTAGCTCACCTGTAACATGGCATTGCAATACGAATTGGGCAAGGTAGCCTCCAGTCCGGCAAAGCACGTCTGATTGTGCTGCTCAAAATCAAAATCCTGTGTGCCTAATTTGGTGTATTTCAGTTCCACTTTCCGATAACGTCTGGGTATAATTTTAATGCCACTTTCCGCTTTTGTGGCAGCCGTATTCCCATTTGCACTGGCATTCCCGGTTCCACATTGTCCCTGCTCTGAGAGATTATAGGGTATCTGATTGCGTCGCGCAGTTCGCGGATTAGGCGAGTAACCAATGGGTCCTTGCATCTTCATGCTGTTGAGCACATCCGCATCGATGGTCTTGGGCCGATGATAGCTGTAACGCAAAAGTTCTTCGGGCCAGTCGGAAAACCAACGGGAACCTGTCGTCAAATGTGGCAACAACACCGAAGACAATGGAAAATTTGTGTCCGTAAACGGCACCATTGGCAGCTGTGGCACAACATCCGCAAATTCCGTGTTCCGTGAGAAGGCATTGAATTGTGGTTGCGAAGTTTGCACCGAGGCAATGGTATTAATGTGTCCGGATTGATCACCAAAGGCCATCGCCTGCGACGAGGAGCTGATGTCAAAGCTTAAACATTGACTACCATTCGTATTGATTTGATACATGGAGACGCGTGGTTCGCTCAACTCTACTGTGTCAACAAGCTGGAATTGCCCATAGCTGGAAACTACAGCCAGCCGGGATGTCAACGATGGTAAAAACTTCAGCATTTGTGGATCGATGAGCACTTGAATGGGTGAGATAAGGCGTAGCATACGAAGATCATAGACCATGAGAAAACGATCGATAGCCAAGTTATTCTGGCGTCCACTATAACCGCACGAGATCAGATAATTGCCCTGCACATCGAAATCGGACAAGCTATTCGTGTGCGTCTTAATTGTGTGCTCCACGCTCAGAGTATTCAAATCTCGCAGGGTGACGGTGCCAAATTGATCGCCCGCAAACAGATAACGTGAATTCTTCCGCAGCACCGTGCATCCGGCGGAGCCAACATGCTCCAATCTCGTCTCCTTCAGACTACGCATATCGAAATCAATCAGCTCCTCCTGCAAACCGGCCATAACCAAACGATGTGGAGATAGTTGCAACATGCAAACCATTTCCACCATGTTGTTGGATCTGGGGAAGATCAGATAGAATTAATAGGAAATGTGTATTTAATATTTATTGCTTACTTGTGCGTAAATTTTGGTAATCCACGTCGGATCTGGTGGCGCAGGGAGGTCTGCGTCAGCACCAGCACTCCCGAGTCAATGGTGATGATCTGGCGCACAATGTCGCTGGCGTGCACCTGGAATGAGGTGTATTTCTGCAAGGAACTCGCATAGTAGGACGTAACGTGGCCCTGGAGAAAGTGTGGCAGAAAAAAAATTTAATAAGAAGAGATTAAGTAGTAAATTTAACAGTATAATTTAATACATATATAGGCGATTTAATAGCCGACTTAATCGGCCATTTAACAGTAAATTTAATAGAAGTTTCAACGGGCATTTTAACAGCAGATTTGACAGGATATTCAGCAAAATATTTAACACACGACTTAAGAGGCGATTTAACAGAGAAGACTTAACAGGCGATTCAGCAGCAGATTTAACATGATATTTAAATGCAGATTTAACAGGAGATTCAGGAGGATATTTAACACTCGATCTAACAGGCAATTAAGTGACACTTTAACAGTTTATTCGACAGCATATTTAACATTCGATTTAACAGGATGCATGCTTACACCTTGATTGCCCATCCAGAGCAGCTCCTCGTAGTCATCAAAGGCCACAGTGGAGACGCCAAAATTTTCACCACCGTCAGCAAGTATGGGAATTGGGCTGGCGACATAGTCAGCATCGCTGGAGCCAATATTGAAGCCATTGAAACTGGGCGAATAATGGTCCGAGTTGCGAGTGGGGCCTGTGTCGTAAACACCTTAAGCAAATATTTATTTTTACAAGCATATTTATATTATCATAATACAAATGGAGAAAGTTGCTATATTTGTGTGTGTTGTTTGTTTGTGTTTGTTTGTTTGTATTGCGCTTGACGTACTTAAAATGTCCTCCGAGGCACCGATTTGATCGGTGCCGCCACAATAAACGTAATCCATTTGCTAAGGAAAACACTATTTAAGCACTATTTTTGTTTTATTATTTTTAACAAGCTGTATTATTTGGATCAGTGTGGCGTATTTTTACTTCAACTCACGAATTATTATCGCTCAGCGGTAACTATCGATATCTGATTTATGACATATCGATATATATATATCGTTAAGAAGTGGATGTTAATGAGATACAATAGATATTTAGTGGATACGCAATTAAACAGATGCACAAGCATACAAAAAAAAAACAATAAATAAAAAAAACCAAGCGCTTCATCCAACAAAAAATGTTTTAATGTTTCACATGCTGGTTGGGAAATACCGTTTAAATTGCAGCTCAAAGCTTCATAGCATGTGCAAGCACCATTGACACAGCCTAGGTTGTTGCATTGATAAAACTGGCGTCAAGTTAGAAATCAAGGTATACTTTTAGGGTCACGCAGGAGACGAAAGAAACGGCTATAAGTCCGCACTATTCTTGTCGATTTTCGAAGGATAGTGCATTAGAATCGCAAGCAGCGACTCTATAGAACTGCATTTAAGGATACTAGGGTCTAAGAATCCAAAAAATTGTACAAATTTCAGGGCAATCAGAATTCAGTAGAAATCACAAAATCGTTATTTTCGTCGGGATAATAAGCAGAACTTTCAAAATACCATAAATAAATAAAAGTTAATAAGTGAAGTGTAAGTGAATTTACCATTTTGTTGTTGCTTGTGTGTGTGCTCAAAGTATCGATACTATCCTGCAGCCCTAGTCTGAGTACAAAAAAAATGCTGCGTGCCACATGCAAAATCGCCTTTAACTTAACTCGAGACCAACTCAAACGAAGCGTTAAAATGGCAGCTTTACAGCAAATTATGGAGAACAATCAACGCGCGGAGAATCTCATTGATTCCATCAAGTCAGAGGTGCAGTAATATACAGTTATATATATACAGGTACATATAAATATAGTTAATGCAATTTCAGATGACGGTCATACAAAATGAGCTCGAGGAGCGTCAAAAGCAACAGCTGATTGTCGAGAATGCTGCCCTGGAAAAGGAAATTGAGGCAGCCCTCGCACAGCTAATCCAACTGGAAGTGCGCAATGGCAAGAAACAGATTGTATTACCAGGCGCTGGCACAGGTGCTACCCGTGGAATGTGCACCAAGGTGGACACAGAAGAACCAGGAAGAGTTGCCACAGCTGCTCTAACCCCGGAATCAAAAGTAGCCCCAAAAGAAAAGAAGGATAAGAAGGAGAAAAAACACGCTACTGCTGAGAAGTCAAATTCCTCTCCAGAAGCAGCTCCAGTGGATGTTGGTCGCTTGGATATGCGTGTGGGCAAGATTATTGAAGTTGGCCGTCATCCGGATGCGGATAGTTTGTATCTGGAGAAGATCGATTGTGGTGAGGCAGCGCCACGTACAGTTGTCTCGGGTCTGGTGAAATTTGTGCCGCTGGAGGAGATGCAGAATCGTCTGGTTGTCGTCCTCTGCAACCTGAAACCGGCTAAGATGCGTGGCATCACCTCCGAAGCCATGGTCATGTGTGCCTCCACCCCGGATAAGGTTGAGGTGCTCAGCCCACCAGCTAACGCTGTGCCCGGGGATTTAGTCCACTGCGATGGCTACGAACGTCAACCGGATGCACAACTGAATCCGAAGAAAAAGGTGTTTGAAACGTGTGCTCCGGATTTGATGACCAATGCGGAGCTAGTCGCTTGCTTTAAGGGATCAGCGCTGCATGTGCCAGGGAAAGGCGCCATCGTAGCGCAATCCTTGAGAAATGTCTTGGTTAAATAGGAATTTAAATATAAATAATTATTTATATATAAATCAAAATATATATAAATTAATTTATATAGAAATGAAATTATTTTTGTTTAAATAAATTTATATATAAATAAATTTATGAATAAATAGACTTATATATTTAAATAATAATTGTAATTAATAATTTGTTACAGACTCATTGGAATTAAATACGCTCAACTTCATTTACATTTTGGCTTTATTTAACTTTACTTTATAACTTGATACTTGGGATGCGACCAGATACCCATTGAACATATATTTATAGCTGGGTTAATAATGAATTATATGCCACCATGGATGAAGTGCTCTGCGGACTACTGCTGGTGTGGTCGTTGAGCAGGATGCGGACTGGGATTGGCCTCGACAACAATGGTCTTGGTAAATATATCGTAAGCAGTGCGATTATTTTTGAAGAATATCATCAGGACACAGATAGGAAAGAGCAGCGTCATCACCAGATTCTTGGCAAAGGCACGCATCAGCGATCTCAGCAACGAGGGCACCTCCGCCGGATAGAGCAGAGCACGCACCGGTTCCCTTTGCGCCTGGAATGCAAATTGTGGCATAATGGGCGCCTGCAACGGCAACACTGCCTCTACATAGAGTATGCGTATCTTCATGATGGATTTCCCCGGTGTGGCGCCATCGAAGAACGTCGTCCACAGACATTCATAGCAACAGACCATCAGCTTCGTCAGCAGCTCAATCAACAGCAGATCCGAGGACATGGAAAAGAAATACGTCGTCAAATCCATAAAGCTCACAAAGACATTCTCATCGAACAGATCATTGAAATCCAAATTGAACAAATGAAACAGGGCAAAAGTCGCAATTATTTTCAACACAAACAATATAAACATATCAATGGCCTCAGCCACAAATCTCTTCCAGAAGGGCGCCACAATCATCTCGGTGCCGCCGACGCGTCGAATAATCTCTTGTTGCTGCACTTCGTCCAGCACACGAAATCGACTAAAGCTGGGCACATTTGCTGGTGGCACATTTATTGCCTGCCCACGATTTGGCTGCACTTGCTCAGTGTTCATTGGAGAATGAGCAGCAGCAGGAGCAGTTGCAGGCAGCGAAGTTGGGGGAAATCCCGACAATTGTGGATAATTGTAGTTGGCGAGCAGGTAATTGGGAAACATTTGGATGAGCGCCGCCTGTTTGGCCCATTCGGTGAGGCTGGCAAAATATGCCTCCTTTGTCGACAGCTCCTTGTTTCTATCCTTATCATTATTCTTATCCTTATCATTATCTGTATCTGTCTCTTTATCTTTATCTGCAGCTGTTGCTGTTGCTGTTTTTGTTCGCATTTCGCTGTTAGATTTTTCGTGCTGTGACGCCGCTGTCTCTTCGCTGCTTGCCATCCCTTGTCTTCGTATGATTAATTTATATTGATTACTTAATTTTTGTTGGCGAAATTTTTCGTTTTTTACATTTATTTTGGTTTTGTTGTGTTTAAGTTGACGTGTGTAAAATATTGTGTAGATGGTGTGTGTGCGCAGTGAAGTGAGAGGGCGGTATCCACATACGGCTTTCAGGGTTGCATTGAAATACACTCAAGGAGTGAGAGCATAGTACAACTATACAAGGTAGCGACATATTCGAGTTACCTATTAAGCAGTTGGTTTGGTTGAGACAACTCACGCCAAGTGTTGTCAGACAGGCAGAACTTAACAGCTGTTAAGTGTGGTACCTTAACATAGATCACGTCGCTACCACAAAGTTGTAGCTAATGAAAGTTTGAAACGTGCCCATATAAAAATGATTGCGTAAAATGTATAAATATATATATTATTATTATATTATATATATTTTATATATGATTATATTTATAAAATCGCTAATTCAAATGCAATATCGGCTCAATTTTGAAGAGTATTTATAGGGTCTTTACAAATTAAAGCGTAAAATGGCAATTAATTTATTAGATGTTATAGTTAATGAATATTTATTTATTAAAATTGTTATGCACTTATAAATAATAGAAGTACATACGTATTTCATACTGCGAATGATTTTCAATTAGGCATTGAAAGACACATAATACATACATAGAATTTCTGATTCTGGCCACTGCTAAGGATAATAAAATACAATACTATATATATATATATATATATATATATATATATATATATATATATATGTATAACTTACAAAAGTACGCTTGCCAAATAATCAATCTCTCACTTATATATTCGCCCAGTATACATATATAGATATTGATAGAGCGTAGTACATATATGGCTGGATGAATATATGATAAGTACATAAACATATATATATATATATATATATAAACTTATATATATATATATATGTATATATATATATATATATTATATAGTTTTAATTATGTATTATTGATCTATGTATGTATTTATGCACACTTGATGTAAATCTTGCAAATCAGTTTGACAATTATGTTTTTTATACAATTTGGATTTGGATTAGGAATACATAATTGAACTAATTAATACAACTCTCTCTCTCTTTGTCTCTCTCTGCATATCGGCAAGTATAGATTAACAAATATAAATAAAGGAATGCATCCGATGAACGGTTATCCCATTAATGCCATCTATTGCCAAACATTGCCAATATTTAAATTGCCAAATTGCTGATTTAAATTTGAGGTGACCGATGAGGAGGCTGCTGAGGAGGTTCCCGTTGCCGCTGGATAACCAACGCTTGGCAACGGTTGCATCAGATTCATGCCGAGTCCCAGCTGCTGCTGCTGTGGAGTTGTTTGTGGTGCTGCCACAGCTGTGTTGTTGCCACCGAACAGTTGCATGCCACTCAGCATACTTTGATTCTGTGCTTGCATCAAATTTGTGGCTGCTGCTTGTCCAACCAAATACGGGCTGCTAGCAGCACCGCTGACATTGGGAAACTGTGCACCACCAAATCCAAGATTCATGGAACCAGTTGGAGCATTGCTGAAAGCATTAGGGGCTGCCATCACTGGGGCATTATACATGCTCACTGAATTCGGTGGCGTCATGAACTGATGATGGTGCGTCTGTTGGGGCAGCTGCTGGTGATGGTGCTGCTGTGGATGATGTTGATGATGATGCATATAGCCACCGGGTGCCATGCCCGTAAAGCCGCCAAAGCTCAACTGTTGCTGTTGTTGTTGTTGTTGTGGATTGTTGTGTGGATTGCTGGGCGCATTGCCATACAAAGCCAATATGCTGTCCTTGGACATTTTGCCCGACTGATCCTTGTCGTGCCCAGTGCCGATTAGTGTGCCCTGGCTAAAGAAGTCCTGCTCCTGCTGGGCCAATGAATGCGGCTGACTGCTTGGCAATGAAAGCGAAGCAGCAGCTGCAGCAGCTACATCTCCATTCGTCTTCTTCTCGGGACTCGGATTGCTGTTGGCACTCAGAAAACTGGTAAAGCTATCGTTCTGCAAATCCTGACCAGCAACAATTGGCTTGGTGGGAGATGAGAGACCCAGCAGATCACTCTCCACGCTGACATTGATGCTATTGTTGGCGCTATTTATTTGCACACGATGCGAAGTCTTTGGACTGCAGCCACCGACCTGATTCGGCTTTGGCTTGGGCAGCGGCGCTGGCAGTGGACCACTTTTCGCTGCTCCTCCAGCTGTCGTCGTCGTCGTTGAGGAGGATGAGGAACGCTTTTCGCTGGAGATGCTGCTGATACCGCCCAAACTCCCGCCTTGAGCTGTTTTCTTTTTACGCTTCTGCCGTTCCAGTTCTTCATCGATCTCCTTGGCCCAGTCGACTTTCGGTGGCGATGGCGGCACCCATTCCCTGGCCAAATACTTTTTATGCTCGTATTTCGCTCGAATAAAATTCTCCAGTGCCGTATCAGTTTGAGGGCGTCGGAAACCATCCGGTAGCTGCGCCTCGTAGACGGCACGAGCGCGAGAATTACCCATCTGTTGCAGTGAGATGACCTGTTCGGGGGTCCAAGCGTCCAGATTGACGCTCTTCACCCGGGATATGTGCACGCCCAGATTGCGATGAATACCCGCGCAGCGAATGCACAGGAAGACGCCCAGATTCCATGACGCCCAGCGTGGACCTGCAAATTGTTGATTAAATGTGAGTCAAACGAGATAGAAAATAAAAATAAATCAACTTGCTTATCTCAAGAGTGCTACTCTGTGCTACTCAAACTGTCGATGTATGCACAGTTTTAGCAGCAGTTTACATATACAGTTTTAATAACATACATACGTATGTAGTTATTCATTTAATGCGGTTAACGGCATCACGCACACAGCACATACAAAAATAGAGTTGGGGACCGCAGTGAACTGCTGTTGCTGGTACTCGGCAAGTGTGCCCGCCCTTAATTAAATAAAAGTGTGTGCTAATTTTCAGAAAAGGACTATGCGATTTGTCATAGACCCTTAACTCTCACTTTAACAAGACTAAATACAATTAAATAGGCCTTGAGCATGCACTTACCCTTGGCATCACAATCGACACAATATTTATTGTCGTCATCACGTAGCATTTGCGTTAAAAGTGTTTGACATTTTTCCTGCATCAATTTCGTACGTTCCGTTTCCTTACGGCTTGCATTTGACGTACTCATATTTTTCTTGCACTTTTTATCGCGTTGCGTTGCGTTGTTGCTGTGTAATTTCAATAAATGGTCTGTATTCTGTTTCGCAGTTTATGTGTGTGTGTGTGTGTGTGTTGTGGGCTGCTTTGTTTAAGTTACAAGCCGCTGGATAAGCGCGTTTGGCATAGGTACAAAATAAATTTTTTATGCTTTGAGAATATACTACAATTTTTTTTGCTATCGAAAATAGTGTACGTCTGCGTCTAAACGTCACATTCATTTCGTAAAGTCTGGCAATAGTGATGTCAAAAAATAAATGCGAAAGCCATAGTGTTGCCAGACCTGGCAGATGGCAAGCCACTTGATTTTTTGAAAAAAAAAAATTTTTTGCATGTGCAACAAGTGAATTCATTATTTTTTTTCAAGCAATATGCATTCGTTAAAGTCGCAACTCGAGTCATGTCTTTGCTTATTGGATGGCGGTAGCAATTTAAATTGGCTAAATGTAGGCTTTGAGAAATTTCTTCTTAAACATTTATTGTTTAGTTGCATTTATGCTTACTTTGTTTTTTTGTAGGTTTTCTGTGCCGAATTTTTGGAATTTGTGAATAAGCTGCAAAAGAGTATAAATAATCAATTAGAATATGATGCTCTCGAAATTATTTGTTTATGCTTAACACAAATTATGATATGTGTTCGGCACTTGGAATACACCATTCAAACTGAGACCGCCAGCGGATCAAGGATAATGGTAATAATAAGTAAAATCCCTATTATTATTATATTATTTATACGATTTAATATTAGGCTAGCCATCATCATTTTGTGGATCGCATAAGGGTTTGTCTACAACGCCTCTGCGTTGCCTTGACGCCCTCAGCAGCAGCAGGAACACAAAATAATGCCACCGAGGGCATTTCCTATTTGAAGCTACTCGATTCTTTGCTGGATTCCTTAGCAGAGTTCACCATATACAATGAGAACAGAAGCCTTGATAGCAACACCATCGACTCGCCGTTGGAAATACTCAACCTAAGCAAGCAAATAAAGCTCCAAATAGATTTACTATTGGGTCAAACACTATCCTTTGCCAATGTGGCCCTGCAACAGGATAAGAAAGCGTTGAGTGCGCTCTGTCAAAAGGTATTAAATATATACATATCTTATTTATAATATAAACACGTATTATTTTAGGTGATGCGTGATTGTGGTGCATTCCAAGGGGAATGCCAACTGAGTCCTGCATCATTGCCTCGAAGCAGCAACATTTCCAATCAAAAACTGAGAGCAATGACTTTGGAGCATGCCTTGCATCAACTGGAGGACTATTTGAATGAGGCTCTCCTGCGATTGGTCTTCACTTGCTTGCTCGACTTTCAAAGGATATCGGTGGATAAAATACGCAATTTATTGCGTTGCACACGGACTGAGAAATCGGTTGCCACAGCGGATGATTTTATAGCCGATTTTGATGTGAATTTGGATCGTGCCACACAAATTGGTATATTTGCAATTGCATTTGCACCCAACTTGAAAAGTATACATATATGTCAATTAATTGTTTATTAAGGATATATTAAATTAATACTATTTCTTTTTCGTAGTTAAGACGACCGTTCGCAGCTGTCTAGCCTCGTTTGAGTATTTGGATACCAGTTTAATTCCGTCGCTGCATGGAAATGCCTCCGATTTGCATTCGGAACTCTTGGAGCAGCACTTCAACGAGGAGATGTCCACGTTTAAGACAGCATTGCATGAGATTATGGATAGTCGTGCTTTTGTCGGCTGCTATTTGCATATGCTAACAACGGGCATTATTACCGCCGAGAAACAGTTTGATAAAATTCAATTGGAGCACTTGGCACAAATGGGTTTCTATATTGTAGAACATTTTCAGTTTTCTGTTAATCAGAAAGTTCTCTTACAACACGAAAATTTGCAGAATTTTGTGCGCATTCTGCGGGAATGCAAAGCAATATTAATGTGTGCTTCGCAAGTTCAACCGGATCGCATCTTGAAGCGATTTAAAATATTACGCACCATATTGCGTAAATTTCACAACAGCTTGGCTGCAGCTGAAAGTAAACCAGCTGCTAATGAACCTCATCCGCATCGGGAAGAAACAGATATTTGTACTGAAGCATCTTACACTCCAATCCAATCCTTAATGGCATCTCCATCGCGCAGTATTCTCTATGAGACCCGTAAGAATCGCAGCAGGACAGCTGAAATAAATCAGCTCACAAATGCTGAACAAACTTTAAATAAATCCCTGAAGCCGAGGGCCTTGAATTGTTTGCGCCGCAGTGAGTATTGAAATAAATGTAGCATTTTAGCTATTTACTTATTTAAATATTTTTAAAAAAAGTTAGAAAATATTACTATCCATTTATTGTAATTATTACAACTAATATCAGTCAACAAAAAGAAAAATAGTATTTACATATATATATTACTTATTACAACTAACATCAGTCGACACAAAAGAAGAAATATATATTAATAATATATATATATTTACAAATTTTGCAGAGCAAAGTCTGCGAACCAACATGTTTAAACGACAAACTGTTGTGGAGAGTATTAAATTGCAGCACACAATCGGCAGTCAAACGGCAAGCTTGGAAATCAGTGGTATGAGAAATACTATAACAACTAATATTATATTATATTATTCATTGTTTTGCTTTCAGAAATACTCGATCAATTGACGTGTTTAACGTCAAACTTCTCAGGCAGTCTGTCGGGACGGAAGTAGTTGGGCTTATTTCCTGTCTATTGTGAATGAAAACCACACAAACTCACATACGCAAACACATACACACACAAGCACATATCGCATCCGCATCCGTAGAGAGCAGTGCGTTTATTTTGAACATCTTGAAAAGATTCAAATCATAACAATAATAAACGCAAAAAAATATAATAATAAAAAGTTCAACTACAAAATTAAATATTTAATTATTAAAACAACGTCAAAGCACTCACTTAAACTATGAGCTAAATTGTCAACTTATTGATTTTCCCCAGGCAAAAGCTTGCTCAACTTGTGGATACATAAAAAAATATATAGATTCGTTAAAGCTGAACAAAAACTTGGGGGAAATGCAAACGGAATCGAGGCTGGAGCACAACTCCGATGATAAAGCTAGTGAAGCATTCGAATTGCGTAGCAATAATCGTTATGTGGTTCCTCTTGGTGTCCTCATGGTGCTCTGCACAATATATCTAATGATTGCCGGACTCCAGACCAACTATGACTACTACTTCAAGCCGGGAGTTGCGGCTCTCAATCCATCCAGCAATCCACCAAATGTTGATGCTACAAATTATGTCCACACTCAACCTCAACCGTTGTGCAGACAAGTTGATATTTTCACCGAGAATGCACTTAAAGGCCAGGCAAATCTGTTGAAGCAACAATCAAAACAATCTTCCAATAACCTCGCAATAAGACGCAAGCAGCAAAGGATTTCGAAATCAAAAACAACTAAAAAAGATATTACCAAGAAATCAAATACAGCCGAACCCATTATCTATCTATTTGCCTTGGTCTTTATATATCTATTGCTGAAGGCCGCATCGGACATAAATCAACACTATAAATCGGTAAAAGTCGTCTTTACTTATTGCAAGCAATTATTTATTTATTTGTATATTTTATTATTATTATTCAACAGCAGAAGAAAGGAGATAAGCGCTTGCGTCGATGCTCCTTGCAATCCTATGCCCAAAAGGAGCAGAGGTCCTCTCATCTAGATCGACGTGCTTCAAAAGGTATTTCAACAAAAAGTTTGCCCAAATTTTGAGAGGATCTCCATTAATACTAAATGTAATTCGAATGCTTTTCGTAGTAGGAAACAAATAACAAGAGATAAAAAAAAAACAAAAACAAAACTAAATAGTTCTTATTGTGTAATATATGTGTTGTGAACTGAAACTTGATTTTCTACTTATACTTCACTACATATTTATATATATCATGTATGTATTCGTCTCGATGTAAAACATATCTGTCTAAAAACAAACAAATTTTCTACTTTTTACCCACTTTCAATTTCTATATATATGTATATAATGTTAAGTGAATGTCTATGTGCCTATTTATATTTATATATACCCCATAGAAATCTGTTTACTGTAACAACTGAACTTTAAGAATAAAACTCTTCTATGCACACCTGTGATGATTTTACAAAGTATTATCTAGCCACAATATATATATAAAAATTGTTGTTTTATTTCCTCACTGTTTTCAACTTTGAGTTTCTTTATAATGATATTGACGTGTATTATTAACTTTTTTATGCAGATGCTCTGCTGCAAAGTAGACACTATATATTTACGGAGGCCCGATCCGTTTCGCTTGATCGCTTCAAGCGAAGGGATGACTTAGCCATCGAGTCCAAAGATCTACTCAAAATTATGCGCAAGCAGTCTACAATTGCTGAACCTGCTCGAATTTATCATCCAGCCAAACTTTCGGGTAAAACAGATGCTTTTTTGAAAAGCTTTGATTTAGGTTCCTTATGGATATGCTTTTTTAACCCTCTTAGAGCCGATAAGGGGTCGTCGCTTATCGGTGCCCCTCAGCATTAACTATCAAACTGTGCACGTTGCTCCTCCTGCTCCGGCTCCTGTTGCTCCACTGGAACTGGCGAGACGTGGCTCTGTGATCAGTGTGGGTGACATGATGACGCCTCTGGCGCTGATAGCACCATCCACTGGCCTCCAGACGATGCCCATGACCGATCTGAAGCGGCGCGTTCGCATGATTAATCGCCACTAAAGGGAATGGGAATCGGGAAATGATATAGATTGATATATGACATATAACTCAACTCAACGACTATATGGACTTCACTTTCAACGAATTTATACACTCAGAAAAATGATCGCCCTGAATATTAGAAATTCGCCAAGAGATCCTCACCAGAAGTCATAATGCTAAAATTGAAGTTTGTGGCTTTCTAAAAACAAGGCTTTGTATTTCTTAATTTCAGGGTGGTTGGTAAGAAAAAATATATCTAATTTCTTAGCGCGTCTGTAACATAAATTATTATTCTTTTCTTTCTTAATTTCAGTGTGAAAATCTAAAATTTAGAAAACATATGCCCAGTTTTCAGCGCGTTTTTCAACATTGGAGAGTTTGTAGTTTATACTATTATTAAATATTCGTATTCAGATTTCGGATATACAAACATTTTATGTAGTTTATAATACATTTCTTTAAATTAATTTGAAAAAATCTGAATCTAAGGCAGACAACTGATAAAGTCTATTATAAAAACCGAGCCAGTAAATTTGAATACTTGCTTCTGAAGTTTTAAAAACGTTTTTTTTCTAAAAATTAGTTTATTTATACTTTTTAGAAATGAATTTCTTGGTAATAGAAAATGTTTCTAAAATATAATAAATACACCATATTTTTGGACACTGTCGATTTAGGGCAAGGTTTTCTATTTTTAAGAAAAATATTTTCTTATTTAAAAAATGTTATTTCTAGAAACAAAAATAGGTTCTTATTTTCAAGGCGATTTTTTTTCTTGAGTATTTTTAACTAGCTTCGAAATTGAATTTTAGACATGCTTAATGGTTTTTGTTTTGCGTTTTAATTAATAAGTGTAGTATCGTTACTATAATTAAGGCATTTTAAACATACAAAATACATTATTGTTAATAGTATTATAATTATAATTATTACTATTACTATTACTATGCCCATGCAATTTTATTAAGAATATACAATACTATACACACATTTAATAAATTGCACAGATGAGCAGCCGTATTACCAGAAAACGTACACTTATTTATTTTTTTATGCTAATAATAATAATAATCTACTACTTAAGGCAAGATTTAAAACAATCTTAGGCTAACATTAAAGTTTCGCTTGCAAGAGAGATACAGAAAAAAAAAACAGCTGATGCAATTTTTCTGGCTTTGTGAAACGATTGAGATATAAAAAGAGAAGTCTATGTATGGAGTGTGTGTGTTCAGAGTAATCGATCAGTATCAGCTCTATATATATATATATATATATATATATATTATATATATATATATATTATATATATATATATATTATATATAAATATATATATAAGCTTTTATCGAATTTTGTGCTAAATGTGTTTTCTCCTATTAAACATTACAAATACAAAAATAAATTACGTATTTTAATTGCTGTGAAATATTAATTATTATCATTATATATATAAATCTATATATATGTATGTATAGACTTTAGCTAAGCTCATTGCCCTCGTAGAGGCTCTCGCAGCTCTCGAGCAGCCGCAGCACGGGCGATATATCATACGGATATAGTTGACGCGAGACGAGACGCGATATTTGCAGCCGGAGACGGATTAGGACACCCATCGCCTCATCGAGCATGGCATTGCCCATGCCAAAGCTATGACAACTATGGACAAACATTGTCCAATTCATGCGTATGTATTTCAACAGTCGCAGCAAATAGAGCAGAAAACACGTCTCATTGCTCACAAGCAGATCGAGCAACAAATCGGAGCTATTCGATGTCATCTTGAGGAACTCGAGAAATGTGTAGACAGGATTGAGCATGGCGACCAGCTCGGGAAACGCATTATTTCGAAACGAGATGCCGGAGGTGACATCCAGTGTGCAGACCATTGCCTCAATCAAATGGTCATCCTGATCATCGAACAGATGGATCAAGATCTTACTGAAATGACATTCCGGATGAAATTCGAGTGTTTGCTTGATGAACGTCTCCAGCTTGCTGAGCACATCCCGTATAGATCTCTCTATGAGCAAAATATCCTGAAATGCATCATAGTCTGTGGAATCAATGGAGGAATCTGAGGAATCGCTGCGTATCTCTTTGACGGTGACTGCTATTGATTTTAGGACGAGTAGCACCATTTTCTGCAGCACCGTTTTATCCATTTCGATGAGGTCGCCACCGCCACTTGCCGAATCCTCGCGTGAAATGGAGGCGATTAGTGAACCATTCACATAATTAATGGGCACGCCATTATAACCAATGAGTCCGACGATATTTTCCGGTTGTCGTCGCGGCAGGGATTCGAGTATGCGCAAACTGCGTACATGGCAGACAATTTGGTGGGCCAACTTGCAGGTCTCCTCGGGCAGCATGTCCTGCAGCGCCAGCGTGGAACCGTAACACAGCGCCTCATTAAATAGGCACAGCATCTGCTTGTAGACCGTGCAGGATAGATTGTGACTGAGCAGCAGTTCAAATTTATCCAGCTGTGCGTAGAAGGGACGCGTTTCATCTATCGAGAGATTGGCCTTGACCGATATGATGTTCTCCCAGAGCTGCAGGAAATTGAGCACGCAATGCTCGGCACGTTGCTGATGCAGCGGTGACATCAATTCCGACATATGCTTCACAAGCGTTGGCCATTTGTGCTCCAACTTTTGGATGGTGACACATTTCAGATGCGTCGTATCAAAGCTCTCCGAATCAGTTAAGGCGACCACATGACAACCATTGGGTGGCACATAATTATTACTGCTAGTCGTTGTTGTACTATTATTATCGTAAGGATTACGATTGCTATCGTTGAATCCTTGCCGGTGATCATCATCTGGCGTATCTCCCGTCATATCACGAAATTGCAGCGCGAAATAATTATTAGCCAGCGGCGGATGTTGCACCGGAAAGTGCATATAGCTAAGGGAGGCATCAGCTGAAGACGAATTGCCTGTTGCTGTAGCTGCTCCAACGCCAACTCCACTCGTTGTCAGCGCCGTGCTGCAATCCTCCTCCAGCGGATGCAGCTCCACATCCTTCCACTCGACAATGCGCTTAATAATGTCCAAACTAAAGTGGATTTTCTGCACTGCCGCCTGATCGAGTAGATCATAGTTAAACAACTGATCCACAATCTTTTGCAGCCACTCGTCGTTCAGCTCCTGCTTGGCAATGACCAAGAAAGCAGCCAGCACACGTCCAGCCAGGAACTGGACATAAGCATTATTATAGCCAGCTAAAACAATGATTTCATCGATTAGCTTGTGATCGTTGCGTATTAAAGCATCGCAAACATCCATAATCCGTGTACAAATATAACCCTTGGCGTTCTGCTTCAAATATATGTCAAAGAGTAGCTGTAAATTGGAGAGAAATTGCAACAGTTTATTTGTGGGCCATTCCCGGAGATAGGCAATCCGCTTTTGGCCATTCGAGTCGTGGGAATAGTGCGATTGAAATGGTTTCCTCAGCGTACGCTCTGAAACGCCGCACAGGCACTGACGCGTCAGCGATTGCTCAAATTCCAGCATATCATCGATGGCGGAGGAATTGGTGGTGGAGTTGGAGGCGGAGACTGAGTTGGAGGAGGAGCAGCCTGTCAGTGGTTGCTCCTTCCTTAGAAGTTCGGTTAGTTGCGTTGCACGATCCACTTCATCGTGCGCCTGCTGTGGCTGTTGTGGCAAGATTGTGTTGACTAAATTCTGTAATTGGGCATAGGAAGCGGCACGAGAATTGCACGGCGTCGTCGTCGGTGAATTGTTTGTGCTGCCCGAATGTGAGTGGGTGGAACATGACGATGATAAGGAGGAGGAGCATAAATGATGCGTTTTATTATTGCCATTGGCATCCATTAGATCCGTCCCATCCAATATATCGGGCGGTGATTTGATGGCGCCCACTAAGCGTATTTGTTTATCAATTTTCTGCCGTTTTGTTTGCGGTTGTTCGTTGTGATTTGTGGGCGTGCTGGCAACGCCGGCAGCAACAACCGTAATGCTTGCCGTGGAACATGGACAGCCGCCATTTCCAGTGGAAGAGTTGCTGCTGCTGTTGCTTTTGCTGCTGCCCGTCGAGCTGCTGCCCGTCGTTGCTGTTGTTGTTGTTGTCGTGTCCATGTTTGGAGAATTGTTTCTTTTATTTATTTGCTTGTGCACTGCAATAAATAAAATGTATATCATTGAAAACAAAACATAAACACATTCCAATCAAACAATCCACATTCCACGCTGACTGCCAACAACCAAGCCTTGCCACTGCGTTTTCGACAGTGCTACCGAATTACGCGTATTCCACAAGGTTACGTGTTCAGTTGCTGAAGCCAGCATTTAATTTCCTAATATATTTATGTCGCAGCACCTTCACATATAAATTCGCTTGTTGCTTGGCAGTTTTGTGTATGCTTTTACTATTTTGAACATTTTTGGGAATTTTTCTTAACTACAACTGCAACAAGTTGTTGCTGCTGTTCACTTTTTTACCTTTGTAATGTTTGTATTTGTTGCACTTCACACTCGGTTTTTGTTGCTTGTATACTTGCGCCATACATTATGGATTTGTTGTCTTGCCTGCAAGCCTTACATTATTTTGTTTACATGCTTTATTTCACTATCGACATTTCTGGGGCGCAAAAAAAAACAACTGACACTGTTAATTAACAAGTAGCGAGCGCGTCGCCATCTTTGTAGTGTTGAGTTGTTCATATGCTGGCCAGTGCCCACACACGTTACGACAGTATGCCATACTTACGATATTGCTGGACCGCAGCACGATACGACCGACTGCACCAGAAACAATATATTAATTATGATAAATATTTTAAGTATTTTACTCAGCTAAGACAAAAAAATAATTGGCTCTGTTAATTATTTTTGTAGTGTTGGGTGTTTATATGCTGGCGCAGCGCTCACACACGTTGCGACGGGATATACGACCGACTTTCGATGTCGCTGCACCGCATACGTTACAACCGGTTCACACAAAAACCAATAAAAAGATACATATTTTTTGTATTTTACCCAGCAAAAGAAATTAATAGAAAAATTGTACCGCACATTAGGCTGTAAGTTCAATTCAAAAATATGTTGCATTATTCAATGAATGCCCCAGTCTGGCAGCTCTATACGGCAGCGCTGCCACCTGGTTGAAATAAATAAATAAAGATTCGATATATTTTTGGTTTACAAATATAAACACATATGTATACTAACTTTTGACAAATAGTGACAGATTTGTTCATAAACAAAACCAGACATTTTTTTTAGTGTCTTTAAATTTTGAGTTTGAGTGTACGCAAAGTGGCAACACCGTGACTTGTTTTTCATTTGACATTGACACAAACACACACATACAGACACATAATTCCAGCCGGTGGTGGGTGGCAGAAAAGGACGACAAACCATTGCGGTACCATTCCCAGGCAATTAGTATTGCAACGGCTTTTTTGTGGAGCTACACTTTGGGCCGCACTGCCCAGTTCCGTTTGTTATCAAAGAACCTGAACTTCAATCAGTTCGAAATACCGAAATTCACATTTAAGTAAAGTGTTCTGTTGTGTTGTGTTCGACGTGCGATCACAGTTGAATTTCGTCGTTGTTTCTAACAACACTTGATTTAATCCACGTAAATAAAAAAAACCTTCAAAAGGAAAATGGCTGGTACACTGCCCCCCCTCAACGATGAGCCCATCTACAAGAAGCTTCAGGAGTATTACAATGGCCACAACAAGGAACTGGTCATTAAGGATCTCTTTGTCAATGATCCCAAGCGATTCACCAAATACAGGTGAGCAAAATGTTTTTTTCACGGTCAACTTTACATACATATATGTACATATACACACACATATAAATCATTTGAAAGCTACTTTCTATTACATTTACATAAGTAAGCTTGTGAGTGTGTGTATTTATGTATGTGTGTGGATATGCTGGAATTTATTAAGCGCTAAATATTTCAATATTTATATTCAAATGAAAAAGTTAAGAAAAAATATAAAGAAAATAATTGCACAATTTTTAAAAATATTGCAAAGCTGCCTTAAGTTATCTAGTGTATTTATTTGTTTATTCAGTATACTAAAACTAAAAAAAAATTAAATTAAAATAAAAAATTTAAAATTAAATAAAAGTTTGAAAAAAAAATTGGAAGTACTTATATATATATATCTATTTAAATTATATATTTAATTATTTCTATGGTTTCTGAGCGTATTTTAACCGAGTTTCGCTTTGTCCTTGCCAAAGGTCAAAGCAATGACCTTTTTCAAGCCGCTTTCTAATTACAATTAAGGCCAATAAAATTGATTCGCTCAATTATTAAATCGAATAAATAATTTGTTTATTGATGTCGATTAGCTTGCGTCTGCAAACGCCAACGGATGGTGAAATTCTGTTGGACTACTCCAAGAATCGTGTGAACGAAGATGTTTGGCCTTTGCTCTTGGAGCTGGCGAAGGCGCGTCGGGTGGAGGCGGCGCGAGATGCCATGTTCTCTGGCCAGCACATAAATATAACGGAAAATCGTGCTGTGCTCCATACGGCATTGCGTAATCGTGGTCTCGAACCGGTGCTGGTGGATGGCAAGGATGTGATGCCGGATGTACGTGCTGAGCTGCAGCATATGAAGGAATTCACCAATAAAGTGATCTCGGGTGTTTGGCGTGGTTGTACCGGCAAACAGATCACCGATGTGGTCAACATTGGCATCGGTGGCTCCGATTTGGGTCCATTGATGGTCACCGAGACGCTGAAACCATATGGCAAAGGTTTGCATTCGCATTTCGTGTCCAACATCGATGGCACTCACATGGCGGAGGTGCTGAAGAGCGTCTGCTATGAGACCACATTGTTCATCATTGCATCAAAGACGTTCACCACACAGGAGACCATCACGAATGCCACCTCTGCCAAGGCCTGGCTCCTCGAACATGCCAAGGATGTGAGTGCGATGATTAATTCCATTTAATTCTATTATTATTTACTAATATGCTTTGTTTTGGTTTTTTTTTAGGATGAGGCCGTTGCCAAACATTTTGTGGCTCTGTCCACGAACAAGGAGAAGGTGACTGCCTTTGGCATCGATAGCGCGAACATGTTTGGCTTCTGGGATTGGGTTGGAGGTCGTTATTCGCTGTGGTCAGCGATTGGTTTGTCCATTTGCCTGTCCATCGGTTTCGAGAACTTTGAACAGCTGCTCGAGGGCGCCCACTTTATGGATAATCATTTCAAGACAGCACCACTGGAAAAGAATGTAAGCGATATACCCTTCCGCAAAATAATATTAATAGCATCACTATGATTGAAAAAACAAAGCATTTTTTCAAATGTGGATTTTTAATGTATTGTTTAGTATTCTTCCTATAAATTCATTATTTTCCAGTATAATAACTATAGTTATTTTCTTTGGCACTTTCTTCCAAAACTTCTGAGTTGCTTAAACGTAAAACTCTCACAAGCGTGATGCTATTATATTTGTTCGCCACTGTATAATGTAAATGTATTTATCTCTGACTCTTATCTTAAATTTTGTAGGCACCTGTTGTGCTGGCCTTGCTTGGCATTTGGTATTCGAATTTTTATAAAGCGGAGACGCATGCGCTGCTGCCGTATGACCAGTATATGCATCGATTTGCCGCATATTTCCAGCAGGGCGATATGGAGAGCAATGGCAAATTTGTTAGTAAATCGGGCCAAAAGGTTGCCTATAGCACCGGACCCATTGTTTGGGGCGAACCGGGCACCAATGGGCAACATGCCTTCTATCAGCTCATCCATCAGGGCACACGTCTAATTCCGTGCGATTTTATTGCGCCCGCGCAGACGCATAATCCAATTGCCGGTGGCAAACATCATAAGATTCTATTATCGAATTTCCTGGCACAAACCGAAGCCTTAATGATGGGCAAGACGAGTGATCAGGCCAGAGAGGAGCTGTCCAAGGCGGGCTTGTGCGGCAACGAGCTGGACAACTTGTTGCCCCACAAAGTCTTTGCCGGCAATCGGCCAACAAATTCGATTGTAGTCAAAAAGGTTTCACCCTTCGTTTTAGGCGCCTTGATTGGTGAGTTCAGCAAATTTTTTATAGCTTATTATTATTTGTTTTAATTATTATTATTATTTGCAGCCATGTACGAGCACAAGATCTTCGTGCAGGGCATCATTTGGGACATTAACTCCTTCGATCAATGGGGCGTTGAGTTGGGCAAACAACTGGCTAAGGCCATCGAGCCCGAGCTGGATCATTGCGAAGAAGTCTCCGGCCATGATAGCTCCACAAATGGCCTAATCAATTTCATTAAATCCAACTGGAAGTAAACAACAACAATAACAACTATATTTTGCAGCGGCCCTCCTCAAAAAACGTTTCCCTATATTTATATATATACTGTTCTTGGCACAAAAATTCTATAACTATTATATTACTATATATATTTGCATGCATATTCAAATTATACGTAGGTAAAGCATTTGGTTTGCAAATTGGCAAAAATCTCACTAATCGGTAGTTTACACACCCTATATATATATATATATATATATATATACATATATATATATATATATGTATAGATATATATATTGTTGTTGGATGTAGTTCATACATGATGTAAAATCAGTAAAAATGCATTGAAATTTAAAGCATAAAATGTGTATTTGGAAAAAACCTTATTGTTGTTATTTTTAGGGAGTGGCGCAGAAAACATTTCAATTTGCAGCATCTGAATCTGTGTCATTCTGGTCATCATCCGAAGAATTCTGTGTCATTATTAGATCCTCCTCATCGGCAGCCAAATCATCATCGGCTTCCATGTTTTCATCATGATTTAAATTCACATTTTCCTCCTCCAAATCGCTCCAATTGTTGGTGGAATCAACATCCTCATCTAGAGAGAAGTTTTTATATTGAATTGTGTTTATTTTTTAAAAATTAAGTTAAGTAAATATTTACCGGGATCCTCGTCAACAACTAAAACATTGTTTTCATTCAAATGCTTATCCGAATTACGTTTCATTTGATTTATAATCAAGTTAACACGCCCAGAAACTCTGTAAAAAATAAAGCAAATAAAACTTCTAAATTTGTGGATCTTATAAATAAAATAAATATATATTATGGATATGGAGACGGATGCATCTGACGTGCCCTCCTCGATTGATGAGAACAGTATCAGCGATGAGCTTGAAATGATTTCCACACAGGAGGCCATCAATGTCGTCTCTGTGTACAATAAAAGTAAACTCGTTGAATCCATTGCAAAATGCCAGAAACCGTTGTGTGAAGATGCGGATTTCGAGTGCGTGATGAATATGGTCAATGGTACGATTTGTGAGGCTGTCTCCATTATTGAATCCGATCCACGAGGACTCTTTTGCTACAAATACGTGAAGAATTTGAATATCTTTGACGTGGAGCCCACAATTAACTTGACGGAGCCGGCGGACAGTTCACCTTCGAGTGATTTTCTACTATGTTGGCAGACAATCGATCAGTTTGAATATGGCAATGTGGTTGCCATGATTCGTCACTATATCGGATTATGGCAGGTGTCGCCACAAACTAAATGTGTCGTCCTCTCGAATAGGCGGGGCCGTGAGGTTGCCTTAAAGGGTCAAATCTACTTTGTCGATGCGCACTTTTCACGACCATCTCAAACGTGTACAAATCCCTTGGCCGTTGCCAAGGTTCGGTTTATAATTACAGTTTCGCGTATTCTGCCCAAACATTATCCGGTAATGATCACATATCGCTTTGAAGGATATCGTACATTGTATTATGCGTTGGGTGAGCGGGCCGTCAATTCGAATTCATTTCAAAGACTGTACATCGATACCATCTTGCACAGTAAGTTGAGCTTCTATGCGGAGATTTGCGTGTGCCGGCATGGCACCGTTGACAAGCCCAAGGAATCAGATGAATCAAGGAAACGCCAGAAATCGTGCAGTTCACTTTAGCCATAACTTACTGTAGTGCTTCGGCGAGGCAATGCATCCGCTGCTCAGCAATGCCCAGACAAATGCCCAACTTGTCCCGGAGCTCCTCCTTATCCTCGGACATCATAATGCTCGTGTGTGTTGTCGCCAAAATCTGCAGCCAGCGCAGAGCACAATTTACGCTAATTAATAAAATATAATAATAGAATATAAGAAAAATTTAAAATATATACAAGTGAGAAAGGCTTCTCTAATACCAATAGGCAATATCAGCTGATAACTAGTGTAGCCCAGAAATATCTATCTATGCAGGAGGCTTCTACACTCAGACAAAAAAAAATTGCTTCAATTTCAGTAAATCTAACTGTAAGATATAATTTCTCAATATTAAGAAAACAATTTCTTACTTTTTTTTGATTTTTTTTTCCCGGCTGATATTAGCCATATTTATTTATTTATTTAGACATTAAATAAATAAATAAAAAAATTTGTGGGAAATATGTGTCTGACGATTTGCGATTCTCATTTTTATATATTTGCAAAGCTTCTAATTTGAAAACTGGCTCCGACGTGGGACAGACAAGTGACTTTAAGGATGTTTTTTTTTTATCAGAGTATTAAAAATAAAAATAAAAATATAATATATATATAGATATATAGACTCACTCGGTTGCTTTGCCCTGCAATAACACAGAGAGCTCATTGATCAAGGGACTGATATATTCCAGCGGCAGGCGATCCAAAGTTAATTGCACAGTCTTTGCATCATTTGTGTCCAGAACTGCATGCAGCATGCTGCAAAGAGGAGGATTACGTATAAATATTTGGTATATAACTCATGTATATAACTTACCTTTGATCCTGACTGTGCAGCGCTTGCATTAAAAGCTGCGTTTTGCTTTGGCTCTGCAATTTGCCACCTGCCAATTTGGATGCTTGAATGGATAAGTTTTGCAGACGCGCCTCCATTGGCACCTCATTCCTGACCTTCTTCTTGGAAATTGGCAGAGCACTATTGTACTCCACCTGCTTGGACTGAACAATGGGCGTTTGTGTCTTCAGAGCAGCAGCTCCCGATCCGCTCTGCTTCTTCGCATACAATTTCTTGGGATCTGTGCGAACAATTACATTCAGCTTCTCCGCATAATTTGGAGTATATCGCTCGAATTGCAAGAGACGCCGATTGCCGTAGCCAAAGAGTATCTCGTGCGAACGTTGGGCATCATACACAAAGTGAGCGGCAACAGCATGGATGGGTTCAACAACATCGCCGCCATCCGAGGCAATTTGCAGTGACACCTTTGGCTTGATATATTTCTCAGTTGACAAACTAAGAGTAGAAATTTGTTAGTTAATGAAAACATAGATCAATTATTACCAATTACCTTTCCACATTGAGCATATAGATGTGTATGTTGCCATTGCGTGTCACACTAGCCACACGCAACTGGCCATCTTCGCGCACCTCACACGTCAAACTGTGGGCCACATCCTCCATGAGCAGCGTGCACATCGATGCCTTATTTCTACCCTTTTTCTCAATTTTCCAAAAGGAAATTACACGTTCCATTTTTGCTGTTGTCATCACATATTCCACATTATTCTTAGTACAAGTAAAACTATTGATGGCATTAATTTCGCCAGAGTGTCCCGTGCATGTTTCTACCAACTCAACGTTGTCCACATCATAGATTTTCAGTTGACGCGAGGCAACGGCCAATGTGCGACTCTTGGCCAAAAAAACACAATTTACGGGCTTCTCTGGGCCAACGGAGAAGTCGGAAATGCAACGAGCCTCCGCCACAGACCAAATCAACGCTCGACAATCTGTGCCCACACTATACAGATGCCCATTGTGGGCATCATAGACAATCGCAGTGACTGCTCCATGGTGGCTTTCATTGCTCAGCGTGCGCTCAATCTGCAAACCAAAAAAATTATTTTATTGAAGTAAATATCGGTTTATTGCTCACCTTTCCCTCGGTTAAGGAATACAGCACCACGGCGCCCTTGAGTGTGCCCAGCGCTATATATTCCCTATCATTGTCGGAGGAAATCTGTGTTTGCTGCTGCGTTTTGCGCGTCTTTTTCGGACGCTGTGCAGCAATTGTTAGCCACGTGAGTGCTGTGCAGGGACCAGCTAGCTGCAGGTTGGGTGTGTATTCCTGCTTCAGTGTGTTCGCCTCGGTGTCCCATATCCGAAGTATGCCTTCGTCGTCAACCAAAGCGAAGTGTTTGCCACCATTCGAAGAGAATCCCGACACGTGCTTCTTGCCCAGCGACATCGTTTCAAACAGTTTGGAGCAAAAACATTACCAGCCGCAGTGTTGGTTAACTGAGCAATAGTTTTCTTGGGCAAAATTTGCGATAAAAATACTAAAACTGTTAACAGCTGAAATATTTGTTCACACTAGAGCATGTTCGCTTAAATTTCATTACATTTCCAATTAACTGGAGTTCTCTGCCGAAAGCCATAAGAAAGAATAAGCAATTATTTTCTTTATAATTATAAGCACACATTTTTCTTGACAATTAAAATAGTTTTTCCCTAAAAAATAAGGAATAAATTTTTGATTGACATTTGCTGCACTCGCGCGGTTTTGAGTTGGTTTGCCTATAACAGACGTCAAAATATATTAAGCCGTCGAACGTATGTTTCACACATATTAACAACGAGTTAACAGTAAGGATCTAAAAAAAATTGTAATTTCGCGGTCTGTTTTAAACCGGTTATATGCAGGTTTCCATTGTCGATAACTTTTTTTCGGTCGAAAACACAGGCCAACAGCTGCAAACTGCGGACCTACTTAAAGCAGTTATCGCATAAACCAATTAGATTTTCAATTAAATAGAGCTGTTAGCAATTCAAGTCATTGATTTGTCAGGTAGCTTTCGCCTGGCAGCTTATATTTTACTTGTGATAGTATATTTTGTTTTTTTCTATATACTTATTGAAAATACTTTTTTGGTATCGATAACTTTGGTCTGAAAACAGCTTAACAGCTGAAATATACGGACACATTTTGAGCATGTTATCGCCTACAATGAATTACATTTGTAATTAAATACACTTTTTAGGACATTAAGTCACCAATTTGTCAAGTAGCTGTTGCCTGACAACTTATATTTTACTTTTAATGAAATATTTTGCTTCTTCGATTTGCTTATCGAAAATTAATTTTTGGTATTTTCATAAAAGAAAAACAGTATTTTGTTAAATGCCGCCAGCAGCACACTAGCCGTCGAGAATATTCGTTCGCCCCATTTCGACTTTGAGGTTATAGTGAATTACCGTCTGATTTCCTTGCTTTAACTTGGGCTGCTCTTCTTTTGTCAAATAAATAATTATCTGTGCATAAAAATGGCTTTATCTGTACCAAAAGCACCCGGCATTTCGCAAATGCTCAAGGATGGCGCCCGGGTAAGTGAAATAAACACACAAAATGGACAATATGAAACAATTTCATTGAAATTGAAGAGACAAAATGAAGCGCGTGATTAGTCATCACTTCTGATGAATGTTGAACATATGTCATGTATAATGACTGATTCTGGGATTAATCAAGCGTTTTTCCATAGATGTACAGTGGATTGGAGGAGGCAGTCTATCGCAACATTAGCGCCTGCAAGGAATTCTCACAGACAATGCGTTCCGCCTATGGCCCAAATGGCATGAACAAAATGATCATTAATCACATCGAAAAACAGTTTGTGACTAGCGATGCTGGGACAATAATGCGTGAACTCGATGTGGAGCATCCGGCTGCCAAGCTCATTGTGATGGCCAGTCAAATGCAGGACGCTGAGGTCGGTGATGGCACAAATTTTGTTGTGGTTTTTGCGGGTGCTCTCCTCGAATCGGCGGAGGAGTTGCTTAGACTAGGCATTACCACAGCGGAGATCGCGGATGGCTATGAGAAGGCGCTAAACAAGGCACTGGACATTTTGCCCAAGCTAGTATGCCATCAAATCGAAGACTATCGTGATGTGGTTAAAGTGAAGGAGGTGCTGCGATCGGCGATTATGTCGAAACAATACGGACAGGAGGATTTCCTCAATGATCTGTTGGCCAAAGCATGTGTCTCCATTTTGCCCGATGAGGGCACCTTCAATGTGGACAATATTCGCATCTGTAAAATTCTTGGCAGTGGTCTGGCTAAGTCGGAAGTGGTCCGTGGCATGGTCTTCAAGCGATTTGTCGAGGGCGACGTCACTTTCGCGGAGAAGGCAAAAGTTGTCATCTTCTCATGCCCCGTCGACATTATACAGACGGAGACCAAAGGCACTGTCCTCATCAAGTCAGCGGATGAGCTATTGAATTTCTCTTCGGGCGAGGAAGGTCTATTGGAGACCCAAATCAAAGCTATTGCCGATACGGGCGTCAAGGTTGTCGTCTCTGGCGGCAAAGTCGGTGATATGGCTTTGCATTTCCTGAACAAATACAATTTGATGGCTGTCCGTCTGAATTCCAAATTCGATTTGCGCCGCTTGAGCCGCGCCGTAAATGCCACAGTTCTGCCTCGCATCACGACTCCCAGCCAGGAGGAGTTGGGCTACTGCGACAAGGTCTGCATTGAGGAGCTCGGCGATACCACAATTGTCGCATTCAGGTAAGTGCTATATATATATATATCTACTAATTATATACAAAGGAATCCTAATGCACATTTGTTTTTTTTTTATTTCAGAAATGAGGGCAAGGACTCGCGCATTTCCACGATTGTTATACGCGGAGCCACAGATAACTTTATGGATGATATCGAGCGCGCCTTAGATGATGGTGTCAATAACTTTAAATGTTTAACCCGTGATGGTCGTTATCTGCCCGGAGCAGGTGCCACCGAGATAGAGTTGGCCACCCAGTTGGCTGCCTATGCTGATACTTTGCCTGGTTTGGATCAATACGCTGTGCGCAAATTTGCAACTGCCCTCGAAGTGTTCCCCAAAGCCTTGGCCGAGAATTCGGGCACCAATGGCACCGAGATTGTTAATCAGTTGTATTTGGCCCACAATTCGCCGAAGGGCAAAAATATCGGTTACGATATTGAGGCGGAGAAACCGACGACAATCGATGTAACCGAAGCGAAACTCTTTGATCTGTATCAGGCCAAATATTGGGGACTTAAGTATGCCGTTGGTGCAGCTGGAACCATCCTTAAAGTGGACCAGATCATCATGGCCAAGCGTGCCGGTGGCCCAAAGCCACGACAGGCTGCAGGCAGCGATGATGAAAGTTAAAAAATACAACCCTACAAAAATAAAACAACATTCGCTTTAAAATGTAAAGCTTAATTGTTTAAGTTTAGCCCATGGCGAATACAAAACACCCATTATAATGTATTTTTTCACACACGAGTTGGAAATTTCAAATTTCATCAATAACACACACTCACACACACCAGCGACGCACACACTCTCATCAAACACAGCTTCTTGTATTAATAAACTAAACTTTAAAAAAACTGAATGTCTTCCGAGTTGCTTTTATACCCTGAACACTTTGGAAGTGCCTAAAAATTGTATATTGCTTTTGTGCACAAGTACGTAACAGGCAGAAGAACCAACACCTACTTTATAAGGCATGTATTGTCTTGATCAACATCTAAAGTCGAGTCCAAGTCCGTCTACCCGTCTAAATAAAGATGCCAATCTTAGCGACTTTAAGAGCAAGAGACTTGCAACTTTGAATATAGGTTCTCGTATACCCCGCGTAGATCAATTTTAATTAATCTTATCGATAACTTCATGCGTTTCACAAATATCCACATAAATCGGTTTCCGATAGCAATAAAAGCCAAAATTTTAAATGTTAAGCCTAACATATAAAATGGACAAATATCATTAATTTTTTCACAGAAGTGTTCTACAGGGAAATTTGACAGTAAAAACGAGAACATATTTTATACTGCTCGGTGTGCATGATATCTACGATATTCTTATTTGTCCTTTGTGTATTAGAGTAAATTAAACGCACTTGGAAAAGGTTGTTGGTTTTTTTTTTTGTCTCCGCTAGATAACTCATCTAAGCTTTTTTTTTATTTTTTTTTGGAATTCAAGCAAACGATTATTTGTTTGGAGTACATTACATACTTATTTCAAATTGCGTATGCGTAGATACAATTCAATATTTGTTTCGAATAAAATTACGATATCGTTGTCGACTTTCAAATTGAAGTTAATAAAGTTTTTAAAGTGTTATATCTCATTGTTTGTTTGTGATATTTCGTGCATTGCTTTATCAATAGTTTCGTGTTATCTTTTAGTTTATTTATATGCTAGTTGTAAATACAATTATGGATTCAGATCCCAAGTTTGCCAGCGTCAAACAAATGAAACTATCCGTGCTCCATTGGATAGTTCAATTGTCCAGCATCAGCAAACTTTATCTTTATCTTTTCAACACAAAATAAAGTCTTCATTAGAAACAAAAATGATTTTAAAAAAATATATACCAAGATCCTGCCATGAAACGTTTTTAGCAAATCGAAAAAACTTTTGAAATGGTTAAGAAGCTAAAAAAAAACCAACTGCAGTTTAGGTTTGGAATATTTTGACTACTTTCGAAAGTAGATGAATTTTTAATTTTGAACAATTTTCTGCTGAATGCTCACGACAGCAGAACAGGGTCCAAAATCTATATTGGTTTCGATAAAAAATGTGTGATTCTTTAGATAACTTTTTGATGATGGATTTGAAATATGTTTGTATTGAATCAAACAAATGGAAGAACCGATTGAATTACATATTTATGTTTGCATTGATTTCGAAATGGTTGCTTGAATATGAAATGATATTTATATGATTCACTTTTGTATGGAAGAACCTTTTGTCTTTTGTTTCATTCCAATGCCATACAAATATGCCCATTACCATTATCGAGTGTAAAAAAATAACTCGGCTTTAATATATATATATACCTTGCCATTCATGCCAATTACACATTTTGTTGATTTCATATAATATACTTTACAAAAATATAGGCTCAACCGCGGACAACTCATTTAATTCTTATATTTGTGATTTCGATTTAAATGACACAATTTGGTGTTAAATAAATATGAGTGAATTTTTCTTTCTTAACAGAATCACACATTCTTTACAATATCTTGGAAATGATTTTTCGATTCACATAGTTTCATATAATAAAATAAATTATCGTTCAATAAAGCATTGTATTGCATTATATAAAATATTTGGCATTAATAGCCGTTTGCGGTTATTAATCAAAAAGGACGAAAACTACGTTAGATATATATATATATATATGCGTTAGTGCAACGGGATTTTAATATTTTTTGCTAAGAAATACTTGGATATAATAAACACACTAAAGTTGAACTAGCTTGTTATGGCTGCATTATATTCCTGCCTGAATTTAAAGCTTTTAAAGTAATCATATATGTATAGTTTAAAATCCACTTAACTGGGATCTATAAGTGTGTGTGTGTATTTTATATCATTTGTCTTCAATTAAGTATATGCTTAACAACGTGAACAGAGTTTATATTTTTCTGGTTTTTTTCTTCTTTTCTTTCTTGAAATAAGTAGTCAAATTAAGTGTTTTACTTGTATTTATTTTTGTGTGTTTGTGTTTTGGGTGTGTTTACCATGTATCATTATAATAAATATAGTATTGGGCTTGATATATATATATATGTTGTAGATATATAGATTTCATAGTTTATATATAGGTAGTTGTTGCTATATAGTCCGCAGAATAATTGTCCTTAAGGTTGGGATATTCGTGTACTCTTTTGTTACATACAAATAAAAAACATGGTGATATTTTCGAATAAATGCCAAAAAGTTTTTGTTTGAAAAATTTAAATTGTTTTTTAACACTTGTCATATTTTTATCATATTGTTTGCTGTTGTTATTTTCATAAATAGCCCTTTAAATCTTTGGTACACATATGGGCTCTCTTCTATTTTATTTTATTTGTTTAATAATATTGCTTTTGTAATTTGTAATTAAGTTTTTCTCTTTGCTGGTGGTGCCGACTCTTGTTATTGTTCATCTCATTTTGTTTTTAAGTGGGTGCTTTTCTAAAAGAACTTAAAACTTAAACAAACCAAAAAAAAAGTAATTAGATCTGCTTAGAGAGCCGTGCACGAGGACTTCTCACGGAAGGGGTTTACCTTTTGGCTGGTGAAACCAGTCAATAGATAATCCTCCTGCTCGTGCTCCGATATATATTTCTTCATTTTATCGCAAGACATCGATACCGTCTGACGATCGATAGCCGCCTCGCGACGCAGCTGTTCGACGACGATGCGCTGCTGTTGTAGGGATGATGACATTACGTCCATTACGGCTGTCTCGGATAGGCCTATGGTTGAAAATGTTCTCAGATACGGATACGGATAAGAGCAAATTGTAAATTAAGTAGTGGTGGTTGTGTGATTTCTTTCAATAAATTATATTAAATATTGTTTGTATTATTTTTTTTTTCTCTTGTGTTGTTTTTGGTTGAATTCTGAATAATAGGGGCGCTGTAAATGTAGAGAGAGCAAAAAATGCAACAAAGCATTTGTTTAGATATGTTCTTTTTTAAACTATCACGACATTCTGGTCACATTGAATATTACAACGACACAGAGTACATACAAAGAATAGTGTACAGCTTGACAGGAAGTAATAGTTTGAGATCTCTAGATAGGCAGTGTTAGGTAGAATCTTAAGAAATTTCGATTAATCGTTTGCTAAGTTGTATTTTTATTTAATTTTTTAAAGCATCGCTTCACATGTACGTATGCGTATGTGTGTCTATGTATATAAATGTGTAGGTATGTATGTAAATAAAATAATGCTGGTCGCATTATAATAATGTAGTTTTTCGCTGTTTTGTGATTCATATTTATATATATGGAAACATTTAAAAATTTTTAATATCGCTTAGTCATCTTTACTTGTAAGGTTTCGCACTTAATGCAAATTAAGTTAATTATAATTTTCGTACTTTTTTTTTCAATTTCCAATTGATTTTATTTTGTGACTGTGCGAAAGTGTTGGAGAACACACACTCATGCACATATATATACACACACACACATACGTACATTAAAAAGACGTCTTTCGTTAACACCAACATTTGAGTAATTAATATACACACACAAGCACAACTACATGTTAATAACAATAATGCCCAAATTATTTACCAGCTTTTTAACAAATATTTTGCTAATTTTCCCGAATAACAGAGATCAAGCTCCTCCTTGACTTGACCAAAAAAGATACACACCCAAACCAATGAAACGTGAAGTTGGCTGCGTGTAAAGCTGCAAATCGTTATCGATTATCAAAATTATCGGTGTATTACATGTGGGTGTGTGTTTGTTTGTGCATCCCTGGCTGCCCCAGACTCGCCAAGTGCAAAAATGATGGCTAAAGACGAATGGTCGGCGGAGGAGGAGCTGCAGCTCTTCCATGCAATGGAGGGCCTACGTCCCGTTGGCATCAACAAACACTTCTACATGTCCTGCATTGCGGAACGCCTTTCCAAGTCTCTGAACCGGGAAATGCCCAGCGATCTGATCTGGAAACATTTGGGCACTATGTATAAACTAAAAGAATTGGATGAACTCGAATGCTTGCCATTTCCAAATGAGGAGCGCGAATTTTGTTTGCCGGACAAGGATTATGCGATGTTCGTGAGCAAAAAAACTGTTGGTCTCAACGCAGCTAGCGAAGATGCCTCAGATGCGACACCAGCTCCATTTATGGTTTCCGATAACAACAGCAAAGGTAAAATGAAGTCATCTAAAGGCGTTGAAAATTTTAAATATCGTCTTGGTCATTTTCAGCTACAAAATCCTCAGCTGGGCAATCGGCAAACATTGGTAAGGAGGTGGAAAAGAAGTTGCCTGTAAAAGTCTCAGATTTGCCTAAGCGTCCAGCGAAAAGGACGCGCGGCTCAATGTCGAATGAATCGATTAGTCCATCAACCACACCGCCACCGATGCAGAGCAACAAACGTCGTCGTATTTAATTATTTTTACTTAGTTCTTTATTAACAAAAAATAGTTTCGCTATTAGTCGTAGTTAAAACATGACCAAAACTCTTGACTTTAAAATATAATGTAAATGTATATTTATGAAAATCAATCTTCAAAATCACTCGAGTCCGACTCTATTGCCCCATTTTGTGGCGTTTCCGTTGTCATTTTCATGGAATCCAGAAGGGATTTCAGCAAACGCTTGTTTAAATGATCCGTTTGTGTTAATTCTCTCACGGGCTGCGCTTGCTCTGTGTCCTCTACTTCGGCTGGTGGCGCTGCTGGTGGCGTATTCACCGGCATCGCATCGATGTTCTCCAAATCTGGCATTTTTGGTGATATATTTCTTTTTGCTTAACAAATTAAACCGCACTCTGGCGTTTGTTTTATTTTTGTGTGTGACACAGCTGCTAGGGCTCCAGTAAATTAAGTACGTATCTAATTGGAGTTTGTTTTGCCGTCCCTGGTTTATAGCAGCCTTGTGCGCTTGAGCAGTGCAGTGTTGTATCGCGACCGAATTCAATTTCAATAAACAATTAAAAAATATTACTATTAAGATATTTTTATGTTCTTTCCTTTAGACACAGCTGTTAGGGCTACATTGAAGGAGTTTCAATTTCTTTTTGCCGTCCCTGGTTTGTAGCAGCCCTGTTCGCTTGCGCAGTGTAGTGTTGAATTGCGCCCCAATTCAATTTCAATAATCAATTAAAAAATGTTTTTGCCCGAAACGGAGGATATGCTGCCACGAGCGGCGCCCCGGCCATGTACGGCCGTACCGCTGGGTCACGTTGATGAGATTGTTAAGCCAACTGTGCCAGAAGTCTCCATACTATTCGGTGAACCGCTACAGCAGCAACAAGCTCAAATACAACAACCACAGCAGCAACAATCAGCGTCTGCGCAACGCCCCCTGAGCAATTTTGCCACCTGGAAGAAGCAAATCCTGCCCCGGGTCAACTTTTCGCCGGTACTAGTTACCGAATTGGGGCCTGGCTCGCCGCCGGCTACTTCATCTGCTGGCAATGACTATAATTATCTGCCCAGGGCTCGCTTTAATGAAGAGCGCACCACGCCGCCCAGAAACATGAATGTTGGTTATGCTGCTCCTGGGCCGTATGCCACAGATCATCTGGGGTCGGCACAGCGCTTGCCAAATCAAAGCGATGTGCTCACAATATGCGCAAGCACCCAAACCGAAACTGACAGCATCCGATTAGATGCTAAACTCGATCTCAGCAATTTGGCTGAGAAAAAAGACATTAGAGAAGTGTTGGCCCTGCTGGAAATGATGCGCCAGGACCAGCAGCAATTGCGACGCCTATGCGAATCGCTAGCTCAGCAGCAGGAGAAGCAGCAGCAACTTCCCACTCAAAGTCCCAAGACATACAAGGAGACGGCTTCTCAATGTGATTTAATGGTGTCCAGTAAAAGTAAATGAAATTAAGCAAAAAAATTGCAATTTAAATATCTCAAAATTCTTCCAGGCAATTCAACAGTGAAGCGAATAACACCCACTGTGCAGGATTACATAGTTGAGGAGGAGGATGAGGAGCTGCCTGCAGTGATCTATGAGCTGCCCGCGAGAATGAATCCCAAATTTCAATCGCCACGCGCTGCACCACCAATAGCTCAATCCACTGGCTATCGAGTGAATACACCAAAGGCTAAACTTGCTCCCGGTGTGCTGCCCAAGCCCAGCACCGAGCAGAGCATGGTCATGAATGAGCTAGCCCTCAAATATTTGCCACAGCGTCAAATCCATGAGCTAATGGATGAGTTGCATGTGTCGCCAAAGGCGACTGCCACAACGCCACTGCGTCCCATTGATAACTTTGTCTCGAGTCCGAGCAACATGTCCAATGCCTCCTACAAATATCTCAAGAAATATCGCCTGTTGCCCGAGGAACAGTTGGGCTACGAACAACATCATCAGTCGCCGCAAGGAATCCCGAAGATGCCACAGCAGAAAGTGTGCCAGGAGCAGATGCTGGATCTGGATAATATACGCAATCAGCCAAAGTTAATATAGAAAATAATTGTTTATTTTTGTAATTTTCAACTGCAACTAACAGAACGCAAAATAAGAGTACAGATATATATAGAAAAGCTGCAGTAACATAAAAGGGATTTTGATTTTTTAGGGGGGAGTTGGACAAACCACACAATAATAATCGTAGAAATTTAGCGCAAAACCAGATGCATTTCGGATGCCGATTGCAGCAGCACCTTTAATCCCTGCATAAAGCCAGCACATTGGGCGAAATCGGTGCCAAAGGCGATCCTAGTGTGCACCTCGAGGGCATTTGCATAGTCGGCGATTTGAATATATTGCACGATTTGATTCAAATGCTGCACAGTTGTCGCTGTTAGCTATTTTTCAAAAAGTTGTTTAGTTTTTAATTGTAATTTTTTCGTATTTTATTTAAAACTTACCCTGCCATCGCGCAGGCAATCATAGAGATTTTCCAAGCGTTTCACAACATCCACAAATTTCCGTTTGGTGCGCTGTAATTAAATTTATTAAATATTTAGTAAGTTTGAAATATTTGTGGTTTCTGTTGAAAAATGTAAAGATCAATCTACAACATTAACTGTTATTACTTATGTTAATGATAGTCATATATCGATACTGCGCACGATAAACCATTTCGATAAACGGTCACACTCTGTTGCTCTAAAATAGTAACAGTCCGCTTACCGGATCATTGGTTGAGCTTAGGCATTGATTTTTCAGCTCCTCGAGCACGGTTTGCAAATAGATATATTCCTCTGGCAGTGGCGGCTTCTCCTTGGGTGGCTCCGGCTTACGTTGCTCCTGTATGGTTGCCGGCTGTTCGGTATAACCAAAGGTTTGCTGTGGCTGCTGCTGCTGACCGGGCCAATATTGCTGTGGTTGTTGTTGTTGTTGCTGCTGCTGGAAATTCATTTGTTGTTGTTGTTGGGGGAAGCCCTGCGGATTATTGTTGGCAGCTGGATTGTAATATGAAGCAGCAGCTACTGGTGGCACACTCTGATATTGATTGGGATCCATGTAGCTATTCGGATTTTGATTCGGATCTACTCCGTACAACGGATGCAGTATTGCTGCCGAAGGCTCCGCTGATGGTCTCGGTTTTGGCTAAAATATTATTATGACAAAATGAGTAAAATATTAAATTAAATAAATAATTAAAAGTACTTACTACTCGTGAGGATTTCAGAGCAGGTGGATCATTCCAGCCGGGCGGTGGCGTCGGATTGCGCTGTATATTCTGCACGAGTGGAGACGGTGCTGCTTCAATAGGTGCAATTCCAGGCATATAATTGCTTTGTGGTGCACCAATAAATGGCGTTGGATTATATGGTTGAGCCGTTGTTATGGGATTGGTATTGAATGCACTCGTATTGTAAGACTGTGGCACACTCGCAGGCTGAGCAATGGGAGCAACTGCACCAGCGAAGGGAACTGCCGCAGGGACTGGCATTGGATTGTAGGCCATGCCATAGGCACTCGTGGGTGCTGCCACCGAAGGATCCAACACATATTTGGAACGCGAATGCAGACCAGAGCCAGCAGTTGGCACTGATGGTACACCCGTAGAGCTGGCATTGCTGTGCGGACGTGGTGGATGTGTTGAAGGTGCTTCAGCTTTCATTTGTGGCGGATTAAAAATTTGCGCAGCTGGCTGAGCTGGCAGAAGATTAAGAGGAACTGCCGCTGCTGCTGGTGCTGCTCCTGGCCAGCTGTTGCCATTTGTGGTAGCATTTGGATATGGATTGAGCAGCGGCGGTTTAGAGAAGGAGCCACGTGGCTCCATTTGACGCATATATCCGCCAGTTGCAGCTGCAGGTGCTCCAACTGCTACTGCTGGTGGAATGCGGTCCACGTTGACTGCATTGCTGATGCGTTCGCGTAGCTCATTCAGATCTTCGCTCTCCGCATTGGCCCTGCTCAACGTGGTTATATACTGCAGGGCGGCAGTCAGGGCGCCTTGAGAGGCGAGCAGTCCGCTATATTCCGAAATGAAGCCCGCAAAGCGACCGGCGAGGTCAACGGCAATGCCCTGCTGCTCCAGGGACTTGGTGAGCAGCATCACCACCTCGGCCAGCTCCTGCAGCTCGCTAGTGTTGAGCTTGTAGTTGTGATTCTGTTGCTCCAGCTGCTTCAGTTGATACCAAGCAGCAACTAGCTTATCAATGCTGCCTGCACAAATATAACAGAGCATTGCATTTCGGGTCAACTCAATGCTGCTCGACGACGATGACTCATTCAAGAGACGATCTCCAAGTCGCTCACAAATATCGACCAGTTTGCGTTCGCTGTGCTTGAGTGCCGCAACGAGTGCCTCCTTCCAAGAGTCCACCGTACAACGGTTGACAAAGTCCAGCCAATCTCGTGTGACCAGTGCTGAGATCACATTAGACAATTCACTCTTTTGCTGCATCAAATAGCGTGTTTGGATGCGTGTCAGCGTCTCTATGCCCGCCGTGGAGGCGATGATGAGGGCCTCGGGTATGCGCTGCGCTTCCAAGCACAGCTCCACGGCTGCCTCCGTGTTTGCCGTGAGGATCGCCTCCGTGATCAGACTGTCAGTGTCTGCAAAAAGGGAAAGTATATTAATATATATTAATTATATATTTTAGTTATTTCACTTACGATCACCGCTGGGTATTTTAAATTGAGGCCTGGGCGCAGCTGGATATTCGTTGGATAAACCATCGTAATTATTTTTGTTGTCGTTTGTTTGCTGTTGAAAAGTCGAAATCATAATTATTTAAATTGTCTGAACCAAAATATGTATATACATATATACATATTTATATATATATAAATAGATATATGTGACTTGATGTAAATGGCTTCAATTACAGACTTACATTCGGAAAAAAATCTAACTGAATTTGAGAAATTTGCCAATTGTAACTCAACTTAAATTTGCGTTTTTATTTTCTTAATCAAATTTAGAACAAATATTTTTTTCCGAGTGTAGGTCTGTTTTTTCTTCTTGTGTGCATCCGATTTCTTACCGAAATTTCGGTGCTTGAAATGATGCTTTGATCGCACTCAACCTCAGAAGAGTCGCTCTACGCGTAGGGAAAATACACACAAAGCAACCCCGAATGTTTGGTAAGCATGAGAAATTGTTATCAGAATAAAAATACATACTTCGAGCAAAGATGAACAAACTAAAACTGATAACGCAACACAAATCTGACACATACAGCCGCGGTCAAAATAATGGAGCAATGTTAAAAAACAAAATACTTACAGTATGGTCAAACAAAATAGGAACATTTATGTGCAAAAAAACTAAATTCTCTAAATTTATTTAGATGGGATAGATATAAAATTACGAATAATAAATAATACAATCCTTTCAATTTTTGTCACAAATCAGTCGGTGGAAGTGGAATTCGGGTGAAGCTTCCTTATTAATAAAAACTAGATATGATATGTGCATGTATATATTACTACGTTTAGTACGTGAGGTTGCACAACTCTCACCATTACATTGACTCTCTTAAAATAAGGTCAACCAATCGATTTGACAATATTAAGACGGTTTATAATAATTTAACGGGTTGGTTTTCTATTGTAATTGTATTTTAAATCATTTCCCATTGAGAAACCAATAATTTGTTGTTTTTTGCACAACAGAAGGTAAAAGATATATCTATGAGTAAAATGAGCGAAAGGATTATGAAAGGAGTGGCTATGAAAATATTACGAAATTGCATCATTTCTATTACTTAGACCACAACTGTATGTGCATAGGTTTTCGACAAGATAAGAGCTGAACTAAAAGCTATCAAAACACATAAATGGAACAACTGAATAGAGCGGAAACAACTCACATGCGTAAGAGTTGATATACGGGTCGTGAGGGTGTCCACGTCAGATTGTGAGTTGCTCTCCGGCTCTTTGACGAACTTGCTGAACTTGCCGTCGCAGTCATCCTTATTGTAACCTGAATAAATACATATATTAACATCTGTTATTACATTAAATGTATATATGCTTACCCAATAGATTGAGCATCTCCTCCTTGGGATTGAGCTCAAAGTTCGCCTTGATGAAATACCAAATATAACGGCCATGTTGATCCGTTGATTTATCCGCACGTTGCCGGCAATAATCCGAGTAGTTATTCTCCGCCAAGGACAACTCCAAGGCATTCGCACGCTCCACAAGACCTGGTTCGGTGGTCAGCTGCGACACCTGCACCGTCCGCGAGTTGCCATTGAAACTGACCAGCTTGCCACCAAACTAGAAGTAATTAAATTACATTGTAAAACTAATAAGAATTAGGACTATTTAAATACTTACGCCAAAGGCAACGCCACACGGCCGTTTCATCCATTTGGGTGCGTGCGTCAGATCGTGATAGACGACTTGCGTGGCCTGCTGGGGCAACGGCTCCTGGGCGAGTTGATCCATGCCCGGAAAGGAGTCGGCAATCTTCTCGGAGGTGTGCACTAAATGATGAGTGCCGCCATGCAGCGAATAAATCGAAACAGCGCCCTCCAAACTGGCGCTGGCAATCAACGCTGGATTACGCGGACAGAATTGCACATCCGAATACCAGGATGCAGTGGTGGCCACCTCTGAAAGAATTTCCCCCTCGGGTATTTTCGTATTTGGATTCCAGCAGTATATGCGATTATCTTTGCCACACGAGACCATCAAATCGGGATCCTGCAAACACCACGACATGCCCAGCACGCCACGATCATGGATCTGATAGGTTTTGGCCGGTGCGGTGGCATATCGCAAATCCCACAATTGCACAACGGGAGCCTGATCATCCTCGGATGCCAACCATACCTGGGTGGCCACCTCTGGATGCCATTCGATGGCATGCCAACGAACCCTCGACTGCGTATCCGACAACTTGATAATCTGCTGGCTCTTGCGCAAATCCCAGATAACGCAACGTGTGCTAAACACTGAGGCCAAAATATGCTGCACTTGCCGATTCCATGCCACATTTTTGACATCCTCCAGCGGCTGGGTCTTGGCGCCCGGATTGAGTGGACTAACAGGGTTATTTAAATCCCAAATATAAATTTCCGATTCCGAGGCACAGGAGGCCAACAGATTATTCAAAAATGGATTAAAATCCAGACCACTAACGGCACCCGTATGCTTGTCCTGCCTGGCCAACAGCGATTCCTCATTGGCCAGCAACTTGGCGGCGGAATATACATTAATATGACCAGCCTCACAGCCTCCCACAATAAGGCCATTCGAATGGGTGCCATTATTCATGCCATGCGGACTCCAGATGAGCTTCTGAAATCTATTGAGATTTTTATTTTATATTAGTTATTAATTTGAATTATTGCGCCAGTTACTTGTAATCGCTGGCCACACTGGCCTTGAGCTCCAGATCGTAGCTGGCATCGCCGATGCTCGGTGAGTAAATCTCCAATGTGGCATTTGCATTCGAATCAAATTGCTGCGCAGCGGTGCCGGCGGCCAATAATATTTGTTGCTGCTGCAACGGTGACCACGCAATATTCACCGTTTTCTGTAGCTCCTTGATTTTCATGTTTGCACTTCCTTAACTGCAATTAAACACAAGTTTCAAGTTTTGTAGTTGGATTTAGGGAATGAAATTTATCGCAATTGTCCAATTGGAGCGAGCCTCGTCATCACTTTTTTTTCATATTTTTCTTCTTTCTCATTCACTATAAATATTGGCATAGCCCGCAAAATGCTGGCTTTAATTTAGTTGCTTCATTTGTTTATACAATTTTAATTGTTACTTACACTCGTTTACTTCCTTCTATTTATATGCACTTAAATGTATTTAAATATAATTATGGTTCTTGTATTATTTTTGTAAGAACTATGAGCTGTGGCACAATCGATGCTGCTATCGAAAGCAGCAACACGATTTCGATTGCCTAGCAATTTAAATATCGATATATCGCTTGTAGCGATGTGGACAGTTTGATAAAAATTTCCTGTGCGCGCGTTTTTTTTAAATTTGGAACTAAATGTAGAATTAATCGAGATCAAATCATAATTAAAGTTCTTGATTTTAAGAATCGGACACAAATCAGACGAAGTTAAGGCTATGGAAGGTTTTGACTAGTGCCAATCAAAAAAATTTTTTTTTATACATTTTAAGATGAGTTTCGAGTCAGAATCGCATGCTTAACTTTAAATTTAGTATTAATCTTGTGCGTAAAAGCTTCAGAATTTATTTCAGCAGCCGTATTAATATAAATAAATATATATATATATTCACGTATAATGATTAGAATGCTAGATATATCAGATGAAATGGTGAGCAAATTAATTATTTAGCGCTTGTAATTGCCGTAACACGTTGATCCACTTTAGCCACCTTTGAGTTGATCGTCTCTAGATTCTGGGCAAAAGTCTCCTGTACAGAATGCAAAAGTTCTTTATTGTTAACAAGGCTAGTGGTGATAGTGCCCTGTTTCTGCTCAATTTCCGCGATGATTTTGGCAAAATTATTTGCTAGAAAAGAAAAGAGAAAGAACTTTAGTTAAATAAATTATTTACAATTAATTAATTTACCATATTTATGCAAGGATTCCAGAGCCTGCATGCGTTCAATGACATGCGGCAATATTTCGACAACTGGCTCGGTGCGTTTAGCAATATCGTAGAGCTCGGAGATCTTTTGATCCCGCTTCGCATCCTGTGCACTGCCACTGGCCTTCTCCGCAATGGCATCCATTTTCCCAGTCAACGAGGAGAGACGCTGCTCGATGGCATCCAGTTTATCCGGTTGGAGCAGTGCCGCCTTGGTGCTCAGATGTCGCACAGCTTCGAGCACATTGGACGTATTTGTGATCGCTGTGAGGCGACTCAATTTCTCAGGTTGGGCTCCCACTGCCTGCTCCAACTGATGCAGACGCTGTTCGAGTTGTGCCACGCGCGCTGTGGCAGCGAGATCAGTGCCTGGAGTTGGTAGCGCTGTCAGCACACCAGATTGCTTAAATTCCTCCACTTGGGCAACAAGTGCCTTGACTTGTTTATCATTTGGCATCTGCTCCTTGCCTAGCACTTGCTCCAGCTTTAGTGTGTCCAAGACACGCTTTGCTGTGCTGATCACAGTGGCAACGGCATCATACGATTGCTTCTCTTCATCGGCAATCTTGCGATCTACTTGCAATGCGGCCACTTCATTGAGTAGTTCATTCATTTCGATCTGCAAACGCTGACACTTTTGCATAGGCGTCTCCCTTTCGCCCTGACCCACCAACACGTACTCTCCGCCACGCACATCGTAGCCACGGCACAGTCGGCGCCCAATACGATCCGTGAAATCCACATTCCCCTCCAGAGTTGCGCTGCTGAAGCGTTTGTGGGCAACGCTCGGCGAGATGTGCATCCGCTCAATCGCCTCATTCTCCGGCTCCTCCTCGTAATAGTCCGAGGTGTCCACCTCTGGATCATCGGCAGTCTCATATACATCCGGTTGGTCATAAGCCTGCATGGGAATAAAAATATATCAAGAATGAGTGTACCCAAAAAAATAAATATATGTATAAAATCTGCTTTCTTTTTTAAGCTGCACTTACAATGCCGGGCAAGTTTTGAAATTTCGGATCGGCCATTATGTTGGGCACTGCGAGTCTTTTGTTTAGCGCACGTTTCGAATTTGTGGATTGTTATTCGTTTGGCATAAACTATTGCAAATAGCTTTTATTTGCTTTTAAATAACAAATTGGACAGCACAGCTAAAAACTGATGTCATAGACCTCAAAGTGTGACCAAATTGCACAAACTAAAATGGCAGAAATAAGAGCGCAAAGCAGCTGTGCTCAAGAAAATACTAAACAAGCAATGCATTTGAATTAAGGTATTGTTTTAAAGTGGTTCTGCGAAGCAAATAGATAATGAATAATTAATAGAAATGGGAAGTAAAGTTCAAAACTAATTTCAAAGACTTTAAATTGCGACCAGCTAGACCGAATATCAGCAGTGTATTAGATTGGCAATGAATTTGAATTATGCTCGCTGAAAGAATTAAATAGTTAAATTAAATTTAGTTAGTCACTTTTAGGTATACTGTATTTTTTCACTTCCGTAAGTGGTAATTTTCAGAACTAACGGACTTAAAGTGTGGCCAGTTGGTCCACTGAGACACAAAACAGCTTTGTTCAATAAAATACTAAACGAGCCAAACATTTGAATTACGTTCGTTTAAAGTCTTAACTCAAATTTGCCTTGTTAATAAATTAGTTCTGTGAAGCTAATAGATGCAATACTCTAAATGGTTATTCGCCTTATAGAATATTGTTCTTTTTGCTCTCTAGAGCAAATGGTAATTTGGAGAACTTACAATACGGCCGCACTGGCACCGATTGAATAGTTTGGTTTGGTTAGAGGGAGGCAAATCGGGTTGCATATATACGGTGTGCTAGTTATTTTTTGCTACTCGAATACCAAGTCAGCTGTCTATATATACATATGTGCATATATTTATATAGAAATATATCTATGCAGAATGTCGTCGTCTCTGGACTATTGTCGATATAGCTATAGTGATCTGCCGTTAGAGGTAAGGGACTGTTTGGGATCTCGGCTCGTGACCAAAGAGTCAGCTGATTGACGAAGAATAATTATTATTCACAGATTGTGCTGCATATATATAAATATCTGGGCTATACAGATTTATTGGCAGCTGGCACAACATGTCATCGCTGGCGGAGCGCCTTGTATCAAACGGAATTCATTGAACGAACCCGTGTTCGTTTCTCAAAAGTTGTGCTCTCGGATCAACATAGTCCAGCGTTGGATTTGATGCGTTGCGAGCGACGCTTTCGTCATTTTCTATTCGAGGATGTGACGCTGGGGCATGTCCAGGTGCTGATGTCATTTATTGGCCAGTCGGCGCATTCGCTGAGCCTCGACAATGTCGATCTGAATGATAAGCAATTCTATGGCATGCTGCGTCTGTTACCCCATCTTCAGTCGCTGGCGGTAACCCGTTGCCTGCCTCTGTTTATGTCGGCGACATTTTTGGACACGAGCACTTGTGATCTGAATGCAATAGCTGCGCACTTGGCCAGCATAAAGGAGCTAACCATATGCAAAAATCAATATCTTACGGATGCGATTCTGTTTCGGCTGACTGCTTTGATGCCTAATTTGGAGCTGTTGAATATGTCTGGTTGCCAGATCTCGTTTCATAATGCCATCTACAAGCGTTTCTATCCCAACGAACCAAATACGCCAAGTGAATCGGTGCTGACTTTTAGATATGTTCTCAATGTGATCGTCCAGCAGCGAAAACTGTTGCGTAGCTTGGATTTTAGTCACACCCTAATCGGGCACTCGCTGCAGGCGCTCTCTGATCTGAGTCGAGTGGATGAAAATGGACAGCCGGGCTTGCAGCTCCAGCGACTCAATCTTGCTGGCTGTGTCCAACTGAATGCGGCTACCATCAAAAGTTTCCTCAACACACAACCGAAATTGAGCGCTTTGGATTTGTCTGGCGCGATGTGTCTGAATGATGATTGTCTGGCCACAATTGTCCAGGCTAATCCTCAACTGCTTGAGCTGCGCATAAAGGCTTGTGATGGAGTCACCAGCGTTGGCGCCGCCAAATTGAGGCTCTTAACGCGCCTGCGATCTTTGGATATCTCCAATTGTAATGGCATCAATGGCAATGGGATTATGGAGGGCGTTGCAAGCGAGGAGAATACTGTCCTCTTGGAGTTGAATGTTTCGTATTTGCCCATCTGTGAGGAGTCGATCAAAACGATAGCCAGAAATTTGCATGCATTGCGCACTTTGCACTTGAATTATTGTGTGAATGGTGTCACGGATGAAGTGGTTCAGGTCATCATTCGGGAGCTGCACTGGCTACGGGAGCTATCCCTGGAGAGCTGTCGCCGGGTAACGATAACAGTTGTATATAAGTATACATAATAATAACTCTTATTAATTTGCAGCTCACGGATGCCGCGCTGACTGGCATTAATTTGTCGAAGCTGGCATTGAATGAGACATCCATCAGTCCCCCGTCCAACGTTGTAGGACTCGAGCCCGCCGCGGGCCCAGTGCGAATCTCGTTGCGCAGCAAGGCTGAGGAGGAAATTGTGCGTGATGCGAAGCGTAAGCAGGCCATGTTTGCGGTCTACGAAATGAATCTAATTGACGAGGAGGATTTTGAGGGTCACAATATACAGGAGCTGCGCGGATTACGCTCCTTGAATCTCCGGGGCTGCAATACAATTAGCGATGTCTCCCTGAAATATGGCTTGAAGCATGTGGAGCTGAATCGGCTTTTGCTCTCCAATTGCCAACAGATCTCGCTGCTGGGCATTGAGGCGCTGGTCAACAATTGTCCCTCCTTGGAGATACTTGATCTATCCGATTGCTATACGATCAATGATCAGGGCATCAAGATAATTACGGAAAAGCTGAAACGTCTGCGTTCGTTGGACATCAGCGGCTGTAGTCAGTTGACGGATCACACAATCGATGCCATCATTGTGAACTGTGCCTGCTTGGAGACCCTTTCGATTTATCGCTGTCGTCGCATGTATACGGACATTGAAGATCGACTGTCCGGCGTGCGCAACTTGCATATGGACAATATCAATCCTATTGATAATGCCGAATTCTTTCGTGTGAAAAAACGACTCGATTGCTGATATTTTGCGGCAATTTTCGTTGTATTTGTACTATATTATTTTCAATTGTACAGTTTTCGCTAGTCTGGCAGCTAAATAGCTAATCATTAATCTAATATGTATGGCTATTTGTAAATATAAATATATATACCTACATATATTTGCTCCATGTCCTCCCAATAAATTAACATAATTATGTAAGTTAGCCAAATTGAGAAAAACTGAGTAGCTGTGATTAATGTGAAAAATTCAATTTTTTGTTTTTTATGTGAGTAATATTAATATTTATGAATGTTGTTCAACAAAATAAAACTAATCATGACTGTTGTATTTGCCTTCGTACAAATTAATCGATGTTTGTTTTATATAAAAGGTTTTGTGCACAAGTGTGTAACAGATAGAAGAAAGCAACTTCGATATAGCCATGTCCGTCTCAGACTGTAACAGCTAGAGAAGTCGACTTATCGACAGCAATAAAACCCACAATTTTAAAGGCAGAGACTTCTTATTGATATATTCTACAAATTAATAAATTTCATAAAGATCGGATAGGAAATATCCAACTTATAGTCTATAATATATTCTCATATTGCCATAAGAAATTAATGCTTACGCTGTACACATTCTACAGAATCGCCATCGTCACCGTCATCGTTTATGGGAAAGTTATTGGATATTTATTAATGAGTATTTAATATTTCCCAATTAAAACAAATTATGACTGTTGTAATTGCCTTCGGTAAAAATGAATCGATGTTTATTTTTATTTATTTTTGAAGTTAAAAACATTCTATAGAATCGTCATTGTCGTCATCATCATCAACATCATATATGCATACACATGTATGTATGTATGTAAAATATACATAAGCACTTACATTAAATTTAATTTATTGACTAGGAAAAGAATTCCAAAAAAAAACACATGTTCAAAACCAAATAAATTGATGATTAATATTTAGAGAAACAAAAAATGAGAGAGACGCAGAGGAGGAGACGGACATGGAGCTGTTAGCCACCGCCGCCACCGCCGCCGCCGCCAGAGAGTTCATCCTCGTATTGCTTGCGGAAACAGTCACCGACTGGGAAGAAATCCCAGCTGCGCTGTTGATACATATTCCACACGTACGTCTCCTGGCCAGTGTATTCCGTATCCGGTTTGTTAATCAAATGCATCAGGAAGAACATATAATTGGCCAGATTGTGCTCCTTCTGCACATGCGTATCGAAGCCGTGCGGCACTATATCAAAGAAATCCTTGCCCATGCCACAAATAAAGCAATTCGATTCCATATTATCCTTGACGGATTCCAACTGATCACGCAGCTCGCCAAATGCGTCAATAATCAGACCCTGAATGATGGCCAGCAGGATAACGATGACGAAGAAGAAGAACGTAATATCAAAGATGATGCGATATACCTCGTAGTCATCACCATCCGGATCACCGATCTCATCACCAATGCCACCACCAGCTCTCACACCCTTATACAAATGGAAGACGAAACAGGTCAACATATCGTGACACTTCTTGTCCACCTCTTCGTCTTCCTCCTGGATGTAGAATTTGCGGAAGAAATTGAACGCAATCACCGTATAGATATACACGATAATCGTGAGCAACATCACAGTCAGCACCAGCTGTTTACCATTGTGGGTTACGGATTGCAGAATGGTGCGCAGCGTCTTAAATCCAACGGCCACATCCAATAAATGGGCGGCAAAGAAGAAATTATTAAAATTGCCCATGACGGAGAAGCTGAAATACCACAGCGAATACAGGAAGGCATTGTCCGTGAAGGTGACGCCCGCCTTCCACACCTGATAGCGCCAATCGATGTTCATGATGTACTTAAAGATGCCCGTCTCCTCGCTCTCCTGTGCAGCAAACGCGCTCTTCTCCATGCCCAGCAAATTCGAGATCGAATCAAAATCATAAGTTTCACTGTACTTCTGTCGCACCTTCTTCTTGACGAACTTATCCCAATAGTTGACCGGAAAACTTTTCGCAGAGATGACCAACTTGTCCCAATGGGATTTGAAATCATCATCCTCCGGCTGTTCAGCAATGAAAAGACCATCGAATTCCAAACGACGAGCGATCTCCTTTTCCCGCTTAAAGATGGCCAGTGGCACCTTCAGATGATAGTAGGCAATCAACATGGCAAGCGATACGAGGGAATGGAGACAGGCAGCGATGCGTAGCACATGCTCCATATAGAAGAAATCCTCATCGACATGGACCAGTTCCGGTATATCATCATCCTCGAAATCACCATCGCCAGAGCCGCCATCGCCAGAACCACCTAGGCCAGAGCCACCCAAATCGGCGCCAGCACCCGAACCAGACCCCAAAATCAATTCCTCCTCGCCAGAGCCATCGGATTCCTCGGCTAACGAGGTCACCTTATAGAAGAGCAGCATGAAATTAATGCTAAAGGCCAAAACCAGGGCAACATATTTCAGATTGTAAAAGTTGCGGGCCAAAAAGCTGACGGCCCGGTGAGTATATTGCGAGAAATCGATTTGATTGACGGCTGGGGTTTCTTGGGGAGCTGCGGATGACTTCTTGGCCTCTGCCTCGATGGAGGCCATTGCCGCTTCCTGCGCTTTCTGCGCCTCCTGACGCTCTTGGGCCGCCTTCTTCGCGGCCTCGCCACCAAGTAGATCCACTATCGAAATGGGCTCCGGATGTGGTTCACCTTCGATGAGTTCACCTGTGGCCAAAGCTGCTACACCATCCTCTGGACTAGATTCACCACCCTCATCGACGGATGAGTTCGCCGGCGATTCGTGGACGACCACCTTATACATGCCATTGTCCTCCTTGTTGATATCCAAGCCGAAGGCTTGAACCGGTCCCGGTGGCTCTTCCAATGGCAACGGTGGCAGCGCTCTGCCAAATGTTTCCTCCTCCACAACGGCCATTTCATCCTCCTGTTCCGGCGCCGGGCCACGCATCAGATTCAATAGGATACCAAATATATAACGTACAACACAGTAATGCGCATAGCCCGTATAGTAGAACATATAGAAGATGATCCGGAAGAAGCCAATAATTAATTCGGGTATCGATTTCGTTTGCATCACACCGATTTGATGTTTGATATTTGATGGACTCAGCATGTGGACACCGAATTTGAGGCCCTCCTTGACAGCAGTGATGGTTCGCCGGATGGGATCACGAGCGGCACGTTCCTCCTCCTCCTCGCTCATATACGAAGTGTAGGCAGTATCGCGTTTCACATTACTGCCGCCGTCATCGGTGGCCATCAGGCCGGAGGCGTGAGTCATCTCAAAGATGGCATCCTCACAGAAATTGACGAAGGCTTCCAGTTTCTCTTTATCACCGCCCTCGGTGACAATCGAATAGAAGAAGGCACGTTTTGATTCACGAATCTGCGGCTTCTCCCATTGCTCAATATTCGAATCCTTGATCTCAAAGTAGACGCGTTCAATACGCTTCGAACTGCCCAAGATTTCGATGCGACCCAGGAACGGTTCGAAATAATTCAATACGGATCCGGCTGTCTCGAGGAAGCGGGCCAAGCGTGGCTCATTTGGCATATGTTCACTGAGGTTGGTCAGCAGCACAGCCAGGTTGAAACCGATCTCCTTTGATGGCTCGTGGAAACGTTCGACGAAGGCTCTGTAATCGATTTTACCTTCATGATTCCGTTCACAGCAGGCCAAAAGGAAATCCATCTCTTCCCTAAATAAGCAATTACAATATTATCGTTAACATTTTCCAGTACTATTATTTTGACCGTAGCTGTATGTTATACATTTTAAAGCCTACTTACGGTGTGTAGTTCTTGGACTGCTCCATTTTGTCTCGGAAATCCTTGGGTATTACCCATCCCTCGTTCTTCATGTCGATCTCATGGAAGCTGGGCGACTCGATCAAGTCGGCCAATTTAAGGAACATATCGAAATACTTGAGAATCAGTTCAACATTGCCAGCCGATTCAACAAGAGTGTCCACCATTTGCTTGCCAATAGTGCCTAAAGAATAATTGAGATTGGATAAGTAAATTATTACTATTCTATTTTTTATCTTTTGTCTGATTGGGTTTTTTTTTTGTGGTTTCTCACATCGATAGATTTGAAAGACATACCATTGACAACATTGCCTTCCAGCATGGATAACATCATGGTGATCATATCCTTTTGTAGATTGAGCAGCTCCTTGAGCAAATCCACCTGACTGGAGTGCTTCGAGAGCTTGTCCTGCATGTGCGAGAACAGAAATAGGAAACCACCAACCGCATCCCACAATCTGGAATGGGCCAAGGCCTGTTGATTGAGTGTACATGGACCTTGAATAACCTCGGTGAGGGTGTTGAACACCTGACTGGCCACCCCAATGGCCTTGAAAAAGTTGGCTTTGCCAGCCGGATCAATGATCTCCTTGCTGGAATAGTGCCAATAAAAGTCCATAATCGATTCCTGCAGACGCAACAGATAATCCACTGTACAAATGACCACGTTAACAGTAGTCGTATTTCCCGCCTGGGTACGCAAATAGTTTTGCCATTCTAGAGAGATTAAACAAAGAATGAGTTAGGAAAGCAGAGAGCGGTAATATCAGAGATATTACTTACCCAGATTATGCCCTTCACAGGTGAGTTGGATGAACCGGAAGAGAGCACACGTGAATTCGGCATCGTGCATATTTTTCTCACCCGCCGCACCCTCGGAGCCGACACCAAGACCTGCACCCGCACTTGGAATATACTCTTTGTTGTGGTTGTTGCAAAGTTTTGGTTTGGGTTTGTTTTTTGGGTGTACAACAAGATAGCAGGAAACATTCAGGATTGGTGATGGTTGCATGCGAGGTGGTTTGATGGTTTTTTGGGAGGGAAGTAGTCGGCGAAAGGAGAGACCAAATCAATAATTCAACTCAGAATAATGCATGAGATCGATAAATCGATAGATAGATAGATAGTGGTGCGGATGCAACAATAATCAATCATATTAACTCAAAAAGAAGACAGCGAAATCAATAGCAGGATATTCCAAAATATAATCAGGATTCTTATATTACTTACACTACACTCAGAAAAATAATCGCCCCGAATTTTAGAAACTCACCAATGGTAACTCAACTTATTATTCAGAAAGCATATTTCTAAAAACCTGCGTATTTCCAATTTTAATTTTATGGTGAATTTTTCTAAATTGTAGAAAAAGTATGTCTAATTTTCTAGGTATTTTTCTCTAATTTATAATAAGCTTTCTTGTTGCTTAGCATTTTAAGATTTCACATATTTAGATCGTTAAGATTCAAATAACTCTATTTGAAAAAAATTTAATTCTAAATCAGACAACAGTTAAACTCTAATGTAAAAGCCCAAACAGGTTGATTTTTTTTCCGAGTGTATATAGGATTAACACTCAAGGCGTACGACTTTTGGATCGTCAAGCAACAACTTACCCTCGGCTTTTGTGTTACGCTCGAAGGCATCCAAGTCGAGGACACTGCACGAGTTCATCAACCCAGCGATGGATGTGAAGAAGCCGACATCCTTTTTCTCCTTGAGATGATTGAGCATGCCCATTTGGATGTCGATGTTGCCACCCCGCAATATGGCGATGCCCAAATTGAGTGTCGTCATGACCATCTCCGAAGGTATACCTTTGGAGGCGGAAATGTGCAACAGCACCATTTCGGCAACGCCACGATTCGAGAGTCGAGCCTGATGGAACAGCAGCTTCTGTTTCTCCATTTCTTGTTCCTGTGCGATCATGTCAAAATTCATGAATATGTGTATGAATATATATTTTAATATATATATTTGTTAATGAGCTCTTTCGATTAACTATAGTATAAGTTACCATTAGTTGGGAATTGAAAAATCAAAACACTTTCTTCGTAGTCCAAAGAAGTTTAAGTTGTTTTTTTTTTTTAACTGGTTGAAAGAAGTCCATTAAATTTTAGCAAAATAATATATAAAATGTGAGATAATAATAAATTACATTTTTTTGAAACATATATTAAAAAAAAAAATGAATTCTGAACTTTGTGAAAACATTTTCTAGTCATAATGATTAATTTGAACTAGTTGTAAGAGTTCTATTAAACTGCAGAAATACAATAAATAAAATATGCGACAATAATAAAGTAAAAAAATGAAAAAATGAATTTTTCACTTTATCAAAATACTTCCATGACATAGTACATAGTATATTTATGTTAGTGAGATCCTTTTATTAACTTTTAATATAAAATAGTTACCATTAGTTGGGACATGCGGCACTTTCAATCAGAATTGATTGAATATTTGATTGGTTAGCGTAATTGGGTTATTATTAAATGATCTGATTAATGCTGCATTTATATATCGAGATATATCGATAATTCTCGCTTGGCTTACATGGATACTAGTGCCTTCGCCCTCTTCTCCGCCCTCGCCGCCTTCGCCCTCCTCGCCGCCCTCCTCCTCCTCTTCGCCACAGGATTTTGCAGCAATTTGGGCATACGACATATACAACAGATCCTCTTGGAGTGCTCCACTGCGCTCCGTCATCGCTCCACGACAGAATGTCGTCACCAACTGAGTCAATGGATCTGGCTTACCCTCCGCTTCCTCTTCGTCCTTCTTGGACTTCTCCGATTCCTCGAATGTCTGCGTCAGATCCTCGATCATTACCTCCTGACCGACGTTCTCTTCCTGCAGCCATTGCTCGTAGTAGGTGCGTGCAAAGATATTACAGGCACGATGTCTGCGACGGGTCAATATATAATATACACCGATATAGTAATATATATTTTAAGATATGCAATCATTAACTGGCATGCGATTAGTATTTAAGGTTAGTTATACAAGGAAAAGCTTTAAAACGTTAATTGAAACCCTCGCAGAGCACATAACGTTTCTTTATTTATTACGGTATTCAGTTATGTAGCAACTAGCTACAAATATCGATAAGCAGCAGGTGCGCTTATCGTTTATTAACTGACTCCGCAAGTGTTTCAATTTCATAACTTATGTTTCAAGCGGACTATGTAAGTATGTATATATATATTTATATATATGTATATATGTATATGGATTAGTAATTCACTGACTACCACCTGCTCAAACGATATAGATGCTTGGCGCGTAAGCTTGAAATAATTGCCTGGCGTCGTGTGACCGAAATTTTCGAATTCCAACGTTTCGATTTGTTCTTTTCGCCGGATGCCTATGTGGATGTGGAGCGTACATATATATAATGATAGCAAGCAAGAGCACAAAAAAAAAACAAAATACACACATTTTAAAATTTTACAAAATGTTTTTGTTAACTATGGTCACACTAACTGGTATTGCGGTTTAGTAAATAATTAGTTATTGAGAACAGGTGGTGAATGTGACAAAAACCAAATGCGATATGTGAAATTAATATTCAAGTCAAATAAATATATATGTAACAAGTGTTGGCTTAAGCTTTTGTCTGTGTAAGTATTTCTAACAACTTCAAATATATGTTTCTTATTTATTTATATGTATACCGTTCCGATCAATCAGCTTTAAGCTAGGCTCCGCTTGACAGGACAAACACATAGATACATGTATGCATGTTGCATGTGTGTATGCAGCAGCAGATAGAGCAAGTTATATGCAGCTTTGTCTGTCTACCAAAATATATATGTCGTATCATTGAGCTTGGGTCCACTTGACAAGTTAACGAGCTTCGTTAAGTATGTATGTGTGTATGCAGCAGATAGAAAGACAATAAAATGCTGTTAGACAAACCCATACACACAAAGCAAGCTAAAGCGCCCCTGTTAAAGGTTGTATGCATGTTTGTATGTTGTGCGTGTATGCGCAGCAGATATAGAGAGAGAGGGAGTAAAATGCAGTTGATATTAATTGTGGTAATAACCTGGGCAGAGAATGTAACGATGTCTGACGGAAGCATGCGATTACGGCACGCTTCCTTTGGATCGACACAACACTCCTGTAGACATTTTTGCTCTGCTGTTGTGGATGGTCGATCTGTAATTCGACATTCGATATACGATATTCGATTTCACCAGCATTGCATCGATAATTAATTGTTGTTGGTTGGAGGTGTTGTTGTTGTTTTGTTGTTGTACGAATATAGTTGTAGAGTTTCAAAATCGAAAAGAAATGTTGAAATGGGCCAAGTTGTAAAAAGTATAATAAGTAATAATATTGATTGATAAAGAAAATGATATAATTAAATGAAAGTATATGTATATGTGCAATACCATATATGTATATATTATATTCAAATGAACTTTGGAACCTTTGGAAGTTTCTTACCATATGCAGGCCAAACAGAACCTTTGCCATGGCCACAATCCGATCCACAGTTTCCTGCGTCTTGTCTTTACCCTTCTCATTGGAGTTGGAGTTGATCTTCTCCAGGGCCTGCTCATCGACGGACTCCTCCGTTTTGCCCAGCTTAGAGTACAGGTAGTGCTGCCAGGACATCTCATCCGAGGGATCCAGTTTGTCGGGCAATGTGAGTTGATTGCGTGCAAATTCGATGACATCATATTCGTTCATTTTCTTCAGGTATCTATCCTTGCAGTGTTGCACCAGCTCTTGCTCCCTGCCAGCAAACAGATTTAATCCGACGGGCAGCAGACGCTTCAGGCAGGCGACCATTAGACTTGCCTGCACCTCCTTGTCCTTATCACGTTTCTTATCCCGGTTCTTCTTCTTCTTCTTCACTTTACCTCCCACGGCTGGAGCACCTTCCGAAATGGCTGATCGTCTCGTTGCTGTCGGCATAATCAGCGCCATATTATCGATTTCATTTGCCGATATGAAATTCTGTTCCTCCTTTAGGAAGTATTGACTCTTCGACCAGATGTTAAAGATCTCTGCGACATGATTGTACAGCTCCTCGGCCTCCGGAATGTTATCCTTGAGCCAATGATTACGCTGCAAATCCACATACTTGATGAGCAGCGGATAAAACGAGTAAATATCGCGCACGAGCAAATTCCAATCCTCCTGAAGCTGAGTCTCCACCTGGGATGTATCGTCGGTGGCGGACTTGATGAAGCCTCGCATACTCTCCTCCTTGTGCAGCATATTTTCGGTGCGTTTCTTCACGCGTTCCGCCAACGGTAGGAATGGATCCTTCAACAGCTCCTCCGATGTATTTATGATAATCTGCTGCGTGTACGCCGCAATTCTAGTCATCCATGGGGCATTATCGTTGCCAATATTCTTCTTGATCATTTTGAGAACGTTACGCAACAAAGAATTCATATGATCTGCAGTGACCATGGTGACATGATTGCCACTCGTCGGACTGACGTTATCGGGTCCCTGGGACCACCAGAAGGGCAGATAGGCGCAGAGTAGCGGCAGGATGACATCAATGATATGCGGTGCATCATTGTACGTCTTATCGGACTCCACAAATTGATCGACTTCGCTAAGTATTGCCTCCAAATTGGGCATACAACTCTCCATTTTGACCATGATATCCTGCGCCTCCAGAGAATGATCCGCAATACGATTCAGCAGGGAGTACTGATTATGCTTGTTCAGATGCGGTTCTAGATAGGCAACCGGAAAGCAGGAGCTATACGCACCCAAACACGAGCCCAACGCCGGCCGATGTCGCTCGATTTCCGTCTTCAAATATTTACGATCATGTGTCAGAGTTCCATCCGTACCCAAATGATAGAGAGCAGCTAGAATTTTATAGGACGCCACCTGAATCTCATCGAGCAGGAGATCACTGCCATAATCACAGGCAGCGAGATGATCAAACATCGCTGTCAACACTGGCAACACCACCTGATTAACATAGCCCAGCGATGTGGAGGTCTTCAGATGTGTGCCACGGAGATGACTGTATTTGCCATCCTGCAGATTGAGGATGGTGTTGCCCAGATCATCCGATGTCTGATTAAAGAACGTCAGCATGGAGGTACGTATGAATTCGGGACAATTCTTGGTCAAGGTCTTGGCATCGATGCCCTTGACGAGCACCTGCAAGCAGCGCACAGTGATGCGCACATCCGGCCCAAAGGCACTCAAGCGATTGCGCAACAACGCAGCTAGTTTACAGAATATAGAGGCAACCATTTCCTTCTCCTTCAAGGAGGCAGCACCCACATTATTTGTGGCCGTTGCAATGGCAATAAAATAATTGCGATGCGTCGAGAAGTATTTCTCCATCAGTGGCAGCACCACTTTTGAGAAGAACTTAATGTCACGCGATGCGGTCTTGAACGAGGTGCGACGACTGAACGTTGTCGATGGCTTCAGCAGTTTCATGTTGATTGTCGCCCGATCCAGATACTGTATGAGCTTCTCCAGCAGCGAGTAGGAGAAGCGCAGCTCAACCGCTGCCTGTGTAGCACCACCTTCCTCAACGGCACCACCCTTGGAGGGCCTGAAAGACAGGAAATTGTGTTGTATGATTTAGTATAAGTCCTACCAAATCAGTTGCCTCGTGTATTTGATTGCCATTGGATTTATCTGGGGTATGCCCACCAATATAGTCCACATCAATTATCAGACCAATCCTCTTATATGTCAAACCTCTCAAAAACAACTTAACAGGATGCAGGTACAGATTCAGCACAACGAGAAAGCCACTTTCTAACCGATGTATGTCAGTTTTAGTACTACAAGAACAGTTCAAATCTGACCGATGTGTCTCGATCCTATTATTCACTTCAAAGAGGGAGAATTCTTTAAACTTACTTGTGCAATTTGTAACCCTGATATTGCATGTATTTGAGGAACTCCTGCGAACGCTCGCGATCCTTCTTCTTCTCCTTGTCCGTTAGCAGATCATAGGGCACCAACTGGGGATGGATTACTCCACCACAGCCGTTCAGCTCTTCGTTCTTCTTCTTTGCCCATATGTCGTGGGAGTTTTCGGCCAAACGCTCGGCCATATTCTGCATCTCTCTGCTCAGCGTCAGATTGCTCATGTCCACCGGATGTGGATTGTAGTTGAAGGGACTACCCTCATTCTGAAATTCATGCTATGTTTTTAGCGACCACAGTTTATTTTGGCGGGGTAGTGATCAATTGAGTTACGGGTAGTTTGGCCAATTGGGTATGTTTTGGGGATATTCCAGAAGAAATTTATAAGATGTGTTAATTATATTTGGGTTGTTTTCGTTAGTCCAATATGGGTTTGGCATACATACAATTTGTGGTTTCGATTGGCGACGCGTCGAGCCGCGATGATTAAGCGGCAAATCCATTTCGGAGTGTTCCACGGTCCAACCGATGGCCAGGAGACCCTTTAGACATTCACGTACCGGATCACGATAACGCTCACGTTCCTGTGAATAATCATTAACGAATATTAGTCAGATGAATAGTTAGTAAGATTAATCAAATATTTATTAAGTGCAATATTATGCATATGATTGCGGTTAGACGATGATGTAAGTATGCCCGAGTTGATCGATTTGGTTTCGGATACTACGTACATATTCGGTGAGCATATTGTAGGGCTTTAGACGCGGATGCTTGCGATCGTTATCGGAACGAATTTCGCCATAGGTCCAGCTACCTTCCAAACGGCGACTGGCCCAAGCATCGTGATAATGTTCACTGAACTTTTGCACCAATGAATTTAGATCATTATCCAAGTGCACATTGTTCGTATCGATGGGATTGGGTACATATTGGGGCTGATCTGGTGCACCCATCTGTCTGCCATAGTAATCCTCGTCGGTGTTCTTCGATAAGCTATAATCGGGTGGCAAGGCACAGCCGATGGCTGTTAGACAGGGCAACGCTTTACCGAACAGTTCCGGGTCATAGTCCATGTTGCTCAGCGAGTCAAAAATGTTCGAGAACAGAAGCATTGTTAAACGCTTCTCCTCATCTGACGACGCTCCATACGAGCCCTGACCTTGAGTCGAGCCATAGTACTTGGCGCACCGATCGAAGTGCAGTGTGAGCAGCTAAAACCAATGGAATAGTTCTATTAGTAAACCCCTATCCAATCAGTCTCTATAAATTGCTCTGAATTTTAGAAAGTATATTTCTACACTTGTAGGTTATGGTTTTCTAAAAAATAAAAATTGGCAATTTTCTAAAATTCAGGGACTGTGTTTTTCTCAGTGTGGAACTTACCCTGAGCGCGACCGTTGTGTATTCGGATAGCTTTGACACATCAACAGTCAACTTGCGCAATAGCTTCAGTAGCATCGCAGGTTGCATTTGTGATGTTAACGCTACGAGGAAATCGGATACGGCCTCACGTTGACCCTTGGTTAGCATACGGTTCTTGGACAGCCGATAGACCGTGTGCAGTGTGGCATCCAGCAGACTGGCATAGTTCTCGGCCTCGTTGTAGAACTTGGAGTGCTTGATCAACAAAGGCAGAATCGAGTTGCCAATATAACGATTCATGGCCAAGGCCATGTCACTCTCCGACCCATCACTCTTATCCAGAATGGTCGCGGTACGCAAATCGGGTAGAAATGCATCCTCAAGCAAACGATAGAATAGATCCTGTGTCTCAATGCCATAGACACGTTCCAGGAATAATACTATGCTCTGCTTGTTATTGGGTAATAGACCGGAGGGCATATCCGATTTCGGTTTCTCCTCGCCGGGAGCGGTTTGTGTCAACGTAAACTTTAAGCTTAGCACACCCTGAAGGTCTTCCAGTGGCACCAGAGATCTCAAAATAGCTCTAGCTCTCAGTGATTCATTCTTGCCCTGCTCAATGACCGAGACATCGGGGGCGCAACGGCCCAACAGATCGACGAGTGTACAATAGAAATTCAAAATGGCAGCGCCAGTATCAATATAATCCTCATCCTCCTCACCTTCGGGCAAGGGATGGGTGAAATTTAGGCCGACGATGGTGCCTTCGGCTTCGTCCTGCATCTTGCAGCGATCCGAAATGCGTTCGGACATACGATTCGCTTCGACAATGGCACGGAAGAGACCTTCTCCTTCTCCTCTTAGGGCCGGTCCCAAGCATTCTGGACGACGGATAAGAAGACGAATGACAAGGTTGGCATTCTCCTCGACACTCTCGCCATTCACCCAAACGCAATAGCGTAAAAAGTCCAAATAACGTTCACCCTCGGTGGGATCCCAACCCAGATCCGGATAACCCTTCTCCACAAGTTCCGAATTGCTTTGCAAGCCACAACGCGACAAATAAACGGCAATTTTCTCCAAATAGTGTTCCCTAAGTGCCAGAGCTAATTCTGTGTTCTCCATCAAACTCGAGTATGCCACATCCAATGGGGTCGAACCACGCAAACTGGGCCGGGCTAACAATATATTCGCATTGTCCAACAGAAAATCAAAATGATCGAACATGGCCTTCTGATTTTGCCTTCCAGTACGGCAAAAATAGCACAAGAATCGGCAACAGGCCACGACCATCTCATGCGATGTGTCTTTCTCCTTCGAGGGCACACCTTCGGCACCCTCTGTCTGGGCGGGTGCATCGCTCTGTGCCTGGGCACGACGCCCCAGCGTATTCATCATGACGGCCATCACGTTCTCGTGGACACGTAGAATGCGTATCAAATCGGGATGCTGGAAGAATGTGGCGTTATTGACCAATTTCCAGAGACGCTTGCGCATCAGTTCCTCTTCCTCCTGGCTCATTTGGACGGGGAGTAGGGCGCGTATCTGGCTGAGGCCAACCCACATCTCAGCGACATCGTTTCGTGCCCGATGATTAATAACATACGTCTTCTCGAGCGCACGGACAAGCTCTCCGACCGTATCGTATTGTCGGACCAGCAAACTGAACATTTCACGAACCAGTTTGGGATTTTCAATTTGTGATTCTTCAGCCCAGCTGACAATGGTTTTGATTAGGACCTTGCGGAATACCTCTTCGGGTGTCTTCTTCTCAGGCTCCTCCACCTCTTTGGGTCCCTCCTCTAGCTCCTTAACGGTATTGATGAAATTATAGATTTTGGTTATGGGACCCGTTTTAATCTCTTCGATGGCTGTACTCTCGGTACCATCCGGCTCTTGCAGCGCGTTCAGCGATACCTTCTGCATAAGCAGATCATGGAATTCACTTAAGCGACTGCGCAACTCAAGGCCACAGGTGCAATTGTCCTGATCGTCTGGCTCCAGATTCTTAAAGCACAATATCTGATTCATTTGCTCGCGCGGCGGACAACGGAACTCCTTTGTCTTTTTGGCCGCAACAGCACTTGGCAGATCGGATTGTTTAATCTCGATATAACGTCGCAACTGATCGGTCTGCAGATCACCAACAAAATCATGCGAAAACGATATAATGCTCTCCACCCGATGACGCAACTGTGTATCGTACAGATGATGCAACAAGTAGCACATCTGCAGCTTGGCACCCTCCGCCATTTTCATGGTCAACAGACCCTTGCGATGCTCGTCTTTACCCTCTGCAAATATCACCATTAAAACATATTAGGTATAGTTTGAGTAAAGGTATAGTTTTTCTCATATGTTGCTCATTTTCTTTTGATCCCTTCCCACCTTTCGTGAAAGTGGCATCCCAGGTCTCTGGATCCACCATTACCAATAGCTTTTGCACATCCTCGTCCGTGAGCACGCCCACCAAGAGCAACCGATCCGTCAACTTGATAAGTGGTCTATAATTTATAATAGATAATTGTTTATTGGATTTATTATTTACTCTTTTTTTTTTAGATTTTAGACTACACTTACAAAAATAGATTCTCGTTTGTCCAACCGATGGGATCACGATTATGCACTTGATTTATTTCTACAGCGTCTTTGAGGGCTTCCATCACGAATTCACGGACTACTTCTAGGGGAAACTTCGGGGAGTATAACTGATCGATGTTGGGTATCGGTTCACTGGAAACACTTGGCATACTAGATGTTGCAATCACAGGGGGGCTGATCGGGGTACGAGTTGTTGTTGGTTGTTGTTTGTTGTTGTTGATGGTGCATTGAGTGTTGGATCAGTGCAGGTTTTTGTTTGTGGAAATAGTAAAATGTGTAATGAACAAAGGTGTAAAACATTCCAAAAAAAAACACATACACTCAGCAAAAGAAAATCGCACTGAATTTTAGAAATGAAGTAAAAGTATATTTCTAAAAATCAGTGTTTTTCTTTGCATATTTTTGTAAATTTAGAAAAAATAATTCTAGTTTTCAGGGCATTTTTTCTTATGTTAAATAAAGAAACTCTACCTTAGCAACATCTTAACTTTAATATAAAAATCGAGCGAGTAAAGTGAATTAATTGTTTCTGCATTTTAAAAACGATTTTTCCTAAAAATAGGGGAAAACACCATATATCTGGGATATATTGTCGATTTAAGGCAAGCCTTTCTAATTTCTATAACATTTTTTTTTTTTTATTTAAAAAAATTATTTTTAAAAACAATAAAAAGTTTATAGTGTTTAGTTTGATTTTTTTTGACTGAGTGCACAGGATGCAAAATGTCGCTGAAATGATTAAGGCTGGTTCAAGGCACTGTGTGGCTACTTGGGGAATACTTATCTAAAAAACAAGGTTCGGATAAACTGTAGACCGCGGTCACTTACGTGATTTCCGTCATGCGTAGCTGGGGCCGCACCGACTCCGTGACCAGAGAGCGCAGCGAGTGACGCATCTCATCTTCCGCATAGAGTTCCTTGAGTTCGATACCCAGCGGGGTGATATACTCATTCTTGCACACCTCCATTGTAGTCGCATGGGATTCCAAGTGCAGGGCAATCAGTAAATCATAGAAGCCCTGACGCAACGGACCACTCATGTACTCCGATCGTATTGCGTAGAGCAACTGCTTCTGATCCACGTGCTGACAGAGAGCATGAGCCGCACGATAATTTGACTGATAGCAGAGTGCCGCATAGAGGGTTAGCGTGTGGGCATGGAACGAGAGCAACTTGTCCATTTCGATCAGTTCGAGTATGTCGATGCAACGATCCTCCTCGGGTATGTGCAGCGCCAGCATTGAGACTGGATCCTCGCAGAGCATCGACCAGCCCCGGATATCGGACAACTTAAGTGCGTGCACCTGCAACGAGGTGTTGGGCACCCGGGCCCATTGATGTGGACGCAGGCACTGCACCTTCAGACGGGGTGGCGATTGGGGATTAATGTGCTTGTCACTTGTGGGCAACACGGCCGCAGACAGCGGCAACGTTGTCTCGGTGCGTCCTAGCTCGATTTGTAGGATCTCCTTGCTGGTGGCCTCAACGAATATGGCCGGAAACAATTTGGTATCCGGTTCCATCATCCAGCGATGTGAGGTATCCTTGCCCTCGCACGTGAAGCGTATTATGCCTGTTGCCGTATCCACAAAACAGCCCACAAACATGCCCTGCGATGCACCCTTGCCCGACGCATCCTGCGTCACCTCGTTGAACAGTTCGTCCGCTCGGACAACGTAGCAGCTCTGACGATCGATTCGCTCGATGGGCACCTCATAGTAATCCTCAATAAAGACGGAACCGCGACGTACTTTGCTCTTGTTGAATTCGCGACTATGCAAATGATATTGGGTTGTCACCCAGCCCACATAGACATGTGTGGGATCCTGGCCGGGAAAGATGCGTACGCCATAGAAGTATTCGTTGATCAGCTTCAGACACTCGGCATCGAATATCTCGTTGCCGGATGATTCCACATTCGGTTGACCTAAGGTCGAGGCGCTCAGCTGCTTGGGACCCTGTGCCACGGGACTCGGCGGCATGTCCGCCTACAAAAAAAAATATATATATAAAGGTTAGGTTAAATAAGAGCTAGAAAATCGCGAATTGTGTTGTTGATCTTAATTCTGTAATCTGCCGTAGATTGATAGATCAGATAAATAGGAGCTTTCCAAAGATGCTTAATGTCTTCCTGGCAAGTGTCGGGCAGGAGCAAAATAAGAATATTTAGAATATTGCTCTGCTTCCTCTTTTTGCAGCTTCTTATCGCTTTTGTTTATTGACTCTTGTGTATCAATATATATATATATATATATTATGGCAACACTGTAGTAATACCATTTATATTCCTTGCTAGAATTGGCTGACTTATCTTTATTCTAAGTTATCCAGCCTATATAAGAGGCGCATAAGATATACATAATTGGTTGCGATTCTCACTTACATTGTTCAGTCGCAGAGTTGGTGTCCTGGTTGTCATCTGCTGGGTGACCACATTCCTGCCGTGGGCAACAGTATTCCGGCGCTCCAGCGAGGTGTCTGCCGTCCGCGAGCCATTCTTATCCCGACTCTGATCGCGTGATTTCTTCGAGAAGAACTTGAAGGGGCTGCGGCCGCGTTTCTTTTTCTCATCGAGGTCCTCACCGAGGCCATTCATGTCCAGCACCGATGAGGAGCGTTGCATCTCATCCAAGGCGGCAGTCATATCCGACTCGAAGGTGATGTTCCGGGTGAGCGAACCCTTGCGTGGCGGTCGATTCGGACCACGCATCATGTGCTCCGCCTCGGGCTCGGTGTGATCTTCGAAATTACGAGTCAAACCCTTAATGTCGTTCATGTTAAAGCCACCCTTCAGCATGTGATCCATGTGGGCGGCATTTTGTGTCTGTTGCAGCTGCACGGCTGCCTCCTGTGCCTCACGCATCAGACGATACTGGCGTATCTTAATCTCCTCCCAGCGTCGCGCCTTCTCCTGCTCACTGATGAAGTCGCTCATGCAGGTGACGGGCAGGGAGAGACGCAAGAACTCCCAGTTCGCTTTCTCCATCGTCTCAAATGTGTTGTGCGAGATCTTCAAATGTGGTGGGGTATCAGCACCACCTGGAATACGGGTGACATCGATCCGGCAATCAGGCATCTCTTCGGTATTCTCAAAGATCGGCTGATCCTTGGTATACCAATGCGTAACGGGTCGACGCATATTGCTGCAAATCGAAACGATTAAATCTGCAATCTTAGGTCCATAATTTGATCTCAAGTACTCACACGCAGAAGGGTTCGTAGCCCTCTTGTAGGCCACACGTCGTAAAGAACTTGAGCGAGTCCACATCCTGGCCATAGATGAGACGTGCCTTCTGGCCCACACCCAAGGTGCAGGCTGGCACAAAACCCATTCCCTCGGCCGTAACATCCGCAAAGGTTGTCTCTCCGCCCAGCGCATCCATCAGCAGTTCGCCATTCAGTGAGAAACCTGTGCAGGTTTTTAGAATATATCATTTACCACTTAGCAGAGAGCAATTGCTGATCTAATGCAAGCAGCTCTTCAGTAAATAAAGAGTTCTTTTTTAGAAATCCGAATTCACCTCAAAAGTCGCATTGCCTTAGATAAATATTAAAGTCCTATATATATATATAGAAAAATCGTGCGTATTAGAAGATTGCTTGCAATGCGCTTTTGCTTTTTGTTTTCTAGCAATTGGTTTAGCTTAGATTTCCAGTAAAATAAAAAAAGCTGTTTAAACTGATTCAGCTGTTAGTTACCATGCCAAATTTGTATTGTATATATAAATTAATTATATATATATATATATGTATTAGTTAGCCAGCATGAAATAGAAACCAATTTTGAATATATATTCAGTGTTTAGAAAGGTGTCAAACCGAAACGAATTTGGAAAAATATCTGGAATCCTTACAGGAATTTTTTACCAAGTTAAGTATAGAATTAGAATCAGCAAATATTGATAAGTTAAGTATTAAAGGTATGATAAGGATTCCGATACTCCATATAAAAAGCGGTGCTTCTGATTTCGATTCCGATAATTCATTTCAAGCGCAAAGAAGCATTTCCGTTTCTGATTCCGATTCCAGTTTGACACCCTGATTGGTATTGAGTTTCATTTTCATTCTCCGATTAGTTGCAATTGTAACTAAACTTAACTATGATGGGTAGATAAGTAGAACAGGCAATACAATTAAGTAGCATTAGTAATAAGCTTTCTATGATGAGCTGATGTGTCACCTTTGGCTCAGGTAGTCCTCTGTCGATATGCTATGCTTTTGTTAGGCATTTGTGTACAAGGGTAACTGAAAGGTGTTAGGCCAGGGGATATTTGGTTGGACGTGACCAAAAAGAAAATAAATGTTTAAAAATCAATGGACTACAAAAAGTGACTACAAATGCATAATTTTCTTTTTTAAATATCGGATTCATAGGTTGCTCAAAATATGTATGAATACCCCGAAAGGCTTATAACTACTATAAATCTTAATAGTAATAGAGCATTGTTATTCGGTGTGTTTTTTTATGTTTACTTAGCTTTCGTATGTCGAGAAACCCTTAAATTAAAATATATGGCTGTGGTTCACATTTAGTAGATATCAAAAGCACGGATATACAAAATCAATTTTCTTTTGGGGTTGGGATTTGATTTTACATGACAACAAAAACGAGCATCAAGTGGAAGCGATTCTTACTAATTGTATGATCTGCTAAATCGAGAAAGACACCGACTATATCCCCAGGTCCACACTGTTTCCCGAAGGATTCACTGTTGCCACCATAGACTTTCTCTTCCTAAAAAGGTTTGTAATAGGTTTTTTTTTAATACTTAAAGTGGCTTCTAAATGATTGCTAAAGTGGGAATCTATTTTTGACCGTTGTTGTTGTTGTTAATGAACAGATATGAGAGTATTGCTAAATTAACAAAAATAATGATTAGAAAGATAGAAAACATAATTATTGAATAAAATAGAGAATATATATATAGAGAGTTAAACAAAATGCGTTCGATCAAAAACGAAATAAAAAAAAATAAAAAATGAAGAAAACAACGTGTTGCAAAACGTTGGCAGTGCATGTGGAATCCTTACTGATCGTTTGCTCCTTAACATCGATGAAACAACCAATGACGTCACCAGCCTCATAGCGCACCCCGAAGTGCTCAATTGTTCCGGCGTGCATTTTAGTCACCTATATATAAGATCATTGTGGATGATTTTCAATACTTCAGCAATCTGGACACCTATCACAGAACCTTCTTCTTTTTCTTCTTCTTCTTCACCCTAACATCTCTCTCATATATACATATATATATATCTGGTTTGGTTCCCCTTTAACCATTGCATACTTACATTGTGCCCATCAAATGCCCAGCTGGTGTCCTCGCTGCCCAACATCGCACCCGGATAGCAATCGGCTCGGGCCCAACCCACTCTCATAGGACCTGCTGTGAGCACCTCAAACTCGAAATACCATTTGCCGGAGGTGACGGCATAATTGCGTTCCACGCGATACGTCCGGAAAGCGGCGAATTTTAAACGTTGTGCCTCCGCCAGCAAGGCTTCGGTGCCCTCGCCCGTCGGTGGATCCAACACATAACCGTAGACGAGGAGAGTTCGAACCGTTTCCGAGGCCGTGTCACGGTTCGCTTTCTTGATCGCCTCATCGACCTTGGCATAGGGCACCAAATGCGGGCTGCGATGATTGTCGGAGTCCTCGTTGAGGCCGTAGGTCCATCCTTGCTGTATTCGCTCGCGGGCCCACAAGTTGTGCGTATTCTCGGCCAGCTGATCGACGAGTTCCTCCAGCTTGGGTGTCAGTGTCACGGCGCTCAGATCGAGCGGAGCCGGCTTGTAGCCATTGGCCTGCATGAATATCTCGTTGGGCAGCCGCACGGGGCGTATACGTGCCGGTGGCTTATCCATCGTTATATAATAACCCAACGAAATGATTGTCCTGCAAAGAGTTTAAGTTAAATTTATTTATTTACAAAAGGTAGAAAGCATATTAAAATCAACTAAAAATCAAATTTAATATTAAAATTTCAATTGGAAATATAAGAAATATTTTTAAGATTTGTGGGAGTATTTAAATGCAAAGTGCTTCCAGGTTATAGCCCCGGGCTACGCCAGTGGCGTATGTCAAGATTCAATCAGTCAATCAATCAATCAGTCAATCAATCATAACGCTTACTTTAGTGTTTGAACAGCCAGTTGATTGTCGTAACGCTTTTCGGCCGCTGGCAGCTTCTCGAACTGAGTGAGGCAGGGATGGATACGTTGATAGTCATCCCGATGCTCGCCCCACGACCAACCGGCATCGATCTTGTTCAGTGCCCACATCTCATGTATATTCTCCGCCAACTTCTCCTTAATCTGATCCACCGAACTGGGCAGGGAGACGCCGCTGGTATCCACTGGCATGGGCACAAACGGTGTATCGTCCTCGATGAGCCAGGGACCAGCGAGCACATTTTTGCTCAAATTACCAAAATAGAAGCAGGGATCCAAGCTCAAGATCTGATGCGGCATCAGGCATTGGACGAGCGCTGAGAAACCAACGGGTGGTGCAAACTTCAGGCGACCATGATCGCCGCCAAATAAAAAGCGACAACTGAGCTTCGATGAGCAGCTCATCACTGGAAAGAACATGCCATCCAAATTGAAGTCCCTGAAACAGCCGCGCACCTTGGCGCCATTAAAGGTGAACGTAATCACGGGCACGGACAGATCGATGGCCACGCCAATCACATCGCCTTTCCTTATGTATGGCTCCTCGGGCAATGCATCGACGACCAAGGACTTACGTCCACCTGTCCACAGGAAGGCGCCATCGAAGCCAAAGGAGTAAAGATCATCGCCGACTCCGTTGCCTCCCCATTTCTTGCCACCGCCCGGATAAGGCACATAGCCAGATGTGTTGGCCCAACCAATGCGCAGATGCGGCATTATGTGTGTTGTCTGCTCAATGTGATCCATGGTCACCTCAAAGTACCATTTCTGATACATGGACGAGCCGTCGACGCGTCCCACAAAGATATTCGGACGAATGCTGGCCACATGGTCCACGAGCAGGGTCTGCAACAGCAGATTCTTGCCGGGCAGCAGAAAATCACAGATGTTGTTCTGCGAGGAGCGCACAGCGACTCCATTGCCCACACATAGCGAGCAGAGGACGTCGAGCACCTTGGGATCTCGTCCGTGCTTCTCTAGCAACGATATAATCACCTTGATGTGCTCATCCCGCATCATGTTCAACGCCTCCGGGGAATCGATGAGCACACAGTGGAGTACATCCAACATGCCGGATCCCTCGCTGGATGCCTGCGATCCGAGTCGCGAGAAGAGCCAGTTGAGCCGATTGCTGTTGGCGAACTGTGCACAATTGGTGTGATTGCCTTTGATGATGGCGGCGAGCAGTTGATACAAATACGTCGAGATCAGATCCCAACTCTGGCCGGTCTCGTCGCCGGCCAGAAAACTGGCCAGAAAACCCTGCGAGGTGATTATGTTGATCTTGTCAATGGCCTCCAGTATTAGATTGAGCACACCCTCCTCCTGAAACAGATCCTGACGATTGCGCAACGCACGGAATCGATTTTGTTTCTCCTCATGCTCTGTAGAAGTAGGAGATTGCAATGGAGGTTATGTGAATCATCTACTCTAGGAACTCTGCTCTTCTCTTCTCAACTTACCCATATCATCTTCTGGCTGCGAGAAGTAATTGATTAAATCCTCCAGACACATGACCATCTCATTGAGGTTGACTTTTTGGAAAAATATCGAATGGCGGCGGTTGGACTGCAAGGTTTCCAAGGCGCTGCGAGTAGTGAAAGACGATTAGATATAAGTAAGAATGTTCTTGTCGAGACTGGGAACTATGCATATTGTATGAGATTAATATGAAAATACGTTTTGTAATATAAATTGGGTGTTTCTTATGCATTCTTGATATACTTTCACAATTGATTAATAATATAGTTTGGTTTATTATAAACTATTGGTCATATAGCATATATGCTACCTGTTGCTTGTTACATATTTGTGAACAAGTATTATATTATTGAGAGACTTACGTTATAAACTGGGTGAAGAGACTGCTGCACTTTCGGATGACGCGTGCCGTCTTCGATTCCTCCTCCTGGGAGCGGGAGAAGTCGAGGCAATCATCCATTTTGCCCTCCTCATGGAGGATGGCCTGTTTCTCTTCCACTTTGCCGACGCCTTTCTTTTTCGTTTCGTAGCTCTTGTAGCTGAGCCACAGGCTGGACTCGCAATGTTGAACGATGACGGTGGTGTCACCGTATTTGATGATCGGCGAACCGATTACCTCCAAGTCTTTGTCCTCGAGCACTTTCTTTTCGTCGTCTTTTTCTTGCCTCAGGCAGAAAGTCGTCGTTGCAATCGAGGCTTCCTCCTTTTTCACCAGGATCAGCTCGTTGCTATCGTTGACGCCCAAATAGCGTCCCGTCGTTATATGACGTATACGCATCGGATGATACCAGTTTATAAAGCCACCCGTCCACTTTGTGCGCGCCAACTCCAGCCGCCACAGAGAACGCGCCTGTGCCATGACCACGCCCCCCTCGTATATGACAATGCTGTGAGAAACAGTATGAAATTAGTTTAGATTTAATTGATGCAGTCAGTAAAAAAAATTGCACTGGGTTTTAGTAAATCGACGGGAACCTAGAAAGATTTTCTTGTTTCTAGAAATAAAACCCTGGTCTTTAGAAATATACTTTCTGAATTATAAGATGAGTTTACACTAAAATTGAGGGCAATTTTTTTCTGATTAATACCATAGACATACTTTTGACCTGCCTCACGGCCCCAGGTGCTGGGTATGGTCAGGCACTCGTCGCCGCCGTGAAAGAAGCGAAGGACATCACCGCCAAAGACATAGCCGACATATTTCATGCGTGAAATGCCCGTGCCGTAGGGCTGGACGGACCAGTGGGTCACATGGAAGCTGGCATTCACAATCGATTGCTCGTTCTCCTTGGTCGTGTGCAGATATCGCTCGGTGGCAACCGATACCAGAATCAAATCATCGCCGACACGCACCTTCTCACCCTCTGAACGTTGTTTACTCGCCGGATGGACGGTCCACCAGCAGGCCTCGCCCTGGCTATGCTCCTGCAGACCCACATCAAAGGAAAGCTTATCATTCGACGACGATGTGGACAGGCAAGCGAGGTACTGAAAGAAAAGAGTAGAAAATCAGAAACTTTCGGTTCCATATAATATCTAGATCTTGCTCACCATATCGCTGTTGTGATGCCTCAGGAGTATCGCGTTGCCATAGAGTAGTGTTCTATGGCCAGATCCGGTGCCTTTACCCTAAAGATTTTCAAAAAATAATTACTAACTGCTATTGCAATGATAACCTTGTGTGCATTAAGAGGGTATTAGGGTATTGCTTGGGTTTCTATGCTACTACAATCAATATGGGGGGGCGGGAAAACAAAGAAATATATATTTACAACATAATGGTGAAGTACTTAAAATATTTATGTCATTCCAAAGTGCTCATTATTAGCATTGTGTTCAGTTGAGAATTGAGAAGGAGAGAGAGTTTCTGATATTAATTGAGAATGCAATGCTTTTGTAGATAAACAGATTTCACTCTTTCGATAAGTATTATGTCTATGATAGATGATTGTTAGGTGTCAATTTAAATTGAATCCACGGCTACGTTTCGTTGGCAAACAACATTTACAGAGAGAGAGATAGAGATAGATAGATAGATAGTTATACGTATTAAGTAGAACGCTAATTGATTAGACTAGCTGAAGCCCGCTAGACAGAGACAGAGAAGCACAAGTAGCGATAATAGCAATATATAGTTACAGTAATAATAATAGTTATAGTTATTAAAACAACGACTACATTAGACCGCAAATAGTGAGATAGAGAAAATGGTATACAGAGAGAGAGAGAGAGATAGAGAGAGATATAGCAATAGATAAAAAGAAAGAAGCGCCGTTTTTTTTTTAAGGAACGTTCGGTATACTTACAAGTCGACTATCCTGTTTTTTAAGATAAATTTTGAAAAATAACGAGAAATTTATTGATTACAATTTGTGTAAAACAGAAATGGAAATTAAAGTGAACACATGCAGAGCGAGAAAAAGTATAAGGTATATATATCTATAATATATTTAAGTTTTTTTTCTTAGTCCGCCAAAATGTAAAAAAACCATTTGAGATTTATGTAGAGTATATAGACGTAATGTTTGTCGAAAGTGGATAGTGTATAGAAGTGGCGGAAGAAGCGTACAACAATCAAAATAAGGTGGGAAATAACACAATAAGGGGGTTCTGCTCAAATTTTTTTGTTTTTTAAAAATATATATTCTTATGGAGAGACTAAAAGTTTTTTTTTATGTCTGCTGTACTCATTGCTCATGCTGATAAGTTATATATATAGATAGATGTAGTCAAACTATATTGTAGACTTACCGTTTCGGATCCAGCTGCTGTGACCAGCTCCTGCAGAGCACGCACCGACAGCGCCTGTTCAATGACGAAAACGCATTGCGACAGATCGGGTGGCACATTCTTATCGGCTATGTTTTCGAGAAAACAATGCCGATTACCAAAACCCTCAGCGGCCAAACAGACACGTTCTCCCGTTGCTGTGCAGGAGAGCGTGACCATATCTTCCTGTAAGTAAATAGCATAGATCATGTTATTAATCATCAAATACATCATTTCAATTTGAGTACCAGTCAGCATGAATTGTGTCTAAATACCAATTGGCAATTGCTAGTAAAACCCGCACCCTGCCCGATTTGACCAGAAAACCAAAAGCTATGCAACATGGTATAATGGCCTATTGGGGCAATGAATCGATGTAGAGGGCTGCTGGGCGGGGGGTGTGTGTACTTGTGTGTGGAATGTTGAGGCATCATAGCACTGACCACAAGTCCGGCATCGACACCAAAACACCGACCTCGATTCGAACCTGAACTCGTTTGCCAAGTCAGCTGGGATTGTGGCCAGAATTGTTGTGTGTTTGTGTGTGTGCGTGTGTGTGTGTGTAGTGTCCAAGTTAAATGAACGGTAATGGATTTCGAATCGAGCAATTTACATAATTTAAATGGCAACGAAATAACCGTATCCTGTTGCCAACTGGCAAGCAATTTTGGACCCTACAACTGCGCCACGTTGGGCGCCACTAAGCTTTAAGCTATGTTTTGATTATTCCTCTATTAAAATTTGTTGAATTTGATAGTTAGCAAATGAGTTATTATATACATTTATTTAATTCGAATATTATAACGGATTGCTTGCTATCACTATATACGTTAGATCCACGTTGGGTGCCAATTTGCCATAAGCTATTTTTGGTTCTTCTTCTACTTTAATTACATTTGAAAGTAAGGAAGTGAGTTATAATATGATATGTTTTTCGCCTCTTCGTCAATATGTTTTGAACATAAATACAAAATTAATATATAAAGTCTGTGAGTGGTCTGTGGTTAACTAATACCCAGAACTAGAGCATCCAAAGTGCAGTGTTAAATTCAATTTTCACTATTCTAGTTTAGTTGTCAATTCACAAGGATGTTTTTTTTGCTGTGTGATTAGTATTTGATTACTATAAATTTGAAAGAATTGCCATTAAGTCTAATTTGACGGCAAACAACTAAAAAGAAGAACGGAGGAAAGAAAAAAAAAACAAATCAAGTGCTCCCCTGACGTAGCTGTCGGGGGAAAACACCAATAGCAGCCAGCATTATATAAATGCTCAAAGTGGCCAAAAAAGAGAAGGAAAAACATAATAGACAACAAAAAAAAAGCCATCTGCAGTTATGTTGGCCCATATTTGAAGCATATTTATTGAATTCCGGCAAGAACAAAGCCTGCGGGCGAAAATAGATACGGGCTCATCATATCGAAATTGCCCCTGGAGGTTGTGGGGGTGGGTGGCAAACCAAAAAAACGTCGACCCGCTTGGCGAGTAACATGTTTATTTATTGCAGCAAGGTGCCAAATGCTGACCTGCTTGCCCCACGGGAGGGTTCGAGCAACTCGAAGGATTAAGAAACGTTTCGATAGCGATAGAGGGTTGCCAACTGCTATTTATTTATCTGCCAGAGATATATCAATCTATATATTTAACTATACATATTTACACATAATGACTGTCATTTTCTGGGAGGGCGCCAGGTGTAGGCATTGATATATTGGCCAGTTGCTGCATTTGTCAGCTGATGTGACCCCATCTCTCCTCTCCCGGAGATATCAAATCCCCCCTAAGCTTTTGAAACGTACGTGGCGAAGCTGCAGTGATTGAAAGTGTGGACCTGACTTTTGAATTTATTGGCTGGCCATAAGGAAAGTTGGCGGAGTGAATCGGAAACCATAAATAAATGCAATACATTCGTATATCCCTCTACTCCGACTACTCACTCGTATCCTGAGGGATGTCTAGCTGTGTGTGTATGTGTGTGTGTGTGTTTTATGACATCAATTGTGTGAAATCCCCGTATTATATTTTATTGAGTGAATGTAATTGATTTTAGATGATGTTTCAATGATTTCGGGATTTGTTTTTGTTTTTGTTTTGTTTTTTCGTATTGTTACTTACCGTTCTCAGGAATGAGACATCATCCTGCTCGGAGCCGCCTTCCGCTTCAGCCATTTTGCTGTTTAACGCAACGACTGCAGCGTCAGAATCAAATTTATATGCACTTGTGTATTATTATTTCGTATTTTTTGTATTTTTGCCCGCTTGCCTAAGTTCCGTTGGCATATAGAAAATCGTAAGAATATTGTTCAGTATATATTATGTTAATTACATACATTTCAACTATATATGTACACTGTCAGCTCACTCTAAGTATCCTCAACTGACGATCAATTTTGAAAGAAGATTTACCTGGAAATCCCCCAAATATTATCTAAACAAAGTACCTCAACTGTACGCTCAGGAATAAAATGTAGACTAACCTCAACTGGATTTATGAAAGGATTCATTCTACGATTGATCTCAAACAAATCCATTCACGTAGGCCTTGGCATGTCTTTCATAGTGCATTAAATTAAACAGATATCATATCCAACTCAGATATCATTATTATTATTATTATTATTAGATATCTACCTGCTGCACAATAGATAATAAATATAAGAAGACTCAAAAGACTTCATTCGTTCGATCTACTCTTTGGATAAAGTAGTAAATATTCAGTTGAGCACATGAATCACTATATTATATTTAGATTATGTATATTATACGTATATAAATAGCTGCTAATGTATTTTAACTAAATGAAATTTAATGATTACCTCTACGGAGATAGATTCATAATCTAAACATAAAAGAAAGAAAAAATCGAAAACTTCTTATAAATATTTTGTATTTGCTGTCATGTTTACTAACTCTTTTAATAGATTGGCTCCCACGAGAGCAGCTATAGTACCTCGCTCTCTCTCTCTCTCTCTCTCTCTCTCTCTCTCACTCTCTCTCTCTATATATATATATATATATTTACCTCACTCTTCTCTCACTCTCTCGCCAAGTCTATCTAACTATCGGAAGGCTCTTCGGCATTTAGTTTGTGTTATCTGTGCTATATTTCTCTCTCTCTCTGTCTCTCTCTACTGCGCTCTCTCTCTCATTATACGAGGGCTCGTCAGCTTTTATATTATTTTTCATCTGCTTTGCTTGCCAAATTCGCTCAGCTGTTTTGCCGGTTTTTGTTTTTGTTTTCGTTTTTATTTTAGAATTTGTTTTGCTTTGCAGTTAGTTTGTCGCATTTGTCATTTTGTGATTTTGATGTGGACACATTCTTCACGTATGTATTTGTATAATATATATGCCTAATTGTATAAATAGGTAGATTATATTCTTTTGGGACTAAGCCAAAATTTACTGTCGACTTTTAAATTGCAAATATTCGAAAGTTACGTAGACAGCTAGAAACATATGTATCCAAATACTCGACATTCAGATAACGAAATTCCTTTGGCAATTGAATGTATGTACATATATTATATGTGTGCTTAAAGTATATATATTAATATATATTATATTGCTTTTTGTATGTATTTTTATTGTTATTATTTAATATTAAATTGAATTTGTTGTTGTTGTTGTTGTTGTCGCTCTATGCCACGTGGATTGGATTATCCTTATCCTCGGGGTGCTTCCAGTGGCAGAATAATTTCACTACGGCGCTCCCACTGCGGCCAATCAGTAATCCAGGGTCTGATTGGCAGCGTCGCCTTTGCATACATATATGTATATGCATATATTATATATATATATATATATATATTATATATTATACATACATATGTATGTAATATACCCGGCACCAAGTTTCAATATATGCTTTTTTGTTGTTTTTTTTGTTGAGAAGACAATTTGGTGTTGGCAGCCGATTCGTGTGTTTATTTTTGGGATTTTGAACGCGGCACGAACGCGCCCGAAGCACCGACGAGCATCGCACACATGTCCAAAAATATCACACGCAAAGCCCTGGGCAGCACCAAAAAACTAGCACAGTATTTCGAATTTTCTTCAATTTTTTTTTTTTTTGTACAAATTGTTCATAATTTTTTCATTGAATATAATTTCTTATGCAATTTTAGGCAATTTATTTTTGAGACACACACGCGCTGGAATTGACTGCGGCGCGGCTGAATCACGCATGGATTTTCCACGAGTTTTCCATGAGTTTCATCATCATCCGACACACACACATATATATATATATAATATATATTCTATACTATATGCTCGATGCTGCTTTGGGCCAACGGACCCACGGCTAACTTACTTTTCGTGTCGATATTACTCTCTAGACTGACGAGCACGGAAAAGCAGCGACTACGAAACTGTGCCGAATGCCAAAATGCCGAGCGACGATTGGAATACTTTGCTGCCTGTGCACGGTGCGGGTTGGGGCACGCAGCATGCGGTAGCCACTCACAACAAAATCTATCTCGCTGTACAGTGATGCGAAATCTGCCGAACGGGATGTCAAACTGGAATTGGTACTGTACGAATTAAAACTAAGAATTTAAATAAAAATGCATAGATTTTTCATACCATAAGAAAACTGAAAACTAGCAAGTGGTTCTTGTTTTTAGAAATAGTTTTCAAATATTAGAAAAAAATGTCTAAAATTAGAAAAGCTTCCCAATTTAGAGTCATCAGCTCTTACATACTCTGAGATCTGTTCTTCGTACAAGCGATCATGGCTAAATCAACTCGATTGTTGCTGCTGATCAATAATAGACAATTTATCGATCGGCCTCATATCGAGCAATCGGCTAAGAATCAGCGATTGAACTTTTAAGAAAGAATCGATTCCCTACAAACACAAGTCTGTGTCTCTTTCTCTTCCAACCAGTCCAGAAACCAGAAAAACGATAAGAAGTTTGGCAAATTGTGGGAATCTTTACAAGCATTTTTGTACTTTACAAACCACAAATTTCGTTTTCAATTTTTTAAGAAACTTCTTTCCGTTTCATGTCCCGCTTCTGCAGCATTTATTGTTTGCATTTTGCATAGTTTTGGACACTGTGCAACGAAAGCAATAAGCCACTTTGCTCTCTCTGGCCGGCACAGTGGGTTGTGGCTCGGAGGATGCGAGATTGGAGCAGGGAGAGGAGAGAGGGGGCTGGGAGACGACTGGCGAGTTGGCAGCTTGTTGCTTGTTGGTCGCTCTCTCAGTAGCTGTAGACTACGCATGCACATATATACATATATATATATATATATATATATATATATATATATCGAATGTATAGAGGCCCCGAGGCCGAAGTGTTTCGAAAAACAGCTGTTTTTGTCTGCTCGGGGAACGTGCGTTCGAGTAAATGGCATAATGCCTGCGTGTATATAGAGAAAAGGAATATAAACATCTCATTCTTCTTGTCTGATATGTAAACTTATTTTAAGTAGATTTCTGATCGCTTGCCAAGACACCGAGTGCCCAACAACATATACAAATAGGAATTTGTAATAGACAAATATAATTGCACGTCTATATGTCTATATATATATATCTATATACATATATATATATATATATAGATAGATATATTTAGATATAATATAGGACACATGTGTTTCATTCAACTTGAACTTGCCAAAAATCATCATCATCATTCATGAATGAAAAAACGCATGCTCGAAGGTCGCTTGTGAAAATGTCTTTGCCTTTGAATTGAATTGAATTGAATTGAGATGTTTTCCGTTGGAAGTTGGCTTGATATAATTTGCCCGCAAGTTGGTCTTAATTCCGAGTGCCAGAATGTGTAATGTGAATTATTGCGCATTTCATTGTAAATCCTCTCGAGCGGGCGGAGTTGGTCCACACACACATCACACACACAAGCACATTCGCACACACACCCGCTGGGAAGATAAACAGTTAGCGAACTTTCCGTATAAATTAGCTTTGTGCACTAAGAGAAACATAGTATTTCTTGTTTTATTTATTTCTTAAAATTAGAAAGGCATTTTGACAATCCCAGAAATATGGTGTTTTTCTATTATTAAGAAATTTGTTTCATTCGTTTCCAAACTCAGAAACAAGTAATAAAAGTTAATCTCTCACTCTCTTTATGAATCCAAAATGTATTTATGAAAACTTTCAATACTAATGTTTAATATTAATATATAATTTACAATAATTCGTATATACACACACATTTTAGAATGTGCTTTCTGAATAATAAGGTGAATTCAGTTCGATTTTTTCCGAGTGTATGTTTGAGCCAAAGAATTTTGAGTGGGCGGATGGGTTAAATAAACCACTGCAGTGCAGCGATAAAGTGCTGCATATTAAAATCTTCTATGCCTCGAAATGAATTTTGCGCAAATTCTAAACAAAAGTGGAGAGAGAGAGGAATAGAGAACACTGTAAATACAGTGAGACTGGGTTTTTGCCTCCTGCACCCGTCGTATGTGGTGCTATAAAGGATTTAGCCTTTGTATTTGGTTATCCAATGCTGCCGGAACGAATCTGAATCCGAATGCGAATGCGAATCCGAATGCGCAACTCCAGTTTCCAGTTTTCAGTTGGCTAATGCAAAGATACAGCTCATAAATATATATATATAATTGTTTATGCAAGCGAAATGTAATTTCATTCATTACGTTTGACTGACTGACTTTCGATGGGAGTAAACTTGAATGCTCTATAGTTTTCAGCAGCAATCTCTTTAATTAATCAAAGTCGATTCATATTTGAGAGAGTGTCAGCGTGATGGGAAGTATGAGTGAGGTGATCCTTTTTTTTTTGTTTTACGCCAATACACAGATTTTTATAGCTCATCTCTAAAGCACATTAAAGCAGTCATTAAATAGAGTTCGACGAAAGTCCTGAAAAAATTCAAAATAACTGTCTTTTTTTAACAGAAAATGGCTCGAAGATTTTGAGACTTCGACTCGTTTCCTTTTGCTCTGAAGTTACATTTTTACGAGTGTTTGGGTTATTAAAAGATTACATAATCCTTGAATGCAGTTCAATAAAGTAGATCCTTAAGATTCTAAGGCACTATATCTGCTGCAAATCTGCAAGGATTTGTCTGATTTATCTTCTAGTCGCTCAATTGGCTCCTCGAAGTATGCTGCAAATTCTTTTCCTGGCGTAATTTTTCCAATGCAGCAACCCATTTGTGACATTTGACTTGCTATTTATCCCATTCAGCAACCTGCAATGTAAATCGATGTAGAGTGACCATATTT